CTGTGTCGTGGCGACAGGCGTGCCCGGTGGCTGCGGTGGCTGTCTCCCGTGCCTTTCCAGACATGGAAACGTCGGTAAACAGCAACCAATCTATAAACAAACGATTTTCCATAGCTACTACAGTAGAACGGTAGTATGTGAAACTGTTAGATATTGTGAGATATTGTGAGATATTGTGAGATATTGTTTTTAGATTACCAGAGGGTGCGTTTTTACTGGATATGAGCTTCGCCCAAGTATGCCCCATGAATCAAGCGCGCAAAACGGCACCTATCCAACAGCTTTGGTCTCAGGATCCAGCCATGCCTTAGCTGATGACCATTCGAAATAGCGATTTCCCAATTTTCCGTGTGGCTACAAGAATCATTCAGAATATCAAAAAATATCTGCAAAGCTAGGACAGCTTGCATATCAAAATATATGGCTTAAACTTATATGATTTTCCACGTGGCTAGAGTCACTCGAAAAATATGGAGATCACCTTGTTGAATCCACAAGTTTTCTATCAGGCTATGGATAGTTTATTTCCAGGTATCTGAAAATGGGGTATCTCACGAAAAAAATCCAAAAAAAAACTATTTGAATAGGGAAAAACATATGATGTGCATCAAGTTTTGGCAGCTGTTGATCATGTTCCAAAAATGGCACCAATCCTGCACCAGTTGCTAGATGGGTTATCCCATTACAATCCCACTGCAGTGTTTCATAGGAATCCCAATAGTTACCCTGCCTGGTGCAGGATTTCGCAACCATCCACATCTATGTTAGATTACCCTACTGTGGCTAAAACAATCATAAACCATCCAGTCATCACCATCTTTTTTGGGGTGCTATGTTTACCATCCCCCAGTCATGGGTGTGTGTTTATGGCATTGTTTTGCCATGTTTTACCCACTGAAAATCCAAGTGATCTCCCACTTTCCACGCAGCTTCCTGCAAGCCACGCGTTGATACGTTGGAGCTCCTCGTCGCTGAAGGACAACAGCACTGAGCCGGCGGACTGGAGATGGTTTTCCACAGCAACACAAATCGTTGCTTCAAACGAAAAAAGTGGAGGCTTCCAGCAAAAACATCGGTGTCACCCGCAAAAATCAAGGTTGTACCTGGTTTGGCCTTACCTGGAAGTTGGACCAAGGAAACCCACCGGTGCTTGGAGACCTTGAAGAAAACGACAAAAAGATCCAAAGACCATGGGGACAGTTTAAAAGCATGTTGACAGTACAAAAAAATAAATATTAAACATTATTAAACTATAGAATATTATCTATCTATATATATATTACATATTTATATGTATAATGTATATATATATATAATTATATATATATATACATACACATTAGAATCTTAAGTTATGTTCCAAATTTACTTGTCAATTTTGGGAAGGAAACCAAATGGGTTTTGGGTTTTGAACTGTGGTAGCACCGGGCTCTGAGTGCCCTGACCATTCTTCAAAGCTGATCCATCCACCCCTGACAGCGGTGCACTGCCGTTGTGACATGTTGTAACAGTGCGAACTGCCGTTGTGACTCCGTTCGCCCGCTCAGAATCCAAGAAGATCCACAACAGCGATTTCCAATGTTCCCAGAGGATACCGACATACCCTCGCCCCCTGGCACCTCTGCAGCAGGTTTGGGGGACCAACAAAGGTAAGCAATACTTCAGCCTGGTCGTGATAGTTTTCTTGCAGTGAAAACATCTGATTTCTTGCGTTTTTGGATGTATTTGTCACCTCAAAAATCTGCGAAACCCATTTTTTGTGTTCTTCTATTTTTCACCCCAAAAAATTGAGTGGCACTTCCAACCGCAAAGTTTGATGTCAACATGTCAAGCAATTTTGGTGAAAATTCTCATCCCAGAATTCGGTGAAAAACCTGAAGTTGTTCCCCAAGTCACCACTAGACTGCGATGGTCAAGACCTAAACCTCGAACTGGGTACAGACTCAGAAGGGTATCATCATAAATTCCGAACCCCCAACTTTGAGTGGGTCTTCACATTCCGCACATTCAATATCTTCAGCATATTCTGCAAGATACCAGGGTGAAATGAGCCAGATTCCAATCTGCTCCAGACTGAGTGACCCTAAACCATTCACTCCTTACGAAAATGATCATCGCCACATTCCACGCTTGAAATTGCAGAAAGGATTTTTCACCAAACCCTACATCCAACTTCTCTCCAAGAACATGCATCCGACCTGGTCTCTGTGTTGAGCTGTTCGGGCTCCCTCAGAAACCGACTCAACAGCACCGCTCGGGGGGACAAGGGCTTCATGGCACACTGGGAAATCCACTGGAAATACTGGATTTTTATCCAGCACCATGGGAATATGAACTAGAATTGGGAAAAGATATGGGGATGTGAAACTATAATCTGGTTCTTGGTTGCGCCACCCTCCTTTAAGAGATATTAGTTACTAGTTCATTTTGGGATCATCGGTGGGGGATGGAAAATAAGATGTTTGATTTCAACCAGGAGGATATTTTGCAGCTCCAGAAGTCTTTGGCAAAAGACGATTCCTCATCCATTTTCAACCATGCTTGTTTCAGGGGAGACATGCTTTCGTTCAAAAATTGGGATACCATCTGGTAAACAAACATAGCTATTGAAAATGGCCATTTATAGTGGATTTACCCATTGAAAATGGTGATTTTCCATCGTTTTTTGTATGTTTACCAGAGGGTACCCCAAAATTGCAGCTTCAATCATTGGGAAATCAATGAACAACCATGATAAACCACTGGATTTGGATTTGGGAATGTGTGCGCTGCCTGGCCGAGAATGGATCAGACATGTCGTCGTTAAACCACATTTTGGACGCCAAGATGGGATATGTTGGTCCAATTCAGCAAACATGTCAAACATACCCTCTGGTAATTTAACAGTTCGCTATTGAAAATGACCATAGAAATAGTGGATTTTCCCATTAAACATCATTAAACATGGTGATTTTCCATCGTTTTTTGTATGTTTACAAGCGGCCGGGTATCCCTTATAAGGCCAAGCTGCTGGGCACTCACCGCGCCCTGAAGTCGACCACGGAGTCCCCGTTGTTTGAATAGTAACTGAATAGTACCCTCTGCTTATGACTAACATAGCCATGGAAAATCACCATTTTTAATAGGTAAACCATCTATTTCTATGGGCCATCTATACCATGGCTATGTTAAATAACCAGAGGGTACACGATTCATCACGATTCTAGATTTTTTTTTGAGGAACCAAGACTGAATTTAGAGATGTTTGGTTGTTAGAGTTCCAATTTTTTTCTGGGATGTGGGATCCTGACCTTTTCGGAGACGTGGAATGTGGAGATGTATGAATTGAACATCACAATTCATCACCCGGAAATAACTGCGATGATTTGGGATATCTCCATATACCAACCTTCATTCGTTGAGGTTGGCCTCAAGTCACACCGTAGCCAGTTGCAAAAATGTCCGTGCCGTTCTAAGCTAGCCATAAGAGAGATACAATCTTTGCGACCCCATTTGGGTATAGCCATGTATAGCCATAAGAACCCGGATTCTGACATTCGCTCCAATTGTCTTCAATGACTTGACTGGTGAAAAAAGTGCTACAAGCCATTGCCACAACATTGGGGTCCCCCCGCAGTTTTTTGGACAAACCCAAATCCGCATAGGTTATAATAAATAATATAGTGATCTTATTGTATCCCAACTGTCATACATGTATCTGACCAATCTTCCAGTAACCCATACTGAATGTATCCCACATTAATCATTAGATACTCTGAATTGAAGTGTGTCTGAAAATCCCGCACAACGCACTGTGCACCCCTGTGACTGGGAAATCATGCTTGAGAATCCCCTCGAAGCTATGGAAACCCCATCAGCTCCCACCTCCTCCCTCAAACACTGCAGGGCTGCCCCAATGGGCAGTTGATAGTCCAGGATTTGCCAGAGGCCTTCCCTGAGAATGGTGGATTCTCATGGATTTGCCAAGCTTCTTTTTGTATGTTTACGTTTACTGTATGGGATGTGTTTCTGATCGTTTATGGGATTCTAAGTTCATTGCACTGCTAATGGTGCTATTTTTTTGGAGTCAACACAATTGAACGAAACGATGTATGGAAATCCATGGGGGGGACATCACACATCTAGGAAAATGATCTACAATGTGGGTAAAACAATAATAAACCATTCCCCAAGTCACCATTTTTATAGGTGGTATAAACCATTGCCAGTCATGGCTGGTTCATGACATTGTTTTACCCACATCAATGGTTAATAATGGTATGAATGGATGGTTAACCATCACTATTCATCACCATTATTCATCACCATTATTCACCATCAATGTTGATATCATTGTTTTACCCACCTTACAATTCTGCTAGGTCTTCCATGAAACAACGCGAATCTGGAGGCAACTTTGAAGGCAACCACTTCACCTCAGCTCGAAAAAAATCATCCGAATCATCTTCCAACATCCGCCATGGCCCTTTTTCAACTCCAAAAATGTCCCTCTGAAAATGCCAGGTATATCCCCGTTTTTTGCCATCAAATTATAGCTGGTTGGTGGTTGAGCCCCACCCCTCTGAAAAATATGAAAGTCAGTTAGGATCACGACATTCCCAATATGATGGCAAAAATAAACATGTTCCAAACCACCAACCAGATAGTGAAAATCATCTTCAAAACCCATGAAATCTGGAGGGTTTCCATGGTTTTCCCCGAAAATTTCAGACAAACAAACCCAGCACCTCTGGAACCCCCATGGCCCCAACCCCCACCTGGTGGTGTAGTGAAACAGCACCCGCGGCACCACGGGCGCGGCGGCGCGGAGGTCTAGGACCTTCCGTTGGACACCCCAGACAGTAGCTGATTCTACTATATTAAACATCCCCATTGATGGCGGATTCGACTATTAAATCAACTTATAAATTACCATAGCAAAACTATTATGGTAAACTTATATTAAACTATTAAATAACCATGGTCATTGTCCATAGCAAAACTGGTAAATTCCCAAAGGGATCCAAATTTGGTGTGTCTCGCCTCTGACCACACGCGAATGCGCGTACTCCGATGCTCAAAAAATGCCACGAGTCGCTCCTGGCACTCCGATATCAAACCATCATCCCAAATACTGGCGCTAAACTTAGGAAATGGGGGAATGGGATGATTGTTCATGTTATTATGGGTCATTCTCCCATTCCCTACGTTTAGCACCAGTTTTATCAAAGGCTTGAACATAGACGATCTTTGAAAGCACCAACCAGAATCGGTGTTTTTTTCCTACACTTGGAAAACAAAAGGGGGCCGTGTACCCTCCACCCCCACCATAGGTGCCGGCTCGTGCAGCCTGGTCAGAATTAAATATATATATATATTATATATATTATATATATATTATATATATAGGAAAACACCGTTGAAAAGGGTGGCAAAACCGCCAGCTGGTCACCAAAATGTGAGGTGCGGTGCAAAGCCTTTCTTGAAGTCAAACCATGGCAACTGGAAATCCACCCATTGTTTGATGTGAAAATCACCTATTCAAAGAGCAGATACAGATATTTATATATATAATTCATATAATTATACATATATTATATCTTTCTTATTCATTTTTCATTGCCATATGTTTGAGTATCCAAGGGCGACCCAAATCAAACTGAAATCGGTCGCGGGTAGAAGTTCAACTGGGGAAGTCAACGTAGCTGAGTTCGTAGCTGATTTCTCAGAATGACTCTGAACAGAGAGTATGTTATGTGCCAGAAATCATCAGAAATCAATCAGAAATCAATGGTATAAGAGTCTTATATGTTCGCAGACATCGGAAGCACTTTTTTGTGGCTCGCTGTGAGAGGAGATATTCCGATGACTGGAAGCTGTGCTCTGGTGGTATTTCAAATTTCTGTCCCTCACTTTCCTCTGTTTTGTTGAGTCAAAGTCAAGAAACCAGAGAGACGGAATATGAAGGTTTCCTAAAATAGGGGTACCCCGAAATCATCCATTTTATTGGGATTGTCCATGATTATAAAGATCCATTTGGGGGTACCCCCCATTCCAGGAAACCCCCAGATATCATAATATATCCGAATGGTGAACATCAAAATAGCTGGCAAATGAATGTTTATCCCCCTAAACATGGTATTTATAGGTAATGATCCATAGCCATATCCCAATATATGTCCCTTTTTCTCCACATGTTCTTCCTTAAATCTCCATGCCTAGTTCGTCGACAAAACGTTTACCCGTCCATGGAGTGCTGGTAGACTTCTTCAAGCACTGCGGTGTAAGGACCGCCGCCTGCATCGTGAAACGCAGATGGGGTGACGGGTCATGCATCCCATTCCATGGGAATCTTTATAATGAGGGGTATATAAGAGAATATATAAAGGAAAATCATATATTTAATGACGATATAAATCCCTATTAATGTTGTCGTCTTTTTCGCAGTTCATAGATGATGATAATCACCAATATATTGGATTGTGGTAATGGGACTGTAAGTTGTTTTAAACTACTTTTTAATTTGCTCTAAACTATTACTATGCTGTAACCAAATTCATCAACTAGTTACTAGTTGCTTTGAACTACTTTTTCATCTGGGTTTATCGGGAAATGGGGCAATGTGGTATACCCATTAAAAAAAAGTCGGGGATCGTTTCTACAAACCATTTACCCTCTGGTAAACTAACATAGCTATTGAAAATTGCTATTTATAGTGAGTTTTCCCATTAAAAATTGTGATTGTCCATAGTTATGTTAGTTTACCAGAGGGTATAAAATTGCTGGTAAAGTCGGGGATTGATTGTTGGCTTTACCAGATATGCCACTCAATTTAGCCCAAAAAAATGCAGAGAAATGATGGACCAGGACTGGGTCTTTCCCCCATTTTCCTACCCAGGATATTCTGAAAAAAACTGTGAAAATATGTGAAAATATGGTCTAGATATGCTCTAATTTGAAAAAAAAAAAACTTGACTATCAATCATTTCAATTCATTCTTCGAAACGAAAATGGCCAGGAAAACTTGAGACCAGGCGGAGGCGGACGAAAGGTAGTGTAGTGGGAGAGGAGTGGTGTCAAAATGCTGCGCCCCTAAGATGATACACCAAAAACTTTTTTGCGCAGTCTAAGATGATTTTATCCAGAGCATGACTGCATGATACGGTGTCTTGTGCAGCGTGAAATGATGCACAAAAAGGGGTTTATTTAAAACCCCTTTTTAAGACCCCTTGCAGCAACTGTTATTGAGGCTGAAGCAAACCAATTATGCTGGACTACAGGGACATCTCCCTCATGGAGAGTGTGCCTCTACTGTGGCGGACCGTGACCGCGTCACCCGTGGGAATTGAACCCATGACAATTGATATCTAATACATAACGTCGAGAAGTCTACGTTTTCCACGGGCTGGCCCCCCAATACCCCCTATCTGGCCAAATTACTTTAATTCTTACCTCGTCTCCCTCGTGTCTTAATTTGTTCCCCATGATTACTGTCCTCGTTCGTTAATTTGCAGGTGCAAATTAAGGCTTTACCTCGTTAATTCGAAGGAAGAAAGTAGCTTGTGGGCCTTCTTTCCAGGGTCCAACCCGAAGGAAAAAAAACTTTTCAGCTTCCGAAAAGTTTTTTCCACGATCCACGGTCTCTTGCAGGGATTTTTAAATCTGAGTCTGATCGGTCTTTGCGCTTCTTGCGCTTGGGTGGTGACATCTCTGACATTATCGCAGAGATGCAATGCTCTTCTGGAGCAACTCTGAATCCTACTGCTTCTGCAGCCGTCAACCCACGAAGCGGGCCTCTGGCGATAGAAAATAAAACTTTTTGGGGCCTGAAAAGTTGTTTTTCCTTCCTTGCCTGCTGACCGGCCTCTGGCGATAGAAAATAAAACTTTTTGGGGCCTGAAAAGTTTTTGTGCCTTCCTTGCCTGCTGACCGGCCTCTGGCGATAGAAAATAAAACTTTTTGGGGCCTGAAAAGTTGTTTTTTCCTTCCTTGCCTGCTGGCCGGCCTCTGGCGATAGAAAATAAAACTTTTTGGGGCCTGAAAAGTTTTTTTTCCTTCCTTGCCTGCTGACCGGCCTCTAGCGATAGAAAATAAAACTTTTTGGGGCCTGAAAAGTTTTTTTTCCTTCCTTGTCTGCTGACCGGCCTCTGGCGATAGAAAATAAAAACTTTTTGGGGCCTGAAAAGTTTTTTTTCCTTCCTTGCCTGCTGACCGGCCTCTGGCGATAGAAAATAAAACTTTTTGGGGCCTGAAAAGTTTTTTTCCTTCCTTGCCTGCTGACTGGCCTCTGGCGATAGAAAATAAAACTTTTTGGGGCCTGAAAAGTTTTTTTTCCTTCCTTGCCTCCTGACCGGCCTCTGGCGATAGAAAATAAAACTTTTTGGGGCCTGAAAAGTTTTTTTTCCTTCCTTGCCTGCTGACCAGCCTCTGGCGATAGAAAATAAAACTTTTTGGGTCCTGAAAAGTTTTTTTTCCTTCCTTGCCTCCTGACCGACCTCTGGCGATAGAAAATAAACCTTTTTGGGGCCTGAAAAGTTGTTTTTCCTTCCTTGCCTGCTGACCGGCCTCTGGCGATAGAAAATAAAACTTTTTGGGGCCTGAAAAGTTTTTTTTCCTTTCCTTGCCTGCTGACCGGCCTCTGGCGATAGAAAATAAAACTTTTTGGGGCCTGAAAAGTTTTTTTTCTTTCCTTGCCTGCTGACCGGCCTCTGGCGATAGAAAATAAAACTTTTTGGGGCCTGAAAAGTTTTTTTTCCTTCCTTGCCTGCTGACCGGCCTCTGGCGATAGAAAATAAAACTTTTTGGGGCCTGAAAAGTGTTTTTTCCTTCCTTGCCTGCTGACCGGCCTCTGGCCCCCAAAAAAGTTTTTCTAGCCAAGCCCAAGCATGCAACAGAACCAATGCAAGGCTACCTCGTCGAGGTCGGCTAATTCTGATGAGCAAATTAAGGGCTGACCTCGCTAATTCCTGCAACCTGCCTCGTTGCCTCGGCTGTCCTCGCTATAATTTGTGCAGCCCTATGATTGTGCTGAAGCACGGAGAACTCAGGTAGCTGACGCTACCTTTCGTGACTTCATCTTTGGCAGAGAAAATCAATTAATGAATTCCAGAAAAAATGGCTGGGTGCAAAATGGGTGATTTCCACCCGAGAAACACAGTGTAAGGATTTCTGCAACGGAGAAAGCAACGGGCAATCCAATGTTCATGCAGAATGCAGAACGAGAAAAATGGTGGATGTTGAAAAAAAAAAGTGGCATGGTGGCATGGCACCAGGTAATGCGGATGTTTCACGAAAAGCCGTGGGACTTTTCCAGTGAAGTGTTGGTTCCGGAGACGAGTCAATTGGTGTCTCGTGAAGCTATCCCGATGCGACCTACCGTGACCTATGTCTCTGTCCAAGCCATCTTGAACTGTGGCGACCATCATTCCGCCAAAGAAAATCTCTCTTTCCCTACTTATCATATCTTATCATCATCTGTGTGCTTTGGTCGGCCAGTTTTTAATAGGAACCGAAACTGCATCCATCAACCCATCTTCAACCGCGCCTTCCAAGAGCTCTCCATGTAGGTATCCTCCCGCGAAGTACCCGGCCAGTGGCGCCGTCCATCGGGGCGCTCCGCGACCGGGAGAGGCACCGGGCAGATCGCCTTCAGCAGCAGCCGAACATCGAGAGATAAGCCATGACCGAATCGAAAATCTCTGAAAGATAACCATCCCAACAGATATCCATCTTAGATAATCTTAGATAACAAACCATCCCAACATAACAGATAACAACTTCCAGTATGAAATTTTCAATCAAGATTGGATCAATTGGGATGGTGATCTCTCTATCTTTGATGCTGATCTCCTGGGATGATTTTTTTGAAGTAACTGAAATGAGCTGGGATCAATGACTGATGTGGTAATCCTGAATATTTATTTAAAAAAAGAAGTCCAGGTTTATGACATTGACTTTACCAGATTACAGTAGTCCCAATCTTCAAGACACAAATCCGAGCGATGTTCCAGTCGCCGCCACACTGATGCGAAGCCCGGTGTTTTGGATGGGGTTTGCCATGTTTTGCCCTATAGATATTGGCGAATTCCTTGTGGTTCCAAATTTACATGTGTCAATCATGTGTCCTCACCATTCTTGGTTCTATCATGTTCTATCATGTTCTATCTGATCATCCGAAGCATGGTTGTTTTATATTGTTTACATGTCACAGCCCTCACCATTCAAACACAGGGGGTGCCTTCTGGCTTCCCATGTTTGCTCTGCGCATGCGATGCACCCATGGCAGTCGGGCAATGGGGAAAAACCCATCGTTCTTGAATGACGACCGAATAATCATGGTGTGGTTGTGATATCAAAAGTGTGTGACTGTCGCTAATTACTGGTTGATTCTTAAGGAAGTTGTCCAGCAACCTATGGTTTGCAAGTATAGAAGGGATATCTGGAGATATCCTGTTCAACCATTCTGGGTTCCAGCAGGTGTCCCTTCAAGTTCGACAGTCGAAGTAATCTTTGGGCGACCGTGGAACCAGAGGTCCCCGAAAGCCAACAAGGTTTCTTCTTTGGCGCAGGGATGTTGCAGGAAGAAAACTTGAATGCCTTGGCCGAACAGAGGGCTAGAAAGGATACATTGCAGTGTGTCAAAACCTTGTACCCCTGCAGTTCACATCAAAATAGCTGGGATTTATGGATGTTCATCCCCCTAAAAATGGTATTAAGTAGGTATTGATCCATACCCACACCAGCTTAACATGATCTTGTGCAAGTGTAGCGTGCGTGCTCTCGTTTGGTCGCAGGGTCCCTGCAAGCTTTGAGCCAAGAGACTAAAGACACCGAGGCTCAACAAAAGGGAGCGGGGCTGAGGGAAAATGGGGATCACAACCAAGTAAAAAGACAAGAGGGAAGAAATAAAACCAAAAGAAGCCAGAAAGAACAAAAAAATGAAACAGAAAGAAAGAACAAAAGAAGAGAACGAAGAGAACACAATGAAAGAAAGATGAAACAATAATACTGAAAAAAAAATACAGGAAAAAAGAAAAGAAAGATGAAAAAGAAAGAAACGGACACAAAAGAAGCTAAGTAAACGCCTCCGAGGGAGAATCGAACTCCTGCTTGTCCCCAAGCCCCTTGGACTGAAGTCAAGTCCTGGCACCAGCCAGACTCACGGAGGCTCTATGGACATCTATTTGTATGTCTTTCTTGCTGGCGTTCCGTGCCGCAAGGATAACCTCCTTGCCACTCACTTCTCATCCTCACTCCTCATCCTTATTTATGACCATGAACATGATCACAAGGTGGTGGGATTGCCAATAATGTCTCTGGTTTATATCACCACTTTCTGGAGAGTTTTCTGTTTGTTTTAAATCCTGCTGTCAAGGCCGTAAAATGGAAGTTGCCTTGATATCAACCACCATCCAAATGATAGCTATGATCATTACACTTACAGGATGGCCCCCCCCCACAGTTATAAGTTGGTTTACAATGCTTATAAACCATTATAACCACCATTAACTATAGTTATACATATCTACCATAAACCATAGTTAAGCCACTTATAAGGCAACCCCATCATGTAGTAGCATCATTTCAAACAGCCAAGGCACATGCGATCCGACTAGATGGGTCTGGGTCAAAAATTGGGAACCCCGGCTTTCCCTAAACGTGTGTTTATGGGAAGCTGGCTTCAGATATATTTAAGAAGAAAAATTGCTGACATCAACTTCCCTAAACTTTCACAATGGGAAATACTTTGAAATACACATGTCGTTCTTCAAGAACACACGCACGCATCAATACACATAGAGTCTCCTGATTGTGTTGTTCCCTATGGATCCAAATTCTGCAAAAAGAACAAATATAAGTTTACAAGACATACTGGGTAAATACTGCCTCTAAAGGTACTTGGATTCGTAGGGATGCGTCTATAAATAGAAATATCTGTCCACATGTATCTATTTACATATCTTTTGAATATGCAAATCATATCAATCAGATTATATAATTATATACAGGATATACAGACTATATGTCCTAAAATAGGGGGGGGCAAATCATCCAAGTTCTTAGGCCATTTCAGTATTGAAAACCACGGTGATTTGGGGATCTCCATTTTGAGAAACCCCATACCCTCTGGTAATTTAACATGGCTATTGAAAATGGCCATAGAAATAGTGGATTTTCCCAGTAAAAATGGTGATTTTCCATAGCTATGTTAGTTTACCAGAATAAACCATTCCCAAATGGGTGGTTCCGCGCTGATTTGTGTCCCAGACCCAGGCCCGGAACTGTTCAAAGCTCCGCCGGATGAAGACGGTTCTGCTCGTGGTCTACGGCATGGCTCGGCGACGTTTTAAGTTGTTCAATAAACCCCATTAACTGTAATTATATCCACCATAAATATCCACAAGACATATGATATGAATTGATATGATATAATATATATAAGGTTGATTTTTCTTCACCAAACTTGCCATGAAACAATTTTTAACCAATTCTGCTTGCGCAAGCTATTTTTCGATGGATTTAAGCGATGCCCGAGCACGAACCGTGCTAACACCCAGTGACAATGCGCGTTCTGCATCTGCTTTCGATGCACAGGAGTCTTTGACTGCGTGCATGACATTACCAGATGCACCGGTTCCATAGTTTCCAGGCACATCTCTGGGACCTCAAGTTGCTAAGGGGTTCTTTGTTTGCTTTGGCTACACCGGCTACACCACATTTTGGTAGAGATTTTCTACGGGGTGGATAATCGCACGTCATTTTGGAAGTCGGTGAACATAGTCTGGTTGGTGGTATACCTAACCCTCTGAAAAAATATGTTTGTCAGTTGGGGGTACTATTCCCAATAGATGGAAAAATAAAAATGTTCCAAACCACCAGTCAGTAAATGTTTCCAAGTACAGTAACATTTACTTTTCCATCAGTCTTTCTTTCTGGGATCCCTGTACCATAGGTGGTCAACCCCCCAAAAAAACAGCACCAAAAAAGATAGAACAGTTTTAAACAACTCTAAAATAGTGATGATTTACTCTTGGGTCTTCTCAGTGTTACTAAGTTACTAATAATATCATCATTTAGAAACCTCAAGGGCTGGGTTCCCTCAACAAATCAGCATGTTGTGATCCGAACTGTGCAACTGGAAGGTATGGTCTGAGTCGTTCGCCTCCCAAGTTTCACTTGAGGAGCCGTAAAAAACGGGGGAACATTGCTCCTCTCTAGCTCCCTGGGCAGCTGGTGCGACTGGGGTTTCCAGGGTCGGTCACAAGGGACAGATCCACCATGAAAAGTTGCACCGAAACCGTCATGATCTTCAGCAACCATGGAGAAAAATCACCGATTTTTGAACAGGTCGGCTGGGGAGGAGTGACCTCAACCATGCAAATATAGCCTCTGCAGAGTCACAGTTCGCTATGGAAAAGCACAATGGATTAATCGTGATGCGGGCCACTTTCCATATGTTCCATTGCTATGTTGGATTCCCAAAGGGCATAAAAGGTACTGGGTTCCTATGGAACTACTATAGGAAGGTGGCAAAACCAATGACAAATCATCCCCAAAATTGTACTATGGATGGGTTAAACCCATCGCCAAATTGGAGGTTTACTGGATTTACTACAACTATCAATGCCCAAACGCATCTTCCAAGAGGCGGTACCTGGAAATAACGGGTCAGAAAACCATTGATATGGGCTGATATGGGCTCCGTTAATTCATACTGAACCATGGTTGCTCAAGTCCCCGTTTTTCACTGGATTTCACTGGGTAAATCCAATGTGTTCTCTGATTTGGTCCCCATTTCCCGCCTTTTCTGGGGATTGAGAACCACATCACAAAAGCCAAAGCCTGAAATCCCATAAAAATTTCCCTTGGTCAATCCCCGCGTTTCTCCCGCCTTCCGGTGCCTGCCGATTCGGGGAAACTTTCGAGGCACCATTCGAAAATGATGGATTTAACCAAACATAGGGGAAAATCCAAGGATAATGAATAATGAATGAAGAACTACTGCATAATGGATGATTAATGGATGATTAATGAATGACTAATGGATGACGAATGAAGAACTAATGATAATGGTTAATTGATGGATAATTGATGGATAATCGATGGATGGTAAATGGATGATTATATAACTGGTGAATAGCTGACTAGTTACTGTAATGAATAATAGTGTGATGAGGATTCCGATCACCAATCATATTTAACCAACTATTTAGGATGATTGATTAAATGAATAACTACTGAATAATTAATGGACCTACTAATGGATGGTTAATGAAGAACTAATGAATGATTAATGGACAGTCGGAATTACAGTACAGGCGAAAATAAGGATTCAACGATTAAACATTGGTGGCATAATGGGGATGCAATGGAAATATCATAGGAGATATTTACCGTTAATATTCATAAACCCCTTCCCCCAAATATCAAAGACCCCTAGAAACCATGGTTTAGGATCGGATTTACATTTGGAATCATAGAATGGGGATGGTAAAAAAAATCGGAGGATGGGACTATACAAAACTTGTTATACAAAACAGAAACAGAAATATAAAACTAACCATGATGAGGATATTTATGATATAATAGGTTATGATGGAATAATATGGGATATTGTGGGATATACTCCGATACACTGAGATAAGCAGCCCCAATCTACTAAATCCCAGTTCTTTCCTCATCTTTTGGAATAGATGTGTTTTCTTTCCAGAATTTGCCTGTGGTGGATTTCGATGCATGTTTCCAGAAATTAATGATATTCTATGTACAAAAGGACGGATTATTGCGAAAACTATGGATTGATTTGTTGATTGACCTTTTTGAAAAAAAGAATGCTATGGATCTGTTCTGATTTATTCCACTAATGATCTTTTGACTTACCAAAACATGATGGAGTCATGTGGATTTATCTGTTTCTAAAGTTTAAGCCTAAATAGATGGAAAAGATATCACTGGTATACGGTATACGTGATATCGCTACTTTATTGTCCTGCCAAATCACCATTGAAAAACCCATGGCTGAATATGAAGTACACATGATGCCTACCTGATAGCCAACAGGTTTACAGCTGTTCCATCCATTCCGGTGAAATTTCACCAGGATCAGGGGTGGAAAGCAAGAAAATCTTGCTGATATCACTCATGTCTGAGTAGAATCTACGTCCTAGGCGATCTAAGTGATATGGATCTCTTTGTCTATGTATATAGTCATACATTTGATTGCGTACAATCAAAATTAAGCACGAAAACAACGCAGAAATCGCGAAGAATATGGCGGGGTTGACCTTGAAACTTCTATGATTCTATCAACAACAGTGGATATGGACATTCAATAGTATGTGTATATATATATACTACAATATCTCGTCTATACCCATTGCCATTGGCATTACACCACTCTACTTCTTTTATCATTGTTAGTATAACTTATACTGCTGTGATCATAATTAGATAGTACATATATGTTATACTGTTGTGATTGTGCTGAATTTGACCAATGTGATAATTAAACCCAATGCCATTAAAAAAAAAAATGCCATAAATGGGCCATAAACCATCCCCAACTTCAGAAATTGGTTTTCAATCCTCCAGCATCGAAGGTTTACTCATCTTATGCCCCAATCTTTGATACCCCGTTGGAAACCCATGGGTTTTCTATTGGATTTATTTATTTCGAGCGCCCATTTGAAAGTAATTAGTTCAAAAAAAAGGGGGATGGGATTACATAAAGATCCAGTTACAATGAGATTATATCCCATAACAACTGGAGGGTTATCAAATGATCATTATAAATATTTATAAATCCCATATATATCCATATAGATCAAATGTTTCAAATGATCCAATTCTACTCCGCTAAATTGGAGGCATTTACCTTTGGACGTCCCATAAATGACCGTCGTTTCCCCTGTCGCCCGCCTGAGCGCTGCCGCTCGCCGCACTCGCCCCCGGCCCGGCATTGCCACCCCAGACGGCGCGAGGGCCCGGTGGGGGGATGCTTTTGGCCTTGGACGAGCGTTGCAGGGTGCTCCATAGCCCATAGCTAAGTTGCTTTATGAGTTACCCTCTGGTTATGACTAACAGTTCGCCATGGAATAGATGGCCCTAATCGAAATAGATGGTTTACCTATTAGAAATATTTAAAAATGGTGGATCTTTCCATGGCGAACTGTTAAATAACCAGATGGTAATTAGGGTCTATGGGGAACATCCCATGATTTGGATCCCAAATAGAAGCAGAAATTCTCAGGTACCCAACAGGTTGCACCTTTTGTTTGATGGCTTAAAGATGTTTAAATGGCTGAAAAATCCCACTTTGATCCTCAAGATCCAATCAGATGGATGAAAAACCCGATGTTTCTTGATTATTTCGGCAAGTTGAATGGGAGGTACTCAAATTGATGATGAGCTCGTCATGAGGTCGCAACAACAAGCCCACAAATCCGAATATAATCCCAAGATAGCTCTATAACTCATAATCCCATATCAAACCTGTATGATAACCCACAAACATCCCATGATAGCCCATGTTTCATCCAAATCTAGACAATCTAGACCACATAACCCCATCCCAATTTCATAGTCAACCCCTAATCATTTCAAACCCATCCATCATCAAACCCTCGAAACTCGTGATAAACTCATTGATGAAACCCGATTGAACCAAGTGTAGTCCCACAATAAACCCATCTTAAAACATACATTTGGATATCAAGACTCTGTTTTTTCCATCAAAATTGCTGGGATAAAAACGGATGGCTTATGAATGTTGATCGAATGTGTTGATCCGTGCTCCATAGACATCCCACGAAATTGTCCCCATCATTTACCAAAATCGCATAAAATCCCACTAGTCCCACGAACAAATCCCAGTGAAATCCCATCAAATCCCACTGAAATCCTATTTTTAACAGCCAAAAGTCCAACATGAAACCCATCAAATCTGCTAAGGCCGACACCTTGGCCGCATTCTGCGCCGAGGCTGCCAGTGAGGTGCGTTTCCGGTCCTGCCAAGCACTGCCAAGGCAGCCGAAAAAAAAGTGGTTTTTGCCACCAAAAATGAGGGTTTTGAGTTTTACCAACGATGGTTTTTACCAGCTTATGATGGTTTTCTATGGTTTTCTGGGTGTTAAAAAAAACACCGTTTGGGATTTTTATGGACTTTTGAAGCAGCAAAATGGACTACTATCATTTTTTTCCGGTAAAGTTTGCCGTGTGCCAACTAGAATAGGAGCTTGAAAGTGTTGGGTGTAATCAAAAAACTACGGGTGGAAATGTAGAACCATCAAGACTGGAGATGCGATGTGGGGAATGGCAACATATGGATGGCAATGGGCCATGGGACCATGCCCATCTCGCAAGGATTTTTTTTCACCGGTGGATACATGTGTGAGCTATACCATTCTAGTCCCAACTTCTATAAAACGCAAAAAAATGGCAGTCAAAACCTTGGCACCCTACTGTCGGTACCCGAAGATAGCTGGTATAACTGGATTAGGATTCCCCTATGGTCATAACAAACGACCCATCCCCAACTTGGCTCAAGTCGTACGCCCTCAACTTGGCTCAAAATTACATGTGGGATCCATAAATCGGGGTACCCTAAATGGATGGTTTATAATGGACAATCCCATAAAAATTTATGATTTAGGGGTTCCTCATGGTTCCTCCATTTTAGGAAACCTCCATATCTCAGATGGTGCAAAACAAGAATTAGGTAGTGAGATAAGCGAGATACTAAGAATTAAGAAGGACCATATTTTCATCCATGTTCCATACCGTCCATGTGCTGTGATACCAGTGATCAAACCTGGCTAGTTGGCAAATCCCAATTTACTTCGAACAGTTTCCCATAGACGATTACAATCGATTACATATCAATAGGATAGGACAGGATACGATAAGATCAGATAAGATCAGATAAGATCCATGGATCGATCGATAGATAGATAGATACCCATTTAGATCAGAGATTCCCAGCGGCCCCCCATGTTTGATTCCTATAGAAGGTAAATCTACTAGTATCTGCTTATCCCATGATTATCCTAATGAAACCATCTAAAACCGCATTAAACGACCACAAAACCATCTAAAACCGCATTAATCTACCACAAAACCATCTAAAACCGCATTAATCTACCACAAAACCATCTAAAACCGCAATAAACTATCACAAAGCCATCTAAAACCGCATTAATCTACCACAAAACCATCTAAAACTGCAATAAACTATCACAAAGCCATCTAAAACCGCATTAATCTACCACAAAACCATCTAAAACCGCAATAAACTATCACAAAGCCATCTAAAACCGCATTAATCTACCACAAAACCATCTAAAACCGCAATAAACTATCACAAAGCCATCTAAAACCGCATTAATCTACCACAAAACCATCTAAAACCGCAATAAACTATCACAAAGCCATCTAAACCCGCATTAATCTACCACAAAACCATCTAAAACCGCAATAAACTATCACAAAGCCATCTAAAACCGCATTAATCTACCACAAAACCATCTAAAACCGCAATAAACTATCACAAAGCCATCTAAAACCGCATTAATCTACCACAAAACCATCTAAAACCGCAATAAACTATCACAAAGCCATCTAAACCATGTTGACCTACCATTAAAAAGCCTCCATTTCTGTCATTTCCCATCCATCGATTCGCAAGAAAAATCGCACCTTGGGCACAGGCCTGGGCCTCTGCGAGCGCCAGTTTCCAGTGCCTGAGTTCAGCCAGTTTCGATTGGGGAGTTGACTGATGTGGTAATTTTATGGGAGAAGATGGGAAAATATTGAGATGATGTAACTATCTCCAAGTTTGATGTTTAGCATTTTGTTGGGATATGGCATACCCAAAGGATGATGTTTGTTTATGGTGTGAAATATGGGGAAGAAAAAAACATACCCAAATAACCTATGGATACTTATGGGATGATTTACCATTGACATTTACTAAATAAACCATACTCTAATGATTGGGATGATGTCAAATGACCCCCGAATCATGTTTTTTGTTGACAGCGGAACTTCACCAAAAAAATGGAGATGTTCAGAAACATCCGGGGGGGAACTTACCCTCTGGTAAACGTTTACATAGCTATTGAAAATTGCCCATTTATAGGTGAATTACCCATAAAAAATGGTGATGTTCCATATTTTTTGTACGTATGTTTACCGGAGTGTAACCAGTTGGAAAAAAACTGCGATTGACCTTTCCTGGTGAATCAACATGTCTGGGGTCCATGCCAAATCCAACCATTTTGGGGTCTGTCTTTAAGAGGTGGTACCCTCTGGTAAACATACAAAAAACTATGGAAAATCACCATGTTTAATATGTAAATCAACTGTAAATGGTCATTGTCAATAGCTATGTAAACGTTTACCAGAGGGTACCCCTATTTAATGCAAGTTTTTTGGTGAAAATGATGTTTAATCATCAGGAGGTTTTTTTCGGTCGATTTTCAGACAAACCTACATGGACTTCCAATGGGAATTATTGTTTATCCACTGACATCAATCACTATTTGAATAGTTTTTATTATATGATTGAACGTTATCATTATTAATAATTGATATATTATGATATATGGATTAGTGTTCTTATTTTGGTATTTGATGATGTTTATGTTGTTATTCCATGATAGTAGAAAAAATCCAAGGTGCTATTGTTATTCTATGTTATTATTCATTATCATCAACTACTCTCCGGCACTCTAAAGTGGGAATGGAAACATCACCATTTTGTTCGATGACCTCCCATCAAGATCTCCATTTAAATAGGGGATTTCCCAATGATTACCATGTCGGGTATGCTCTATATTATGTTTGGTTTCCCTCTGTTCATCCGTTGAATATTCTAACAGGGTACTTTCAATTTTAGATATATAATTTTAATGACTATTATGCATTATAGATTCATTATCATGTGGTGCTTGAGCCACCCATCCCATAAAAATATGATCACCTGAACCATCCCGTTTGTCGGATAAAGTGCACGAACTTTCACAACCCCTGAATTTTGGTCATCTGGGGACGAATCTCCAAATGACCTTAATTCATCCAGATCTTCATGTTCAATCATGTTCATTGTTTTCTGGCACTAACATTGCGAATTACTCCGGTCGGTCGGTCAAGACCGACCCCATGGCACCTTGCGGCACCTCGCCGTAGGAATGCCAACTTGCTTGGGACCTCGGATCGGACAGGAATTCCTTCGTTGTTCGGAGGGCCGAAAACGGCTGGCCAACGGCAGAGGCGAAAGTTCGCGTGTTATATATATATAATATATTATATATATATATATATAATTATATATATATATCGGATATATCACCATTGCAGCACCAGTATTTTAGTGATCTCGACCTGACCCAGCAAAAGGAACCCACATCCATGTCTAGTTTACTTTTAGAGTTTTTTAGCGATTCTTCCCTTGCCACAAAGGATCAACACATCCACCATCATCCACCAAAACAACTGGTACAACTAGGCCCAAAAAAACAAGTTGCCCAACTGCCCAACTCCACCGCATCCAGGACACGTCCCAAAGGTCTCTTGCGTCCCATCCCGCGCCAGCTGCGGGGAATCGTCCGGCATTCCCGGCTGGAAGCTGCTGGGGTCGCCCTCAGGGAAGGTGTCGTTGGGATCCTCGGCCTCGTCGTCGTACCTGGCAACGGCTGAGCTGGGTGCCCGTGCCCATTGGGTTCCCAAGGGCGATCATGAAATTGTGCAAAGAATCTATCATACTGTCAGCTTCTCAAGTCACACCAAAGTTGATTGCAATATTTATCCAGACTATACATAGTTGACCCAGAAGACATTTATCTTTCCTGTCAGTCCATTCTCAGTACTCTTTCCTCCATCCTCTTTTTCAACGCAGAAAGGTCAAGTGGATGAATCCAGTGTGGGATGCTCTCGAGGTTCCGCAATCCACATCGGGATGGAATTCCTCTAGACTAGGCAGGGGATGGGTCAATTTTTTTAAGCGCTATGGGACCGTTAATTTTTTGTATGTGCTTAGTATTTTAGTATTTACCATCTAGGCATTGGGGTGCCCAATTTTGACCCATATAGCTATCACTTTGCCGATTTCGACATACCAAAAAGCCTCCTCAGATCCGGCTCGTCCGAACGAGCTTTGGGGATGGGCAATTTTGGCCCAAACCACTGGTGAGGAGGCTTGGCAACATGGGCTCCACACGAAGTCCTTTGTCTTCTGTGGCCATCTGTCGGGCTGTGGCGGCTTCCACCAGCAATCCGTCCCAGAGCAGGGATTGCGCCTGAGGGGCGATGGTGAACAAACAATGACAAAGGGGAACAGGGGAACTGGATTCAAGAGATATGTTCTCAAACAAAGTATCCTGAGCTTAGTAGGTATGACCTGTTAAGATCTTTTGACTCTGGTACAAGTAACAATACCTACCCCCTCTAGTATACATGTATACTATCTCAGAAAAAAATGACCTGGGAATAGCTGACATTTAAAGTGGCGCAGGGTCTATGTCAGTTGGGGTTGATTATATATACATATATATGTATATATATATATACATATATAATTATGATAATTATATATATAATTATATAATTATATATATATATATCAATATATAATAATGTTATATAATGTAATATTATGTAATATTATGTAATATAATGTAATATAATGTAATATAATGTAATATAATGTAATATAATGTAATATAATGTAATATAATGTAATATAATGTAATATAATGTAATATAATGTAATATAATGTAATATAATGTAATATAATGTAATATAATATAATGTAATATAATATAATATAATAATATAATATAATATAATATATATATAATAAAATATAATGTAATATAATATAATATAGTATAGTATAATATAACATAATATAATATAATAATATATTATGTATATATTATGTCAACATCAAATTGGCTGTGCTCACGCCTCCAGGTCTCCAGGGTCCATGCTATTCACGGACCTCATGAGGTAGTCTTTGTAATGGGCGTAGGCCACAGGACGGAGCTCAGCATCGATTTCACGCCGAAATCGCTGGATGAAGATATTCTGCACCCGGTCTTCATCTTTGAGGGTCATTGGCTTTTCCTGGTGAGCCACCCAAACAAAATCTCACTTGGTCTTGGTCAATTTTGATCATTCTGGTTGTTGGATATGAAGTAAAAAAAAAGTTAAAATCGATAAATCGATAAGTTTCAATCGATAAATCAAGTTATATCCACGTTTTAGTGGGAATAAGAAAATCATGTGCTTCCCAGTGTCCGAATGGACCTTGGTCTGAAACAGTCCCATCAAGGAAAAATCCTCCACTGAAACCAGCCCATCGCCGTTCCTTGGCGGTTTCGAACTTTGCTGTTGCTTCTTCTTGGAGGGTTGCTACCTATGGATTGTGGTTTACTCTTATCGAAAGGAAAAAACCTTCAAAAATCCACGTGCTAACACGGCTGACCCCTTCTCCCTAAAATTCAACATCCCCCAGAAGCCTGGTGGAACATCTCAAATCTCTTCATTTCGGGGCCCCCAAATGCCAAAAAAGGAGGGTTTAGGGACATTTTCCGGGACCTAAATCCATCCAGCTTCAGATCGGTGAGTTCAAAGAGACTTCGGGCTGCTTGCTGCCGCTCCATCTCCAATGAGTCTTCCTGGGTGGAAACCTGGCACCCGTCAACCCGTCAATTCTTTTGGGGGGGTACGATGGGGTAACCCACCGCCCTTAAATTTCGCTAACATGGAACATTGGACAATCAGCAGATGCACGATTTTCAAAATCTTTGGAAAGGCCAGGACCATTTTCCATATTATATAGTTGATGGGAGGGTACATATTTTTGAACCTTCCCACCTGCGTGCAATCGCAGAAAGGAACACTTCCCATGGTCCGCACAGAGGAAGATGGTTTCACTGAAACCGGGACGAAAGACCAGCAAGACCGGCAGTGCTGCTGTGAGCCAAGCATGGCCATGGTGATTCTTTCCCCATGTCTGTTGATAATCAATACTTTCCACCACTTCACCCCTGTTGATAAACACCACCCAGAAATCCTGATTTCGTAGTTCGATTCATTTTTGGATCCCTCAAATGCAAGGTTTGTTATATAAAAGTCTTCATTTCATTGTTCTTGCATTCCCTCCTGCATACACCCCCTACAACATGGAACCCAAAACTCAGAAAATAATCTTCCAAACCAAATCTGTGGGGTTCCATGTGATTTTTTTCTCCAGGTGTTCCGGCATACCCTTTTTCGGATCAAATGACCCCCGCGCAGGCCTCGCGTCACCATCCTGTACTGCAAGTTGACCACTCCCACTGCTGCCCTTTCGATCGTACTGCTCGTAGCGGTCGTAGGCTTCGTTCTCCAGCGCTTGCTGCCTGGGGAGGACTTAGGTCCCTACACAAGGCCCCACAAAATGGGCAGACATGCAAAAACATTGGAAAAATTGATGGAATGAGACCATGATAGACCATGTAGTTTGGATGGAACCATCTTCAGAAAGCCTGGAAATGTAACTTGGAATCCCAACCACATGGTGATTTCACGTCCCAACCACATTGTGGGAAGAAGCCTCTGTACTTTGAGCTCCACCCAAAAACAAACTGCGAGGACCAAGAAAGAGCAGTCCTTGCTCCGTCGGAGTGAATCAGAATGAATGCGTTTTAATAGAATGAATGTGTCTATCTATCTATCTATCTATCTATGTATATATATTTGTGGCCTTAGTATATATATATATATGTTAGATGTATATATATATATTATATTAGATATATAAATATTATATATATATATTAGATATATTAATATATTATATATATATATCATATATATATATATATTAGCTATATATATATATCATATATATATATATATTAGCTATATATATATATTATATTAGATATGATATACGTATATATATATATATATTATATTATATGTATGTATATATATATATATCATTATATTATATTATATATATATATATTATATATAATATGTATATATATAATATGTATATATATATACATATGTGTATATATATAATATGTGTATATATATATATGTGTATATATATATAATATGTATATATATATATTAGATATGTATGTATATATATATATATATATTTATTATATAGATATAATAACACATCTAAAAACAAGAAGTACCCAAAATATTCCAAAATGACATCCCCAAGTTTGATCCATAGCTGGGATCTCCAGGCTCTTGCCATTCCAACTGGATCTGTTCCTTCTGCTTCCAGGTCTCCCAACCTGGTCATGGGCGCTGTCATAACTCAAAAACTTACTGGTGCTTAGCAGGGAATGGATGGGAATGGGGGAATGGGATGATTATTACTAGTGATTATGGATCATTCCCTAATTCCCGACTAAGCACCAGTAAGAAAAGAGGTGGCATATGTTGCATATGGTTGCCTCATAGCTTCTATAGTACTATAGTTCAAAAAAAATGGTCCAGCTAGTTTGGCATCATCGATCCAGAAAAAACCTGGGCTGTTGTTATTGCTCTCTGACACCAACACTCTCTACAGGAGAGTGGAATTCTGGCCCTTCTGCCTTGGCTAAAAAGTTGATTCCAGAGGGCTTCATCCATGAAATCCCAGACATTTTGAGTTGAAAATCCTACTGGACATTTTTACAATTCTTGTTTCAGCCTCATTTTGCCATCGCCAAGAATCGACCAAAATGCTGCGAAATATAGGTGTTATGGTATTGCTGAAAATGGAGTATACTGAGTATACTCCCAAATTGCCAGATCAACCATCATATTTGGGGTACACCATTTTCAGACAGACCCATATAAACATCAGTGTCCCCATTTTTCTTTCATACCACTATAGTAACTATAGTAGCCATGTATTCATTGGTTTTCCGCCCTCATTTCTTGATACTCAGATCACCATCGCAACGATGCTCAAATCCCACCATCCAATTGCTCACAAATGACTTAAATGACAAAAATCATCTTAAACCCAATTAGGTCCCCATGTAGATCAATTGTATATAATTGTATGTATATTAAATACATGTCTTTTAACTTTATCATGTGGTGGGGAAACGAAACGAAAGAAACTTGTCGCTCCAACTGGCTCCCCATTTTTTTGAGGGGATATGAGGATACCCCAAACCGCTCCCTTCACCCTCCATTCACGATACATTTGCAGATTTACTTTTGGATTTACCATTATACCACTAATTACCACTAATTAACCAGAAAAAATCGGACTTTGGGTATCTCTGGATGACCCCCTAAATATACCACTAATTATACCACTAATTACCACTAAATCCGAGAATCCCTCTCTCTGGCTATCTCTGGCTATCTCTGGATGACCCCCTACGTGTCGAGTCACGTGGATCGTCGGTCTGCCCCGGGCTCTGCGCCTAAGCCCGAGTGACTTCCAGCGATTCAGCATGGAAAAAAGTGGTATTTCACTGCAAAAAAATGGTGAATTGTGGTGAGTTCTACGAAAAATCACTGGGATTAACCAGCATCCAAAAATGGTTTTTTTTTTCATGGATTGAATAGGATTGAACTAACCAAAATGAGGACCAGCGAAGAGTCCAGAAAAAAATGGTGCAGTCTGAACCAAATGGCCTCAGAAAACCCCAGATGGTCGACATGACTCAGGTATAGCTCTGTTCATTGGATCTTCAATTTGATTCGCATACTGGCACACACTCATATGGGTATGGGTATGGGTCAAACATCCGCCTCGAAACCACCAAGATGGTTCAATACCCAAAATGCTTTCAATATTTCGGACGATTATCATAAATATTATGGTGGTTGAAAATACCATTTGTTGTCATAATATCATAAATATCATAATATTATTTGCTTCAATACATTTCAATACTCAAACTGGATCGAAATGGCAGATCCGATTACTTGGGCCATGCCGATATCACATGACCGACTGGTCGACCTCCGAATCGCCACCAAGCGGTCACCGGAACTTCGGAGGCCCCAACTCTGCAAAGCGTTGGCAGATTCGTGTGAATCACGGCCTGGGCGATATCTCCATGATGAAAAATTCCCCGTAGGATTGATGGTGAAGACCCTACGGTGTAACAAATATAATATATAATAGATATATAATGATACATATATATATATGGATAGATATAGATGTATATATAGATAGATAGATAGATAGATAGATAGATTGATTGATTGATTGATTGATGGATAGATAGATAGATAGATAGATAGATATATAATATGATACTATATATTATATTATATATTATTATATAACGGTGAAATATGGTGAAATCATGCTTCGCCACCTTTTACCAGGGACCAGGGACCCCTTCCTTAACCGCCAAGCTGCATCCCCTTCCTTGTCGTCTCGCATGGCGGCCATCTGGTTGGACGTGGGACCCAGATTCCTCGGAGGCACCGATCCATCCGAGGTGGACCAGTAGACCGGGAAGTGGCTCATGGTGGTACCAGAAAAGAATGGTTAATAATGGTTAATAGTGGTTAATAGTGGGTAATAATGGTTAATGATTTGGAACCAGAAAATCACAAATTCTCTTTTTCCATGGATTTGGAACCAGAAAATAAAAGATATGGAGGGACTGGGGAGCACTTCTGTTTGATTTGCAACTGGCTACGTATTGTCAATTGGCCTCAGGAAGGGTTGATGTTAGGAGCTTCACCAGTTTTGGATGTTTGGTTTTGACAAATTGACCACGAGAACATCATGTGACAAAATCCACGCTGCCACCGCGAGTTCAAGTATCAAAGTTCCGCGCAAAAGAAAACGCGCAAAGGATGGGGAAGCGTCAACACATTGAAGGCTGAACAACTGAGAACTATATAAAATATACTAGACCATATAAGACCAATTATATAATTTATATACAATGGAAGAATCATCACCATCCCCATCACCACCACCATCATCACCATCATCGTTGTCCTCATCTTATCACCACCCGACCACCTCTTGGAGACCCCAGCGGGCTGGCAGTGAGGACGTGTGCCTTTGTGAACCGAGGGGGTTCCATGCAGGTCGCGTCCATCTCCTGCGCCAAGTCTCGCTGTGATCGCTCCAGTCTGTCTCGCTGGGATAGGGAGGAAATGCTGCTGGGTATTTCAGCTTTATTTTTGCCATAGTTGGTTTGTTCTTGGGTTTATGACATGATGGGAAACCATGGGAAACCATGTTTTTCAAAATGTTTTTTTCAGCCTGTTGTCTTCTCCTGGGCCGGGCCCATCTCTGTAATCCATCCGTAGAGGAAGATAATCGATTGGAGCATCCAGCGGCGATGAAAACGAAAGAACCAAGGGATGACATCAACAATGCGGTTGCTTACAGTGATAGGATGTGATAGGTGGATAGGGAAGACCAAATGGGTTTGTCTGAAAATAGTGTACCCCTAAACCCAATGGTTAATGATCATTATCCCTACTAAATGGCTATAATTGGGGGTATACCCCATTTTCAGACGTACCCAAATGTTCATGAGGATTCCCGCCCTCAGCTTCACAGCAACCGCAACCTCGAGGCTGTGACCCTCTTGGTACGATGATCTACGTGTGGCCAGAATCCGTATACTGAGCGCCCCAAAATGACATGCCCAAAAAGCAGGACGGATTCAGGTTCCAAACAATAACTAGACACTGGTCCGTTGGTGCCTATGTCAAATTGGTTGTATCATCTTATTTCCACGTTGCTGTTTGTAAATCCTCATCTTTGGTCGCTTGAAGATGCACATTTTGGTTGGTGAAAATTGAGGTTTGTCTTAATATCCATATGCTCGTGACTGCTTCTACTTGGATGTACATCCGAGTTGGCAAGTACAAAGAGAATAAGCCATACCACCTACAACTGGCTCCGCGGACGCTTCCTATCTGGGATGCCCATCCAAGTATGAACCCGAAGAACAATCCCACTCAAATAGTAGTACATTACTTTATTGTGGGTTACCTGCTTCATTTTTCCAGAAAGTGTGTGTATTTGGAGGGCACCGCCATTGTTTTTCAACAGATATCATACAAATCAAACAAAAATATCTAAGGGTTTTGATATCCCCCATATTGTCTGGATTAATCTAGGGATTCTGGGGTGGGTTCTTTAAAATTGAGGCATCCCCCAAGATCACCTGGGGCGAAAACGGCACCGACACGGCACCGACACGGCACCAGCCTTCATCACGCGGCGCTCAATCAAGGCGCCGGTGACGCTGCCCACCACGCTGCCCGCGATCACACCGATGGCCTCGCTCGTTGGAGTTGGAGATGTCGCTGGAGCGTTGAAAAGGGTGAAATCTTGGGTGATTCAGTGATCATGTATGATATAATATATATATATATATAATGTGGGAAAAACAATGCCATAAACCAGCCATGACTGGGAAGGGTAAACATACCTATGAAATTGGTGAAATCGGGGTGTGATTTATTATTGTTTTACCCACATTCATCTGAATTGGCATGAACCAATCATATTCAGATCATGATCAGATAGATCTCTGATTAAACTTGGTGAATCCAGCAACAAATCCGAAATGCCATGGATTTGGGGCGAAAAAAGCCTCAAACTGGGCCAGCCGAGCCCAGTGCACCAGCAAGCCCACACTGAGAGCCGCCTCAACGGCAAGCCACGAAGATCCAAGAGTGCTACGTGTTTGCTAAAGGCGAGAAAATATACTTGTAGGCATGCACGAAATTGACAAGATAGAATATTCAAGGGGGTGTTCTGTGACTATTTGTGAATATTCTATATTAATATTCTATCTTGTGGTGTTTTTTTTGAGTGGGAGGCCGATGGTAATTTTCTCACTCGCGTGTCTGGTAGTGAAAAATATTCTATCTTTCGGGCGGTCGGTATACTTGCTCTGTCATACATTGGGGGATTGATAGAATCACTGTTTAATACTGTTTAATGATAGGGTCAAAATATGTCATAGTACGATCACTTTTTGTCAAAGAAGCATAATGGTCATACTATCATCACGAACCCTGCTGAAATGTTATGTGTTTTCATAGTATCATAATCATCATCATCATCGTCGTCGTCGTCATCATCATCATCATCATCACAAACGTAAGAGTCATCTTCAAACACGTTGTGCAGGAGTAATTATTCGCTGTCATACTAAGAGTAGATATTACCCGCAGCTAAACAATCATGGCAATAGAAAATCCCTTACCCTCTGGTAAACATACAAAAAACTATGGAAAATCACGATGTTTCATAGCTAAATCAACTATAAATGGGCCATTTTCAATAGCTATTTTGACATAACCAGAGGGTAGTTCCTATCCGATGGATCTCAAAGGCCCAGCGACCAGAGTGCCCGCTCCAACACTCCATTTGCCTTGCCATTTCGCTGTCGGCATCGAACCCACTGCTGGGACCATTGTCATGGGAATATCAATGGGATATACCCTCTATCAATGGATCTATGTGTCTTAATTTTCTATCATACTTCACCAAAGCTGAAATAGCTCCGTGATTTTGAGGTCGTTACAGTACTGACTATCATTTCGGGCGTCATGCGACGTCGTGATACCATTACAATGTGTTGCAATCCAGCGCGAGTCCACGTGTTCCTGTCAAACAAAATTACCGTTTGGCAATCAAACATAGCTGGCTGGAAAATCCATGAAAATCCACCATTTATAGATGATGTCCCAGCTAGAAACCTTCATTTAGTTCGAGGATTTCCCAATGGAAATCCCACAACACATGATGTTCCGACGTCTTGGATCGGCAGCTGACGCCCAAAGTTTCAAGTTCGACTCTTTTCAAAGCCTCAGGCCTTTCCGAGACATCTAAAATCGCCATTCCAAAAAAATCTCCTTTTGATCCATGGAAAACTCCATGGGTTTTCCATCCAATCCTCTGGCAAAAACTCCATGGAGCCCACTGATCCCACCTGCCGGCCGCTCCAACATCTTGTCCGTGGCCAAGCCATAAGCCAGGCCTGGCCGTGGCCGCGATTTCTGGCCAGGTTTTGGCTGGAAAAGTCATCGAACCAGTCATGGTAGTTGTTCCTGCAAGCCATGATTTCCAAATGCTATACCCTCTGGTTATTTATAGATGGTTTACCTATTAAAAATGGTGATTTTCCATGGCTATGTTAAATAACCAGATGGTAAATCTTGAGTTTATGGCAGATACATCGAACATCTTTTCGAACTAGCTGTGGCAAACCAACATTTTTGGGGAACAACACAAATTATGTCAAAAACGGGTTTGTCTGAGAAAAACACAGTTTTTGTCAAAAACGGAGATGCAGAAAGCCACGTTGTGGAGGTGGTCATCAAATTTTGGGTATCTCATGGTCTCTCCATCTTGGAATTCTACCACTTGCCGGAGTTGGTCGTAAATCCTAGTGTATCCCCAGCATCCCGAATATGTATATATATATATAACACATAACATAATATTAATCATCAGCCAAACATCATATATCAAAAGAATATCCCATATTTCTCATGCGTATATCAAAAAAAAACATTTTTGCGGAATGGTGCAATCCCCATGAAACTGCCAATCAACTGGGGGTTTTGATACTGTTTCCATTGTGAGAGCCATCTGAGCAGTGTTCAAAACCCCCGGTCATTCCATTAACGGTTGGTCAACAACGGGATTCCCAGTTCATGCATTATCACAATTCCCAAAGTATAGAACAGCAACATATTCCCGGAACTAATCATCAACATTCATCAACCAACCATCATTTATCAATGATCTCCATTGAGTTCCATTTATATCATATCTTTCATAGTTGAAACCATGTACTGTTAAATCCCCATTATCACCAACCGGGCCCGGGGGTTCTGTTGAACGCTTCGCCACTGCTTGGGTGGCACAAGCGCGCCTATGAGGTAGGCGATTGCCACGGAGATCAGAAGCCCCAAACCGTCTCCAAAGTTGCCCACCAGCAACTGCGGACATCTGGATAAATGGGATACCCTCTGGTAAACATACAAAAAACTGTGGAAAAACACCTTCTTTAATGGGTAAATCAGCTATTTCGATGGCCATTTTCAATAGCAGACTGTTTGTTTACCAGAGGGTATAACATGATTTAACCATGAAAACTCGTGGTTAATATACGATATAATGGACACAATGGGTAATAATGGGTAATAATGGGATATAATGGGACATAATGGGATATAATGGAATATATAGGTATATATATATTGGAATACAACCGGATATACCATCTGGTAAACTAACAGTGCTATGGTATAGGTGGCCCATATGAGTTCGATGATTCGCCTATTAAAATGGAGGTTTTCCTTAGCTATGCTAGTTTACTGGAGGGTGCAGCAATCAATGGATTGGTGTAAGGGAAAACCTACAGGAAAGCATGGTTCTTGACACCAAATATAGGGTCCTGCAAATTTCACTTGAACCAATTCTGTGAAGTACGTGGAGGACCGATCCGCAGTTTCTTTACGAAATAAAGGTAGTAACGTGGCAAACCCACTGACCACAGCCATAAACTTACCATTTGGGGCTGGTTTATACAACCCATTTCTGGTGATATTGGGGATGGTTTACATTGGATTTTCCACATTAATATAATCCATATAATTTCATGAATAAATGATATGCATATATATATATACAGAACATGTAAATGGACATGGGAAGATGTGTATGGATGTATGTAATGTAATGTAATGTAATGCAATGTAATGTAATGCAATGCAATCTAATGTAATGTAATGTAATGTATGTTTGTGTATGTGTGTATGTGTAATATTGTATCATATCATATCATATCATATCATATTATTATATATTATATTTTATTATTTTATGTTATTTTATATTATTGTATATTATATTATATTATATTAAATTATATTATATTGTATTATATTATTATTACTATCATTTGATATGTTCCCCGACATTTTTTTGGTTTACAGTACATCTCTTCGGGGCGCGGCACCCCGGCGCACCCCATGCGAGAGCAGGCCGCCATAAACCCCACCAATCACGCCAAAAGGGCCGGACCTTGGTCACCACCCCATGTTTGGCGATTCTTTATCGGAAAATGCATGGTAAACCCTTCATATTTTGGGGGATACTCTAGTTTTTCAAAAAAACTATACATAATCCTATATATATACATATATATGATATATATATAAGATATATATATATATGGACATTATATGATCATATATGGACATCTGCACTGGAAAAACTATATAAACATATTAATAAACCCTGGTTGATTAATTGGCTTGGTCATAGTGATCATCCGAATAAACTTTGGGGTGGCGAATGCTGCGCCAAAATATGAAGGTCTCCATGGCCTGAATCCCCATGTTCACACCTTCTTCCATTGAAATCTGCCCCAAAACTATATTGTGTCAGTCCAAAAAAAGGATACCCCAACACAATACCATACAATACCAATTTCTTTGCCCAAACTAACGGGATCTAATATGATATAATATGATATAATTAGCCCGATGTTATGGCAATTTGAAGGACAATCAGGTTTCAAACCATCAACTTATGGCAAGTTTGGGGGAAAATGAGGTCCCACAAGGTCAGTCCAAGTCGCATCACCCTGGAAGTTGACAGCAGCGGGTACAACTCGGTGCGGATGATTGGGGCGCTCAGAGGATATACCGTGCATTGATGGGTTCTTACATCGCCTGGGCGCAATATGGTATGTATTGGTTTGTTACGAACTGTATGATTGGAACTGTATGATTTAGAGGCATCATATTGGGATATGTCATTTCTTTTAATGTGCAAGAAAGACGTTCCGACGTAGGAAGATGGGATTGCTGTGGGTTACTTCTAGCAGGGATGGTTATCGGAAAAAAATGGTTTGCTACAGGATGATTCTAGGGATCATATTGGGATGTACCATATCCCCGACTAACAGCTGGACTCTGCAAAATAGGAGGTTGGAGGACTTTCCTCTAAAAAAGGTCGTAATTTTCCGGGTCTGAATGTTCGTTGGGGGGATGGTAAACTGGTCGGAAAAGCGTTCCAATCACTTCCTAACCAAAGCTATAGTTGCGTCAAATCACCACTTCAGCGACCATGCTACTTACATGAAAGCGTCATTGTCCAAAAAAGAAAACATGTTATGATGGAGTAATGAGTGGTAAAATCCATTCATAGATCATACGGTAAATCATTCTTAGGCTAGATTTTTTAGAGGATCTTCTATGTTACAAGTACTCTGAAAATTCCGCGGTAATTACCGACTCTTACCAAGGGATTACCCATGATTTACCCATGATTTACTATGGATATCATACATGTCATGGGTAAATCATGCAATGTGGCCCCTCCAGCTATAAGTCGCTTTATAAACCCCATTAACTATAGTTAAAGGTATCATAAACATTCATAAACCATAGTTATTGACGTTATAACCCAACTTAGCTATCTAGGTGGGGGCACATTGTGGTAAATCATCCTTCATGTTTCAAGATGGTTTCCTCAATTTTGCCGGACCAAGCCGTGACTGAGGTGCCAAACGCTGCTGGGACCCTCCGAGCCTGAGGGAATGAGGATTTTTCAATGATCTGATAGGACTTCAATGGAATTTCAATGGGATTTTGCTGGGATTTCATTGTTTTTTTCATGGGATGCTTATTGGGTTTTGCTAGTAGTTGTTCACTGGATGTCAGGAATGGGATTTTTATGGGAACTCAGGGGATCTTCTGCCAACCATTTACTGTACTGGTTTCATTCCAAATCCTAAGCGCATCCACAGGACCCTCTTCCCTTTTTCCGGAACCAGTTTCCTTATCGAACTCCGTTGCTTTTTTTGTTCTACGCTTCGGAAGGCTCAAGTGGGATGAATCTACTGTGAGTTGCCTTTCGAGGTTCCACAGTCCACATCGGGATGGAATTCCTCTCTCTGAGGCATCACTGTCACAGGCCCTGCCAAACACCCTCCTCAGATTGGTTTTAGAACAAAACATGGACAAACCTATATACAGAAATGCAGGGTTCCTCGAGGTCCACTGCCTGGATCTATATATACAGAAGGGGGTGCGAGTCAATCCGCACGCTCTACAGGACGAAACCCTGCAGAGGCAACCCCAGGAGACTAATGATACAGTTCACCGTGCCCAATGAAATCTGTGCGGACAAGCCGAATCATGCAGTGCAAAAGGCACGAAGCGGCGAAATAACATGAGAAAAAAAGGCATCGGTGAAGTGAGACAAACCAGGATACCACCCGTGAACCCTCACCGTATGTTCTATCCAAGGAAGACAGCGTCACAAGGGAAGCCGTCTCAGTCCGATGCAATCAGAAGGCGGAGAAGACCTGGAACTTAAGCTTCATCAAGAAGAGCCCGTGTGTCAGGGATGGTGGCCCGCCGTCGGAGGACTGCGCGAGCATTTTCTCGATGCAGGGTGATTCCAAGTGCTTGGTAGAGCCTGCTAGTTTCGAGAGAAGATGGTTCCCCAGTCCGAGCAGCAATCGCCGCGCCCAACGAGTTCCAGGTGGCTACGGCCGTTGGGCCCCAGCCCCCGCCAATTGCTTCAGCAACCAATGGGAGGAATTGAAGGCCCTCTGCTTGACACTGCGCGTGGGTGTTGAGGAAAGCACATTTTTTGGCTTCATAATCGGCAGCAGCTCGTTCACCTGCTGTGGCAGAAGCAGCAACGCTGCCTTGTCGAAGACCGGACGTGACAGCCAGATCAAAAGCTGCAGCGCCATGCAACCCCCAACTGCCGACCCAAACGTCTGCAGGGCGACGGCCACCACCAGCCTGGCGAGCACCGTCTTCGGGGCCACCACCATCATCGGGCCGAGGTGGGAGGAGGCCCCTCCTCAGATCCGGCTCGTCCGAACGAGCTTTGGGGATGGGCAATTTTGGCCCAAACCACTGGTGAGGAGGCTTGGCAGCATGGGCTCCACACGAAGTCCTTTGTCTTCTGTGGCCATCTGTCTGGCGGTGGCGGCTTCCACCAGCAATCCATCCCAGAGCAGGGATTGCGCCTCACGTGAGGGGCTCGGCTCGGTGACTCATGGAGACGAGGGAGAGGGAGAATGGAGGACAGCAGTGCTGTGAGCCACAAGCGCAGCAAATTCACCAAGTTTGGCCATGACGTATCAAGATGTATCAAGTATATGATGAGCATGCTGCTTCAGCCCCTTGCCCATCATGAATTCCCCAATCTTCACCTGTCGAAGCCATCCCCAAAGGGTTTGGGGTCAAGTCATATATGGGCTACCCAAAATACATGGTGCATACGATCTTTGCTCCCTAGGGCCCTAGGGTCTGAAGGGGTTAATCCACACCCCAAAACTCGAATTCCGAGCAAGTCCTACTCTCCAAAAACTGGAAAGTTTCCCCGATTGTGGCTGGTGACTCCTCTTCAACCATCATCATCACCCCCGGCTCGGTCTCAGTGTCCATTCCCACTGAAATCTCCATCTTAGTTCCAATTCCTGCCTGTCATTTATCTGGCTGAAGTTCATCATAACTCAACCGAAAATGTTTGGTGAGGGTTGATTTCATCATGGTTCAACCTGAAATGTTATACATGTACCAACCATCTTAGAAAGAATAAATATATAATGTAATCATCATCATCATCATCACCATCATCATCATCATCATCGTTGTCATCGTCATTGTCATTGTCATCGTCATCGTCATCGTCATCGTCGTCATCGTCATCATCGTCATCATCGTCATCATCGTCATCATCGTCATCATCGTCATCATCGTCATCGTCATCGTCATTTATAATGTATATATATAACCAACCAAAACGATAAACACAGTATATATGTCATGTCATGTCATATCATATCATATCATATCATTAGTAGCATATCATATCATCAAAGGAAGTTGGGAAGCAATACTTCCGAGTTACGAATGACTTTTACTTGATGGAATTGACTATGATGAAGGGTGGTGCGCGAGTGAGACTTGATGGAATTGACTATGATGAAGGGTGGTGCGCGAGTGAGACTTGACCTTGATGAAGGGTGGTGTGAGCCTTTGCATTACATGACAATACAGCAGAAAAGAACTGACTTTGATGAAGGGTGGTGTGAGACTTTACATAACAATACATGAGTGAAGAACTGACTTTGATGAAGGGTGGTGTGAGCCTTTACACTACATGACAATACATCAGGAAAGAACTGACCTTGATGAAGGGTGGTGTGAGACTTTACACTACATAACAATACATGAGTGAAGAACTGACTTTGATGAAGGGTGGTGTGAGCCTTTACACTACATGACAATACATCAGGAAAGAACTGACCTTGATGAAGGGTGGTGTGAGACTTTACACTACATAACAATACATGAGTGAAGAACTGACTTTGATGAAGGGTGGTGTGAGACTTTACACTATGACAATACATCAGGAAAGAACTGACCTTGATGAAGGGTGGTGTGAGCCTTTGCATTACATGACAATACAGTAGAAAAGAACTGACTTTGATGAAGGGTGGTGTGAGACTTTACACTACATAACAATACATGAGTGAAGAACTGACTTTGATGAAGGGTGGTGTGAGCCTTTACACTACATGACAATACATCAGGAAAGAACTGACCTTGATGAAGGGTGGTGTGAGACTTTACACTACATAACAATACATGAGTGAAGAACTGACTTTGATGAAGGGTGGTGTGAGCCTTTGCATTACATGACAATACAGTAGAAAAGAACTGACTTTGATGAAGGGTGGTGTGAGACTTTACACTACATAACAATACATGAGTGAAGAACTGACTTTGATGAAGGGTGGTGTGAGACTTTACACTATGACAATACATCAGGAAAGAACTGACCTTGATGAAGGGTGGTGTGAGACTTTACACTACATAACAATACATGAGTGAAGAACCTTGATGAAGGGTGGTAGATAACATAACAATACATAACAAAAGAAGAAGAAGCTGTGACACAGGGTGGGTGAAGAAGGGAAGCGATGATGAAGGGGAGTGGTGAGGAAGGGAAGTGGTGAAGAAGGGAAGTGATGATGACGGGGAGTGGTGACGAAGGGAAGTGTTGACGAAGGGAAGTGGTGAAGAAGGGAAGTGGTGAGGATGGGAAGTGGTTAAGAAGGGGAGTGGTGACGAAGGGAAGTGGTGAGGAAGGGAAATGGTGAAGAAGGGAAGTGGTGAGGAAGGGAAGTGGTGACGAAGGGAAGTGATGATGAAGGGGAGTGGTGACGAAGGGAAGTGGTGAAGAAGGGGAGTGGTGACGAAGGGAAGTTCTATGCGTTTCTTGAAGTTGTGGTTGCAGATCGCATTGGAATGGCTGCATGAATGTTGCATGGGCTTTGTTTTGGGGAGGAAGCCGGAGCACGAAACCTTGTGTTTTTCCGTGTAAAGTGGCTGCAGCCGGCGATGAAAGGTACCTCGTGTGTGCGGCGGTTGCGGCTGCGGTCGTTTGGTTCCTTCTATGTGTTTTGCAACAATGGTGCTTCCTGTGTGTGTAGTTCTATGCGTTTCTTGAAGTTGTGGTTGCGGATCGCATTGGAATGGGTGCATGAATGTTACATGCTGTGTGTTGTGGGGAGGAAGCCGGAGCACGAAACCTTGTGTTTTTCCGTGTAAAGTGGCTGCAGCCGGCGATGAAAGGTACCTCGTGTGTGCGGCGGTTGCGGCTGCGGTCGTTTGGTTCCTTCTATGTGTTTTGCAACAATGGTGGTTCCTGCGTGTGTAGTTCTATGCGTTTCTTGAAGTTGTGGTTGCAGATCGCATTGGAATGGCTGCATGAATGTTGCATGGGCTATGTTTTGGGGAGGAAGCCGGAGCACGAAACCTTGTGTTTTTCCATGTGAAGTGGCTGCAGCCGGCGATGAAAGGTACCTCGTGTTTGCGGCGGTTGCGGCTGCGGTCGTTTGGTTCCTTCTATGTGTTTTGCAACAATGGTGGTTCCTGTGTGTGTAGTTCTATGCGTTTCTTGACGTTGTGGTTGCAGATCGCATTGGAATGGCTGCATGAATGTTACATGCTGTGTGTTGTGGGGAGGAAGCCGGAGCACGAAACCTTGTGTTTTTCCGTGTAAAGTGGCTGCAGCCGGCGATGCAAGGTACCTCGTGTGTGCGGCGGTTGCGGCTGCGGTCGTTTGGTTCCTTCTGTGTTTTTTGCAACAATGATGGTTCCTGTGTGTGTAGTTCTATGCGTTTCTTGAAGTTGTGGTTGCAGATCGCATTGGAATGGCTGTATGAATGTTGCATGGGCTTTGTTTCGGGGAGGAAGCCGGAGCACGAAACCTTGTGTTTTTCCGTGTAAAGTGGCTGCAGCCGGCGATGAGAGGTACCTCGTGTGTGTGCGGCGGTTGCGGCTGCGGTCGTTTGGTTCCTTCTATGTGTTTTGCAACAATGGTGCTTCCTGTGTGTGTAGTTCTATGTGTTTCTTGAAGTTGTGGTTGCAGATCGCATTGGAATGGCTGTATGAATGTTGCATGGGCTTTGTTTCGGGGAGGAAGCCGGAGCACGAAACCTTGGGTTTTTCCGTGTAAAGTGGCTGCAGCCGGCGATGAGAGGTACCTTGTGTGTGTGCGGCGGTTGCGGCTGCGGTCGTTTGGTTCCTTCTATGTGTTTTGCAACAATGGTTGCTTCCAAGTGTGTGGTTGCGGCTGCGGTCGTTTGGTTCCTTCTATGTGTTTTGCAACAATGGTGCTTCCTGTGTGCGTAGTTCTATGCGTTTCTTGAAGCCGTGGTTGCAGATCGCATTGGAATGGCTGCGTCAAGGTTGCTTGATGCCGCGCCTGCATGCATAATACTATTGTCTTTTGCAGCTGAAGATCGTAAATCGTATTGGAGTGGCTGCATCCAGGCTGCGATAGTGATGTATCAGCAGATTTTCTCAATTTTGGCGCTAATAATTTTCCTTTTAAAATCCTTTTAAAAAGTGCTTCAAAATCGTCTTTTTGTCGCTTTGGCGTCGAGATCCGGTTTTGGAGCTGCAATTTCCGACGCCATTGCACGTAGTTCTATTGTGTTTTGCAACTCAGTCTCTGCAGATCGCATTGTCGTGGTTGCGTCAAGGTTGCTTGGTGCAGCGGCTGCATGCGTAATACTATTGTCTTTTGCAGCTGAAGATCGTAAATCGTATTGGAATGGCTGCATCAAGGCTGCGAAAGTGATTTGTCAGCAGATTTTCTCAATTTTGGCGCTAATAATTTTCCTTTTAAAATTCCTTTTAAAAAGTGCTTCAAAATCGTCTTTTTGTCGCTTTGGCGTCGAGATCCAGTTTTGGAGCTGCAATTCCTGTTGTGATTATGTACAAGAAAGCTTCTCTGTGCAAAAACTTTTTCTGTAAAAGCTTGCTGTGTGTAAAAGCTTCTGTGTGTAAAAGCGTCTCTGTGTAAAAGTTTCTGTGTGTGTAAACGCTTGCCATGTGTAAAAGCACTGTGCGTAAGTGTTCTGTGTGTAAACGCTTGCTGTGTGTGAAAGCTTGCTGTGTGTGTGTAAAAGCTTGTTGTGTGTAAAAGCTTCTCTGTTTAAAAAGCTTGCTGTGTGTGTAAACGCTTGCCATGTGTAAAAGCACTGTGTGTAAGTCTTCTATGTGTAAACGCTTGCTGTGTTTGAAAGCTTGCTGTGTGAAAAAGATTTTTGTGTAAACGCTTGCCATGTGTAAAAGCACTGTGTGTAAGTGTTCTGTGTGTAAACGCTTGCTGTGTGTGAAAGCTTGCTGTGTGTAAAAGCTTCTCTGTGAAGAAGCTTGCTGTGTGTGAAAGCTTGCTGTGTGTAAAAGCTTGTTGTGTGTAAAAGCTTCTCTGTTTAAAAAGCTTGCTGTGTGTGTAAACGCTTGCCATGTGTAAAAGCACTGTGTGTAAGTGTTCTGTGTGTAAACGCTTGCTGTGTTTGAAAGCTTGCTGTGTGAAAAAGATTTTGTGTGTAAAAGCTTGCTGTGTGTAAAAGCCTATCTGTGTGTAAAAGCGTCTCTGTGCAAAAGTTTCTGTGTGTAAACGTTTGCCATGTGTAAAAGCACTGTGTGTAAGTGTTCTGTGTGTAAACGCTTGCTGTGTGTGAAAGCTTCTCTGTGAAGAAGCTTGTTGTGTGTAAAAGCTTCTGTGTGTAAAAGCTTCTCTGCTTGAAAAGCTTGCTGTGTGTAAAAGCTTCTCTGCGAAAGAACTTGATGTGTGTAGAAGCTTTGTAATACAAAGTAGTACTGGAACGTGTTTTGTGCAAGCTTTGTAGTACAAAGTAGTACTGGGAAGCAGTTTGTGCAAGCTTTGTAGTACAAAGTAGTACTGGGGAGTGCTTTGTGCAAGCTTTGTAGTACAAAGTAGTACTGGGAAGTGTTTTGTGCAAGCTTTGTAGTACAAAGTAGTACTGGGAAGTGGTTTTTGCAAGCTTTTGTAGTAGACATCAGTACTGGGAAGTACTTGAAATAAAAATAGCCAAGAAGAACTTAGCTGACATATGGGAAGACATGGAATGAGATGAGAAGAGCTCAGATGAGATGAGTTGAGATGAAGTGCAAGTGTGAAGTGTGGAGTGTAGGAGGTGTGAAGAGTGCAATGTGAAGTGTGAGGAAAGTGTTTGCATTCTACCGGGGTCGCGCGCAGGTCATGTTCTTGGACAGCAACACTGCAACAGCTTCGCACAAAGCACGCACGCACGGGCCTGGCTGGCGCACGGCGCATGCAAGTTCCTTAGTAGTAGTACTGGGAAGTGATTCATGAAAGCTTAGGTGACATATGAGAAGAGATGAGATGAGAAGAGATGAGCTGGGATAAGGTGAGAAGAGCTCAGATGAGATGAAGTGTGGAGTGTGAAGAGTGCAGTGTGAAGTGTGGGGCGTGAAGAGTGCAGTGTGAAGTGTGGAGTGTGAAGTGTGAGAGTGTGAAGTGTGGACTGTGAAGTGTGAAGTGTGGAGTGTGAAGTGTGAAGTGTGGATTGGGAAGAGTGCAGTGTGAAGTGAGAAGTGTGGAGTGTGAAGTGTGAAGTGTGCAGTGTGGAGTGTGAAGAGTGCAGTGAGAAGTGTGAAGGGCGAAGTGGAGCTTCAAATGTGACATGTGAAACAGGACACCACTTTCGCAGAGTGCACGCACGCACGGGCTTGGCTGGCGCACGGCGCATGCAAGTTCTATAGATGAGAAAAGTCTTATATATATCTTTAAGGCAACTTCCGCCCCGCTTCGTGCGGGTACTACTGGTATCTATGTATCATACATATAGGGAAGTTTCCTAAAATAGGGGTACCCCCAAATCATCCATTTATAGATAGATTTTCCATGAAATAAACCATCCATTTTTGGGTATCCCATTTATTCGAAACCCCTATAACGGTCCAGCGGCCATCGGGGTTGGGCATCGTCTTGCGAAATGCCAGGTTGGTCCCGGGCACCAGGACCAAGGCCTTGGGATCCGGACGGGGTAAGATCTCAAAAATAGGGATATATAGCTGGTGTAGTCTAAATGTCTAGATGTATGATATATATAATATATATATATATACATATTCATATATATATATACACATATTCATATATATCTATATACATATTCATATATATATAGTTCCATGTTATATATATATATACACACACATGTGGCTTGTGTAAAAATTCTCTATCATGTGCGTGTTGGAAGTGCTATAGTTGCTGGATCCCCAATTCCACGTCTTCCGCGTATAATACAGGATGGTCCCCCACCGTTCTATGGGTGTCTGAAAATAGGGTACCTGCTGGTTGGTGGTATACCTACAAAAATATGACTTCGTCAGTTGGGATGATAAAAATCCCAATAGATGGAAAAAATAATCTATATAAATGTTCCAAGCCACCAACCGGTGATGGTTGATCACCATAGAATGTTGGGGGACACACCCATAGAATGGTGTGTCTGTTGATCATTTTCCCTATTGAAATGTGAAATGTTGGGGATATTTGAGAGTATACCCCATTTTTAGAGAGTGATGTTGAGTGCCTAGTCCCTATGAATTGGAGCAATCCCTGTGAATGGGACCATGATCATTGACATATACGAAGCCGGGGCATCGGGGCACTCTTTCTAGGTGAAGTGATTGCCCAACATGACAAAGATGGACTGGTACCCACATAGCTATTGAAAATGGTGATTAAGAGTGGATTTACCCATTGAAAATTGTGATTTATAGTGGATTTACCCATTGAACATGGTGATTTTCCATAGTTATGTTTACCCGAGAGTAAGTTGAAAATCGCAAAATTGACCATCTAATGGCAAAATGAAAATAGAGCGCTGGACAGGGGCTCAGGGGCCCAAAGATAAGAAATATCGATTCTCCAAATGGTGGATGTCCCATTGTGAAAATACAAATGACCTTTAGCAAACAAAGGACATATATCTATTTGTCTGCAAAAATAGGATACCCAATTCCATCCAATGGTTGATAAACATGTTCTCCAAGTGTAAATTGCCATAGATTGGAGGAAAATGGGCATAGAAAAAAATTGGACTAACCCGTATCCATTTTTATCATTGGCTAAATCCTTATTTTTCATTGTTAAGCCGCCCCTTAAAATGGTTGATTCAATCCCACTTTCACACCCTGATGGATTTTTTTTGAGCGGAGCCTCATGGGGGAGTGATGTTTGCAACACCTGGTCCATTCAGATCCAGGAGGCTACCCTCTGGTAATGACTAACATAGCTATTGAAAATGGCCATTTATAGTGGATTTATGTGGATTTACCCATTGAAAATGGTGATTTATAGTGGATTTGCCCATTAAAAATGGTGGATCTTTCCATCGTTTTTTGTATGTTTACCGGAAGGGGAACATAGATATGGGAAAATCCCCCATTGATCCTGGGCAGAATTCCCATGGTATTCCCGGCATCGGACCAGCATGGCCATGGCCAAGTAGAAGTTGGTGAGGCTCAGATTCATGGTGAAAATCCTGGACATCAAGGGATCTGAAAGTCTGAAAGCAACTGTTTGGGGGTTTCCTAAGTCATGGGGGTACCCCTATATCATCCATTAAATGACAGGATATGACAGGATGTTCCATCATAAACCATCCAGCGAGCTTGGGGTTTCCTCCCATGACTCAGGAAACCTCCATTTTGTCATCTTTGGGTTCCCGGAGCTCAGACGTTTGTTTCGTTTTTTTGGGGGAACATGTTGTGTGACAAGTCGGCAAAGGTTTGGGTTTGAATGACCCTTTTTAAGCCACAATGGTGCTTGCTTCGGACGATTGATTTTCCTTCAAACAATCACTTTTCATTAAATTGTCCTTCCCATCTTTCTGCTGAAAAATAATACATAAAATCATGGCTTTCACCACATCTACTGGTCAAAACCTGTTTTTGCTGACCATTTCCCACCGAACCCTGGCCATGCCTGGCTCCCCCCACGCATTCCAAACCCGCCACGAAAACCTGGCCCGCCGACAGATGGGTACCTTGATTTCTGGCATCAATTTCCTACAGAAACACATATCCTCTGGTAATCACTAACATAGAAATTGAAAACGGCCCATAGAAATAGTTGATTTTACCTATTAAAGATGGCGATGTTCCAGTTCACAAACTCTTAGTTCGTTGACAGGTTGGGTATAAACAGGCAACACACATCTTTCAGTCACCCAGTCGTCATGCGATTGCTCAACATCTCGCACCTTAATGAGGCCGCCGGCCAGGTCACAGTTGGGGCACAATTCCAAGGCGTAGAAACTCATGGCCAGGAGCACCTGAGGCTTTGAAAGTTGGCTACCCCAACTTATCTCTTGGTTGATCAATGTTGATCATAGATATTCCCCAGTGGAATAACTAATGTGTCATCAAGTAGGATATCCCCCACTGATGATCATTATATATCATGAAATGCCGTTCAACTATGGCCCATGAAATTGCCATGACTTGGGAGCACCAAGTTTTCTTCGCGAAGAAGACCCCTTTTTTGCTGTCATCCATCCCCAATTTCACCACTTGATCATGATCTTAGACCTGCAAAAAAAAATGTTCAGCTTATGCTGTTCATCTTCGCCCATCTTTGCCCATCAAAGAAGTGGTATATGAAATTCTGTATACCCCCGATGCTTGGGATGACTTATCCATACTCCCATAGAAAATCCCAATAATCAGTCTATGAAATCCCCCATTTTTTCGATGGCAAATTCTCCATAGTCATATCATGTCCCAAGTCATATCCCGAAATCTGTTGGTTAATCCGCTACTTTTGAATACTTTTAGGCGAAGAAATTTTGACACTGATGATATCAGATATTTCATCAAACTCCTTTCATCAATATTCCTAATTAATATCATCTATGTACATATATAAATATATATATATACAGTATATATATATACCCTCTGGACCCCTCTTGGTCAAATCAATGGAAAGGAAAATCCCATTTACAAATATGACTTTCCCTTCTTGAACTCACAAAAAACCCTTCAGAATGAATTCGGCGGATTTCCCAGCTTAAAAAAATGGTTGATTGCCGAAGACTAAAAATCACTGGTACCCTCTGGTAATGACTAACATAGCTATTGAAAATGGTGATTTGTAGTGACATTTCCCATTAAACATTGTGATTTTCCATAGTTATGTTAGTTTACCAGAGGGTAAATGGATGTTCATCTAGAACTGTCTGATCCATAGAAAAACATAGAAAAACCACCACCATCTCTCACTGAAACCACCAACGTGGCCCACTGTGACCATGGGGATATGAATGATGTATATTAATTGGCCTCTGGTAATTTAACATAGCTATTGAAAATGGCCATTTATAGTGAGTTTTCCCATTAAAAATGGTGATTTTCCATAGCTATTGAAATTCAGTCTTTAAATATAGCTAAATCATCGAACTAAATTGGCAATTGTCCATAGCCATGTTAGTTTGCCGGATGGTATATCCCACTATATCCCATTTTATCCCATGATATTCCACTATACCACATTTTTTGACGATTAAATCCCATTTATCCAGATATATATATAATATCCATTTTTTAAAAATCGCGTTAGATATTGATGAAATCCCATGAAATCCCATTCAACCCCATGAAATCACCATTAAATCACCATTAAGTCCCACTGAAACATCATGAAATCATCATGAAATCCCCTTCTTTTCCCCATTTGATGTGGAAAATTTTTTGGAACCTTCCCCCATCCGCCAGGCGGCCGAGAGGGCGCCGCCCACCGCAAGTCCCACGAAGGCAGCCTTTGAAGAGTCATGGTGTCCGAAGAGTCATGGGAGCCCACCCCAAGCTCGGTTGGTTGGTGGAAAATCCGAATGGATTTTGGAATGTGAATGGCTTGGGATAATGGAACATCCACCATCAATGGCTGGTAATAGGATTAGGACAATGACCATAGGATTAGAATGGAACATCCTATGATTTCATTGATTTTTGGGCTACCCTCCATGACTTAGGAAACCTCCATATGGGAGAAATATGGGAGAACTATGTGAAACATATGATGGGAGAATGATGAAAAAGAAAATATACGATTTACAAGGGTCTCGATTCCCCCCAAATTCGACCCCAGAGAAGAGAAGCTGCAGCAGCAGCACCAAGATACCCCGCTACACCTCAAGCTTTAGCAATTTTAGAATCTAGTCGCGCTACCTGGGAAAGGTGAATAAGAACTATTGACCAAAATTTCAGGGTTCCCTAGGGTTCTTATTTCAATTAGCTGGTAGACAGAGTTGAATCCAGAAATCCAGCCCCTGAGGTTCTTAATGCAGTGGGTTCTTAAACAGTGGTTTCACTGTAGAACAAATACGGAAGTCCTGGAACAACCGGGCATGCCACCACAGGGCACTGACTGAAATTACGATAAAAAAAACTTTTCGGGCTCCAGAAAGTTTTTTTCACGGGGTCTGAATGCACCCTTAATTTTCTATTTTTTCACTCTGATGGGAACAAAAAAACTTTCTGGAGCCCGAAAAGTTTTTTTCACTCGTTGCACATGTTTTGAAAGCAATTTCTGCCCACCTCGTTTTCTGAATTTAATTAATTCACCTCGCTTAAATTGCAAAGATTCACCTCGTACCTCGTCAGCCCTCGCTCTAAATTATGCAGACATATCGACTGGTTCTGGTTGGGAAAATCTAGAGGAAACCATGGGAAGTTCCCATGATTTTTTTGGGGGAAACCCTGTAAATGTTCCCTTACTCAAATCCATTGAATATGCGTAGGAAAAATATGGAAAAATGATGAAACAAATGTGATTTCCTATGGGAAAAAGGAAGATGGATGAGAAAATCTCTCGGAAACTATGGGGCAAAAAAAGATAACTCTGGAAAAATGATAAAAAGATATAAAACAAATAAGGGACACTATGAGCAAACATCAGGGAACTATAGGATATTTATATGTGGGGAAATGTCGGGAGTGTGAGCATGAATCAGCCCCAGATCGCTGTCGGATTGGTGGAAAAATCGGAGTATCTGATGGATGGGATGCAAGCAAATGGGCTTACTCATGGTTTACTAAATACTAAATGGGTGTACAAAATACATCCAATACTATTTATATTTGGTAGGATAATGTACTAAATAGTACGGCAATTGGCTTTCTTATTGGGTAAAAAAAATACAGCAACGTGCGTTCAACTGGTGGTTTGGGATCTTCAACTTGCTGCTTTCGACCGAAACTGCCCAGCTGTCCAGTGAGGACGCTTCCCAAAAAAAGAGGACCCTGCCAAAAAAAACAGAAATGATGTTCAAAATCCACAGTTCAGAGGACAGTTTTCAGATGTTATCAGCCCCTAAAAACAGAAAGCTTGGAGAAGAACTACATCCTTCTGAATGATCATGATTGGAACCTTGATGCTGAAGAGATGATTGCGGGTCTCCTTCTTTTCAGATTGCAGTCCAAACACTACTCCCATCCCCTTAATACAAAACACCCAATGGTTCCAATTATGTCTCAATCCTCAGACTATGGTTTCTGGATGTTTCTGGGGGGTGTTGAATAGAGGGAAGGGATGATGGTTGTGTCATGTCTCAAAATTGGATCTTTCTTGACATACCCTCTGGTAAACATACAAAAAACTATGGAAAATCACCATTTTTAATGGGAAAATCCACTATAAATGGTCATTTTCAATAGCTACGTTAAATTACCAGAGGGTAGCGGAAATATCATCAGTCCAGCACATCCACCGACTGTGGAACCCCAACAACGCCCAGGTTCAAACCAATATTCGCCTGGCGAAGAAAATCCCACCGTCTACCTGCTGGTGGTTTGAGGATTAACTTGTATTTGTAGATCATATATTCATCTACATATTTTTTCCTGTCTCTGCTACCAGAAGCGTCTCGCGCTGCGGCAGTGCAATTGAATTGCAGTTGTGGCCTTCACGCTACACAGTCAGGCCATCTACATATATATATATATATATATTATACATATATATAGATTATACATATATATATATTATTATATATATACAGTATATATATTATATAGTTATGTATATTATATATATAGAGTCTTCTCTGCCATTCATAGCCAAAACCACCCCTGGAAAATTGGCTTAAACAAAATAGACCTTGACGTTCGTGGGCAAATCTCCCCCCGGTTCTCCACCAAACCCTATCCTGTGGCTGGTTAGTTGGGTAACCGTGGCCCAGCTTTACCCAGCTTTGGATGGTTCATGTCACACAGAGACACTGGAAAAAAAAATATGGTTGGAACCTCCCAAATATAATATATATATATAATTATATATATATAATTATATATATATAGAATATATATATAATGATATATAATATATAGATATAATATACAGTATATATATATATCATATTATATATAATATGATATAATCATCTGGAGGCGAGGTTTCCCGATCGCATTTCGGATGTGTCTTCAGGCTCTGATCGCCTCCAGCAGGAAGAGGGCCAAAGCGTAGCCGATGGTCACTCCATGTAACACCCTGCGCTAGCTACATGGGATCATAGGGTGTCATCCCATGCGAATCCTGACAAAATGGCTTGGAAAATCCCAAAAAAAACGGATTGATGACAATCCCCAAATGAGGGTTACAACATCATGTTTTGACCCATGGTATCCCACTTTGTCAAGGCATTTTTGGACATCCACCATGTCTGGGATTTCCCCTTTGAAACCACCTTTTTTTGGGGATGGTCAATTGCCATGTTTGACTACCGCTCAGTATGATCAACCATCCCTCAGGCTTGGACTGCCCAATCACCGGCGAGATGCGATAGGGTTGCACGGCAGCCTTGAACAAGGCGTGCAATCAATGGCCGGGAGAAATTCTGCGTGGAAACACCGCCCAGTTGTTTCTTTGTATCCTCATTTGGTGGTTCCCAGACGATTCTTGGTTCAATCATCTTGAATCCCGATGTCGGTCAACAGTCCCATTTCTGTCGCTCAAATCATGTCAAATCTATCATCTTATGCGTGTTCCCAAACTCCGCCACCATGTTTTCCAAAAAAAGTCCCCAAACTTACACTTAAGTCCCCACATCATGCGGATGCAAAACAGTAAATTATCGCCGACACTAGTTCGGCCATCTCCAGATACTCCAACCAACTTGATTTACCTAAAGGTTCTTGGTATGGCACGTTGCTGGTTGGTGGGATACCTACCCCTCTGAAAAATGACGGAGTTCGTCAGGTTGGATGATGACATGACATTCCCAACTGAATGGAAAAATAAAATCCAAATGTTCCAAACCACCAACCAGTAATTATCATATATTATCATCATCATCATGACCATATTTGGGGGAATAACCATCCATTAACCAGTTATTTCTCTGTTCCAAAGCACCAACCAGGTTGGTTTTTTCACCTCTCTGTTTATCGAAGGACGTCCCTTGCACCTTGGCCGCCTTCTTGGCCACAATCGCAGACTCAGGACGTGGCCAATGGGACAACGGCTTAGCAACAAAAATGGGGGCAAAACCAGGGGCTTACCTACCACTCTCACACGGCAAGGGTTTCAATCCACCTAGAAGCGCACGAAATGATTGAATAATGTGACCAACCTGCTGCAAAGTCCAGCAAAAATCGCAGGAAAAGGAGGAAGAGAGCAACAGTAAGGAATCATAACAGCACATGTCATAGATATATATAAATATAGATATTCATGGATACGTCACCACTACTATCAAGCTACTAGCCGACATCAAGCCCATGGGTGGATCGAACTCCATGTCCGATGGATCCAAAGTCCGATGGATCCATGTTGAAATTTGATGACTTGTTGACATGGAATGATATGGAATGTACAACTTCCTTTTTTCGTTTGGGTGGTTTATTTGGGAGGTAAAAAAAATCCCAGTTGTGTTTCACCACGGCAGTTTTCATTTAGGAATGTCTACAAGGACCCACCAGCGGTCATCGCTAAGCTTGCCAACGCCCACCACGAGTGCACCCACAATCGCTAAACCTGGGGGGATGGGGGATCCCTTGCAGGCCATCCTCGACATCATCCCATTTGGGACCAAAAAGAACAAGAAAAAACGCTGGTTCTAACCTTCTTTTATAGTATCATATGACCTTCTTCAGCACCCAGGGTTATGACATGTTATGACCTTCTTTTATAGTATCATATGACCTGATAGCTCGATTTTTCCGAAAAAAAAATGAAAAAAAAACATTTGGGTGGCCTGGCAACTGCCTTCAATTTCGGCCCCATATGGCCAGAATGCCCATTGAACCCCCATCATTGATCATGATGTTCACTGAAACTACCACAACTTGGGATATCCCTTATTTTCTTAGCAAATCCAAGGGTTTTTCTTGATCAAGTCCCTATGTGTATGGCTCAAACATGGTCATGCCGCATGCCCAATTTCTATGATCCCAATAAAAAATATCACCGATATCCATAGATCCCTGCTATCAGTCGCTCAACGGGACCATAACACCACCACCCCAACCACCGAAAGCGCTATTCACGTCGCGTCCATCAAGGCGCAAAGCACCGGCAGCAGCACTTCGCACACGGCCTGTGGTGAAGCAAATTGGGGGATAGATATATCATATATCATATAATAATTGTTACTGTTACGCATGTGTTATATACTATGTACAATTAAAGTAATTATATATATATATATGGTCCAGCGTTCCAACCCCCCTCCGCCATGGTCATGGGTCAGCCATAGTACTGTCCCCCTCCCCCCTGTGGTGTGGTGGGGGTGTGGTACTGCGTATATATATATATATAGGATATATATAGGATATATATAGGATATATATATATATGTAAATATGTATGTGTATATATATATATATATGTATATATATATATATATATGTATATATATATGTATTTGTGTGTACATATATATATATGTGAATATATGTATCTATATATGTATATATATATATGTATATTTAAAACCGAATATGTGTATATATATATGTGTGTGTGTGCGTATGTATACATATATATATATATGTATGTATGTATGTATCTATATATATATAGGAAGTAGATACATAGCACATGTATATATGTAGGTACTTTGAGGGAGTATTTGTGCTACTGAGGTCGTCTAAAAGGTAGCATGTACCTAGTAAATGCGAGGCTGGTACTCAGAATCGCTGCAAAAACCTAGCAAATACGAGGCTGGACCTCAGAAATGCTGCCAATAGCTTGCAAATAGAAGGGAAGGGGGTGCTACCTGGGGACCCATACCATTGCGGGGGGTAGGAACACGGAACACGAGACCATATATATATAATATATATATATACATTGTGTGTGTGTGTTATTGTTAAGTATTTGTTATAATATTTAACTTACGGAAAGGACTGTTGTGAGCGGCAGAATCCACAAGTTTTGGGAAGAATAGTTTCATCAGAATAGTTTCCTACTGCTTGCCCTCACAAGAGTCGTTTCTGACACATGTCATGGCACCACGTAATTACACTACATCAGTCATCTGCCTACATCTGCCCTACATCTGTCCAATTACACACATCTGTTTCCAACATCTGCCTTCACTTCTCTGCATTGACTGCACAGGTTAATCCAGATTAATCCAGATTAATCATGATTAATCTAGAACCGAAAAAAAAAAACAATGTTTCCACAACTACTGTGACCTCTAGACTAGTTGCCAAATCTTTGTTTTTTTTGGTTCTAGATGAATCATGATTAATCTGGATTAATCTGGATTAATCTGTGCAGTCAATGCAGAGAAGTGAAGGCAGATGTTGGAAACAGATGTGTGTAATTGGACAGATGTAGGGCAGATGTAGGCAGATGACTGATGTAGTGTAATTATATGCAGTACTATGCAGACTATGCAGACTATGCGTGAACTCTCCCTGAATATGTAGAAAGTTGACTACAAAGGTGTATAAAGATGCACTGATATCTTTGTGAACATGCCTGATCTATTTGATAAAGATGAGGACTGTAATATCTATTTGAAAAAACCTAATCAAAACATGCCTGACTTTGTGCATTCCCTTTGAAATATCTATTTGAAAAAAGTGCAGTAGTAATGGTCTGAAAAAGACCTTCAATACGGATACAATTTCAGAAAAGTATGGCGCCTTCTGCTAACAGATTCCAACACCATTTCAAATTAAGATCCATTACAAACACCCTTGTGTTTTTTTAGGATCATGGCATTCTTTGAAGTGAATGTTTAAAACTATCAGAAAGATGCTCCTTCAAGAAAGTGCATCATCTCTTTGAAAACTGTGTAAGATTTCCTCAAACGTTAAAACAAAATTCCAAATTTCAAGATGGAGTTCTTTTGTCTATGTAATGGTCCTTTTATCAAAAGAGTATGGTATTCCTTGAAGAATGTGTGCAAAGTCTTATTTTATCTTTAAAAAAACTATGAGCTCCTTGAGGGAGAATATTCCCCCAAGACAATGGAACTTTATTCCAAAATGTATATAACCCTGTTACGCTCTTTCTGAAATAATATGGATTTCCCTTCGTGCAGAAGGCATTACTTTGGGAAGTACCCTCTGCAAAAATGATGGAAACGATCGATTAAGAAGAGTGCACAACTCGTTCATATTGCATAAATGAACTAGTTCCTTTAGAGAAAGAACTGGTTCTTAAGGAACAACAAGCAATGAAGACTGAACCTTCTCAACAGGAATACCGCATGTCTGAAGAAAATTATCTTCTATTTTTGCAGGAACATGGCTTATTGAAAAGGATACTGTATTGTCTTATGGTGGGGTACTTGCCATGTGTAAGCAACATAGTCATCTTCCAATATTTTAAGGAATATTGCGTTGATGCATAGGACGGATATTGCACTTTGTGACATGAATTCTGCATGTTAAAAAGGTGGCTGTAAATTGAAAAACACGCTTCATATGGCACAGGAATATTGCCTACTTGAAGGGATACCACATCATTTGAAAGAAGATTGCGCTTTTTCAAAACAAATGCTGCATATTTTAGAGGATTTCTGCATAATTTGTAGGGGTATTGTTTGTTGAACAAACATTGTACTTTCTCAAAGGAAATTTACAACTTAATAAAAAATTGTTCTTTACAAGCTGGGGATACTTCCGTGTGCATTCAATACTGCATTTTAGAAAAGGAATGCACTATATTAAATTCATGCTACATATTATAGAAAAATTGCTCCCCTTCAAGGGAAGGCTGTACAAACTTCTTGAAGGGCACCCTGCATCTTTTAGAAGAACCGTGATATTTTGCAAGGATAGTGGAAAGGTTCATGCAACTATTTCAAGGATATTAAGGTGCAAATATGTTTCAATATGTTCATTTATGAATTGTGTGTACTTACATTTATGATCCTTTGCCTTATTACTCTGATGTATTTACGTACTTACTTGCATTCGATAAGAACAACATAATTCATAAGGAGACTCTTAAACAAGAAATATTAATATGATTTTGCATGGGAATCGCATGGAAGTAGATTATATCCAAGAGTTTTTGAATCAAAACCCAACCTTATTGATTGATGGCAATTTTGAGCACATAGTTGGGTGAAAAGTATGTGATTAAAAGTGCAACCTGTTCATATCTGGATTAATTTTATTTAGGATTTGCAAAAAAAAGGCAATTTATCTCAATTTTCTGCCGCTCACAACAGTCCCCTCCCTTAATTTAATGATTAGTTTATATCATCATAATATATTAGTATCCTTGATAGATTTCTTATCCTCTTTGGGGTCATTATATACTATACATGATAGCATAATACTGTATGAACAGTGATGGGTCCCTTCAAAGCTAGGAAAATGGTCCAAGGTCTTTTTTCAGGTCCCAGATATGAAAGATTTCACATCAGAGCCAACGGATCGCCTTGTTTTGGAAGATGATCCTGCTATTGTTTTGGGTCAAATCCCACCATTTCTCTGGCTGAAATCCCTCCATTTCTCTGGGTTAAAGCTGGGCCTTGGAGTAGGCGATCATGGTGACGAAGCGGAACATCACCACGCCCATTTCAGCGACCTAACAGGCGAAGCTGCAGAGTCAGGTTTCCCCATGAAATCATAATGCTATGTAGTGACTCATGATAGTACCAGTAATAGTATGTTACAAGTATAATAGAAATAATAACTGTTATGATCATCATGATCATCATGATCATCATCATTATCATCATCATCGTCGTCATCATCATCATCATCACGGCATTCTACAGGCAAACGACAACTCAAGCCTAAGTCATGACCGGGTCTCTCTGAAAATGGGTTGTATACCCGCAAGACGGCTGTTTGAACAAGGAATATGATGATTAGCCACTGGATCTTGGTGGCTTTCCCTGAATTGTCAAACAAGCTCGCCTTTCCCCTGAAACACAATGCCCTCAACAGCACTCAGAAACAGGTCGGCAAAGTCGTAAAGAAATCCTGGAGAACCCCATCAAAAGAAGGAACCCAATGTCACGCGGACTGACGAACCTCAAAAACCCTGCCATATACAAAATGCTGGGCACTGGATCTTCCGTCACTTTGTCTTTGGCCGAAATGCAAACCCTTAAGCCCTTTATGGCACTACTCTGTGCAACCAAAGTTTATCCAGCTGCTATGGTTCAAAACTATCAACGCCCAAAAATAATCATGGAAGGTTTCAGCCGCCTCTGGTAATTTAACATAGCTATTGAAAATGGTCCATTTCTAGATGATTTACCTATTAAAAATTGTCATGTTCCATGGTTTTTTGTATGTTTACCAGGCCGGGTCATCGGAGAAGCCGCCTTTTTTTTCGCCTTCCACCCCTGAGATCCCCCAGCATTGTCCGTGGTCAGCAGCATCGTAAAGATCAGCATGGTGAAATACATCGCCACCGCTGCGAAGCGCTGTATGGCTGGCACACCCCGGTCCTGGCGATGCCATGCCGCCATGCCGGGGGCTAACATGACATTTTCACTTGGAAAAATACAGAATATTACAGAATATATAGAGATGCCCCCCCCAAAAAAAAACGACCAATTGGAAAACTTACTTCCTATGTAAAATTAGAGAAAATGTGAGTGTCCAATGGGTGCTGCCATGGCCTTCATGAAAGCCGCCCCAAGCTGCGTCTTAAACTTGGCCGCCTGGCGTTTACCAACCGAAAGGATGGCCATTTTTTAGGGAAAATAGAGCTATAAACCCATATTTATGGCTAATATTTATGGCTAACTCATACTACCCCATTATTTTTTTTGTTTGACTTAATGGGCTGGTATGGGGTAGCCTCGTTTAAGACAAAGCCATATTTTCAGTGGTGCCATGCTCTCAAATTGTTTCTAGTGGTGATACTCCATTCAGTCACAATTCGGAAACAGTCTTATCCTGATTGCACAGTCATGTTTATGGGTCAGAGTTCAATCTTGCTGGTCACTCATATCCTTGCTGGTTTTCAGTGATAGTTCCAGCTTGGGTTGGTTTGGCATAATGATATCCCTACCTAAAACCAATGGTAGCCGGTTTTAAACTCCAATCAGCCCCCTGTTCAGGAACAAAACAACAGCATGGTCCCACCTGTGCCGCCGACATCTTCCTTCCCTGGTTGGATTTCACACTCTCCATGGTCGGCATGGCATTCAAACACCTTCAACGGCGCAACGGCACGGTGCTTTTTGGGTGATGAGGGGATTCCCTGGACCAAAAACACCGCGGCACAACGTTCGGAAGAAGACACCTTAAAGACGTACAAACCGAAACCTTCAAGTGATTGTATTTAGGTTATATATATACATATATAATATAATATATATACTCAAAGCCGTGGGTGACCCTTTTCCCACTCTCGATACAAAATGCCTTTGGAAGTCTCTGTATGAACGGGCTCCCCCTTTGTCGTCAGACAAACCCTTGGGGAAAAATGGGCTCAAGGCATCTTTGCACCCTGTGACTTCATGTCTTTATACATCTTGGACAAATAGGTAGAAGTCAGCCCCTGATTCCTAAAGGAATGTTGGAAGAGGTTCCATGGGTTGGAAATCTGCGACCCAGCTGATCGTCTCTCTTCCACTGCTCTACCTACGCTACCACTATCTGCAGCGCTTGCTGACATCTCAGCAGGTTCGCCCGCTGTTGCCAGTTGAAAGCCCGATCGTGGCATCGGATCCAATGATGAAGCTCTCCCAGAAGCGCTGCAAAAGCCCGATCGTCCCGTCAAAGACAAAGACCCACGCTCAGCCTCGTGAGATCGCTTTGAAACTTCACCATCGCTAAGACCCGACTGTGAGGTCAAACTTTGCGTTGTAGTGCTCATAGCACCCTGCAAGCCCGACTGTGCCGTCATTCTTTGTGATGTAGTGCTCATAGCACCATCCAAGCCCGACTGTGCCGTCATTCTTTGTGATGTAGTTCGAGCTGCACTGCCAGAGCCCGATTGTGTCCTCCTCCTCAAAGACGAAGAAGATCCGCTTCCATCCTGGTGCCCCAAGCCCGAGCGTGATGTCAAACTCATGGATGTAGTGCGAACTGCACTGCTTGAGCCCGACTGTCGCACGCTCTTCCTGGATGTTGAAACGCCCTTCCCACGCCTCTTCGAAGTCGATGGTTCTCCATCTTCATCATCAGACATCATCGGCGCAGCTTCTTCACCAGAAGATTCGGCTTCGCTCACCATCGCGTCCAGTCTAAGACCTTCACCGCCCCCAGCCAACCGCAATCGTCGCAGGCAAAACTTCGATGCGCTATGAAGCAGCTGCCCAGCATAGATTGCGCCCATAGCCATAAGAACGGCTCCTGTCACCCAGACCCAGGTGAAATCACCATCAGCTTCTGGTTCTTCTTCATAGGCTTCAGCCGCAGAGAGCAACATGCCACCTACCATCAGGGCCCGCATTGCAGCACCATGGTGTTCACCACCGGCAGTAGGTCTGTCTTCAGGAACAGATCGATGCTCTCTTCTTGTTCTTCGCAGACCAAGATCATCTACAAACTGCGTGAAAGCTTGGCCTTGAAGAGGTTTGGTGCATCCATCAGCAACTAGCTCGGTGCCCTTGAGATGCAAAAGCTTCCATCCTCCTCCAATCCTGTGATTTGACTCATCCAAAGCCTCCTTCAGCACGCTGGCTCGGATTCTGAGGTGACGTGTGCGCCAGGATGCTGTAGTGACACCGTGAGCCAAATTGATTGCTGCAGCATTGTCACCATAGATGACCTTTTCAAAATCCCACTGTTGCCAGATGGCTGCCAAAAGCGCTTCCGTTGCCCTTCCAACCACCAAAGACTCGCAATATGCGATGAGCTCAGCCTCTGCAGTTGAGTGCGCCACAAAAGGTTGAACTCCACACTGCCATGCTATGGGAACTCCCGCATAGTACACCACCAAGCCTTGGATGCTTTTGTGGTCAGCGCCTGCAGCATAGGAGATATCTGAAAAAACTTCCAGCATCTTCTGATGGCGTCTTGCCTTCAGTTGGTCTCGCCGACCCCAATCACCTCCAGGAATCGCTTGTGGATAGTGCATTCCACCAGGATTTCCATGAAGATATTTGAGCAGGACATACCCAATCTCCACCGCTTTCTTGGGGTTCTTTGTTGTCAGCCTGCTCATCGCTGAAACTCCAAAAACCAAATCTGGTCTGGTTCTGGTTGAGAGCCATAGGAGTGCTCCAGTCATCATCTGGGCTGTTCGCACGTCGATTGGGTCGATCTCCCCCACAAAGTGCTCATCCTCCTCCGTGACCTTGAAAGCAGGATACTGCAGTGACTCCTTGATGTCCCATCTTGTCATCAGTTCTTGTTCATACATACCTTGGGACACATAGAATCCATCTCCAGCGGCACCCATGCTGATCTCAAAACCACAGTAGCGCAGAGGCTTGTCAGAAGCCCATTCCACCTCCGATAGTGCCCATGTGTTTTGGATCGCTTCCATGGCCAACTTCACCGTTTGTGGTTCTCCAGACACCAAAATGTCATCAACATACACTGACATCAAACCTGCCCAGTTCTCAGTGCCTGTCCCCTTGTTGACCTCCACCAGACGCCACAGGTTCTCGTCCTTTGAGTGGACAAATCGCCCTTCGAGAACCACATCTCCAATCTTCCGGTGCCAGCGCAAAGTAGGCAGTACCTCATCTCGATGGATGCCCCAGTCCCTTGGCGAGGACACCAGCCCATAAAGGGCTTTTTCAATGATCCACACATCTTCTGCGTCAGCCAAACCAAGGTGTTTGAAGATGGTCGGTACCTCCATTGCCGTGATCTTTGTTGTGTCACGCTTTGGAGCGTTCAAAAACGCTACCCTGATGTCACTGCCTGCCAGACACAATCCCCGCAAAGCCGCGGTTCTGATCAAGGCCCTGACTTGACATCCATCAGCACCTCCTGCATATCGATCTCCTGTGCCAACTTCTTGATAATTTCCACATACAACGGCTCGAGATCTATATGCGCCGGTGTTGGCCTTTCGAGTGTGAACCATTTTGGCTGGGAGAAGCTCAATTGGGAGTTGCCTTTCTTGAGCAAGTTGTCGCAGCTGAGACTTCGTCATCTGCATCACTGCCTGCTTCTGATTCACCAGCTGCTCATACTCCGCTCTCACTGAAGGCTCCCAGCTTTTAATGTTCTCCCAAACTTCTTTGTTGGATACCGTTCTGGTCACCAAAAATTCATTTTCACCTGCCAGAACTTCCTTTTTCCCTCTGTTGATCATGATCAGCTCCTCTTCAACCTCCGCTTTTTGCACCAGCATCTCTTTCAAGACTGGCATGCACCACGCCTGTTCATCAGCCGTGCCATCAATGTGGGCCATCTCATCCATCACCAACATGTGCAAGTTATGTTGCACCTTTTGTAGGAAACTTTCATATTCCTGTGAGGCTGTCAGGCATGAGCCACCGCACTGACTATTAGGCGCCTCCTCCTCCTCCCCACCTCCAGATCCGTCAAGAGATGAGTCTGGTGATGGAATTGTTTCCAAAGTCCAGCTATCATCGCTGTCTCGTTCCCACGATGGCGCATTCACACGGCCAAGATGTTCGAAAGGATCATCCTCCCCCTCGATTGGTGCCCGCATCAATCGATGCAACATAGCAGGCTTTGTTTTGCCGCGCAGTCGTCGTGCTGGTTGAAGATCCATGCCAGCAGGGCGAGAAGCTTCATCTCTTTCAGGCAAGTAGATGGCATTGTCAGCCCCGATTGGTCGCGGAGCAGCACCGGCATGAGCGGGTTGTTCAGCATTTTGCCCAAGAACTGCCGCCTCCGTCGCCTCAAAGTCAGGGGTGATGACATCGGCCGTGAAGAAGTACTTACCCGTGTCAATGGACTGCACAAAGTAGTTTGTTGATGTCAACGTGCTACAGGCATCTGGTCCAAGCACCAAGACTGGCTGTCTGGTGTCGGCCCACTCTTCATGGTTGTCTTGCCACCACTTCCGAAGAGCATATGCCTGAGTTCCAAACTTCAGCAAATCACCAACAGGATAGCCACAGCCACGCAGTTGAGCACGGAGACGACGTTCTCCAACATGCCTTGCTACAAGCGGCCACAGGTTGATGTTGAACTTGCCAGCAGATATCACCGTGCGGATTGCTCGCTTGGTGACGCCAAGTTCTGCTTCGCAGCGGCCGTTGGCTTTGTAGTCATCACCTGCTGTCTTCGTGAGGACAATGTCTCTATGCTGCGCCCACCTTCGCAAAGGAGCTGCAAGAAATTCTCTGGCCCTGTCTGAGTGCAACCTCATCACTGGAAGGCCAAGCTGTCGCAAGCGACTGTAGATCTTGGCGATGGCAGGCAGCACATGTTGGGAGTGACGGCTTTCAATGGTCTCCACAAAAGTGATGTTCTTCACCGTCACATTCATGGATTCCTCCACAAGTTTCTGCCATGCCAACAAGCAGCCATGTGCCGTTTTCTCGGCCTTTTGGTCCTCATTTTCGCTCTGACCCTCCACCTCCACATTGCCATCTTCTTGCTCTTGCAGTAGATCTGGCCCATCTTCAGCTTCATCATCCACTGAGAACTCATCCAAGCCAGGAAGTGGTTGATCTTGAGGTTCAACACCATCCGGAGAAGCGAGTGGCACACCATCTCTGGTGATGGGGAAGGTGTAGACCCCCACAAGCAGGTATTTGCACTGCTTCTGCTCCTGGTTGATGCCCGGCGTGAACTTGCCGCTCAGGTCCACTGACAAAGTGAACGCTTCAGGATGTTGAACTCGCCGATGTGGGCGTGCCCGAGCCTGTGCTCTGACACATTGTTGGCAATCTCTACGGGAGGGCATGTGGTCGTGGAGGTAATGCGTTTTCCATGACTCGAGAGCTGCGGCGCCCAGGGTCCTGACCGCTGGTTGTTGTGGTTGATCAGGATGCCGGTCAAGCCACTGAACCCGCTGGCTCACGGCCAGTGAAATCGCATTTTTCAAACCAAGGGCCCATTGAGACCAAGTTCTTGAAACTTCACATCTTTGTTCCACTGTCATGGCCCTGAATTGAGCTCCAGCATCAGCTTCATTGCTAGGGGCTCCACGCACACCATCAAGGTGCCGAACTTCTTGCACGTTCGTGGCCAGACATGTGGGTTTTCTTTTTGGATGCCCCAACGGATGTTGGTCAAAATGGTACTGCACCAAGTTGTACTTCTCCGCCAAGGCCTTCCACTCAGCAGTGCGAAAAACTGAAAAATATTCATGCTGTCGCACATCTTCTTCTGAGCGGTACCGTTTTGGGTCCTCGGGCTGCTCCATGAAAAACTGTGTTGGAGGATCTGTCTCTTCACGCATCTCCTCAGCGACCATGAGCAGGGACCAAAAACGAAACATCAAAACTGAGTCAGCGATCACCAGTTCGGCATCTGCAGGGCTCAACGTTGGGAGGCCATATGGGTGTTCTTCTGTCCTCAGCACTCCAGGACCACCATCATTTTGATACCTCAGAGCTGTCACCGTTCTGCAAGGTGGACCACCCAAAATTGCCCTGACTCGCCCACTTGCACAAAGTGTGAGCAAATAGCCAAACACGTTTCGGTCATGAAGGTTGGCAGGCGTAGAGCATGTGGTATCAATGCAAAGCACCTCTGTGTTGGCATTGGCGCATCTTTGATCCCAGTAATTGTGATCTGGGCCAGAGAACAAGTGGAGGATCACATGCTTGGCTTGACGTAGTCGTCGGCGTTTGTGCCTGTTCCATGGCAAGTTGGACTCAAAGTTCTCTGTCTTGACCATTTCCAGATGCGGTGCTATTCTCATCATGACTTCATCAGGAAGATGCGGAAAAAGCTGCCGCAACTTGTAGGTCAAAGCTAGCTCCAGGTCCAAACGCTGTCGATCCACTTGGGTGTCATCAGCCAGCAGAGATCTCACCATCGCCAGCTTCCGTTGTTGATGCACTTGATACCACTCCAACCACTCCAAAATTCTTTGGCCATCTGCAAGAGAAACCATAGGGCAGCCTTGAACAACTCGCACTTCAAATTCTCTGCCCTCGTCATCACGCAGCTGACATTGATCTCCAGACCACTGCAGTGTGAAGTCAAGTGCAGTGAGACCACCCATGGGGACAATCCTTGAAGTCGTTTGTGTTGGGTGTCCCAACAACACCTTGGTGCCCCTTTTTAGGCGAAAAGCCTCCGTCTCACCATTGGCAAGTTGCACCACCGTTCTTTCAGCATTGGTCCATTCATGTAGATCATGTGCAGGACGTAGGGCATGGGTGGCACCTGAATCAATCAGCACCCAATCATTCTCCGCCTGCTCCAATCCCGCCAGTTGCATGACGTTGATCTTGGGCTGAACTCGCAATGACTTCAAAAGTTGTGCTGCTTCATGCAAAAGTTCAGCTGTTTTCTCACCTTTGTTGCCACCATCGTTCCCTCCCCCACGACCTCCATCCTTTTCATTGGTAGTGGAGCTTGTCACTTCAGGTGGAGCAATTGTGGCACCTGCCTCCGTAGCAGTTGATGTTGTCATTGCAGCATCATCCGTGGGAGTTTTGGCCATTTTGACCGCCGCCGCACCGGCTTTGCCACCAGTCGCCGTAGAGGTAGAACTTGATGCTGGGGAACCTCCAAAACCACGTCCTCCCCCTGAGCCTGCACCAGGCTCACCTGGCTTTTTGCCCATAGCCGGCTTCAGTTTGCAGTCGTTCTTGCGATGCTCTTTGCTTCCACAGATGAAGCAACGCTCAGACTTGTCGTTGAGGCTGTCCCAGTCATGTTGCCATTTGCAACTTTTTCCCGCCTTACAGCCCTTGTCAGACATGAAGTAGCGGCATGGCTTGTCCACTGTTGGACTGGACTTCGTTTTGGCATCACCAAGGCCCGGTCTTGCAGGAGATTTCACATCACCATCCAGCTGCTTCAGCTTGAGAGGCGTTGTTGATGAAGTCGAAGTAGAGGAAGTCTGAAGCAATGCTATCGTTTCAGCCTCAGCCAGCAAGCACTGTGAAAATGCCCAGAGGTTCCGTTGAGTTGGTTGTTGATCCAGTTGGAGCTGCATCCTACTCTGGGATAACCTGAAAGCTGCCTGTTGGTCCATGGCCGCGATCTTTTGCAAGGGATCATCTAAAGCCTGCAGCAACAGAATCCCATCTGGTAGTACTGCTTGAACCTCCTCAGCTCTGCCGAAGTGACGACGCCAGCTTCTGATAGCTGCAGCAACCTCTTGAATCGTTGACATCTTTGGCATACTCGTCAGTTGTTTCAAAAGGATCTGCTTTTCTCCAGCGCCTCCTGGTTGAAATCGCACCATGAGCTTGTAGAGGATTGCTGTCGAGCTCAAAGCCCGATCTGTTACCAGCTCCTGTTGCTCTGCAGCTGGTATGGCCTTCAAAAGCATTTGAACCCCACGTTGCTCAGTGCGTTGAAATCGGCGTTCACTCAAGTCCTCAGGCAACCTTGGACAGATCTGGATCCTCTGAAGTGGTGTGCTGTTTCTCCATCGATCATAGTAGCACTTGGCCTCCCTCAAAGTTGATTCCCACCACCAATCGGCTACCTGAGACACATCCTTCATCACCGGAGTGCTAAGGTGCAACCAGTCTCCAAACTGCAATGGACTGGATGCCTCTGGAAGATCCGGAAGTTCCAATTTGGCGACAGAACTTCCCTCAGTCCATGGACCATATGTCCGGTCCGTCCCAGCTCCGACTCCTCCACCCCCCAAACCATGCCCAGGAAGGTCTTTGAAGCCTCCAGCACCACAGTCAAGAAGTTCCGTGCCCACACCATGCAAGGCCCGAGCTCGAGGATGTAGATCGCCTCCAGGACATTCTTTATGAGAATCAGTGCCAAAAGTGCAAGCCCGAGCTTGATGATGTTCAGCACCACTTCCCCCAAGCAAGTGACCTTGGCATTCTGTGTGACCAGTGCTCAAAGCGCTAGCCCGACCTTGAAGACGCGGATCACCACATCCCCCAAGCAATTGACCTTGGCATTCTTTGGGACCATTGCTCAAAGTGCAAGCCCGATCATGAAGTGCAGTTTCACCACTTCCGCCGTACACCATGCCAGAGCTGCCAGCCCGATCTTGAAGTCGCTGAACATCAATGCCAGCGCTCGCAACGGCTTGCTGAGACCCCAGAACAACCGGTGGACCAGTAGGTGGGTGAAATCCCTTGGACCAGTACTCGCTATTTTTGAAACCATTCCCTTCAGTCAAACGAGCCATGGAACCTTTCAAAGAAGCAACTTCTTGTTCTAACCAAAACGCTCTAGCTGCTCTCGGAGACATCTCTGTTGTGGGCTCCCATGCATGCTGAACTTTCAAAACTTTGGGAACTGATTCCATCCTGTCATAGCTATCCAAAAACTTCTCCATAGTGCCATCCGACATGAAAGACTTTGGAAAAGGAGGAACATTGGGTTTCTCAGGTGGTGGTTGAGGAACATGACGTGGCTCAGACCCATCAGCTTCAGGGGGCGTTCCGTCCGGAATTCTCGTTCCATTTGGAGTGAATCTAGCATCCCGCTTCCCCATTTCAGCTTTCTGGGAACTTTTGGGTGTTTGATAACCCCCACGCCGCTGTCCACCATCACTCATCACATCAGGTGGAATCCCCGCACATGCAGAAGCTCCCCCAACATCCGACCACGAAGAATTGGACCCAGTTCCAGCTTGAGTCAACAAAGCCCTCATCCTATCCAACTCTTCCATCAACTGAGAGTTTTGAGTTCGAAGATGATTGACTAACTCAACTTCCAAAGCCCTCTGAAGACCAACATCTTGAGGATCAGCTACCCCTGAAGCACCTTTTGCAGTTGCCCCCATAGTAGCATCACATTCATCCGGCATTCTACCCTGCGTCCTTTTTGGAACAACTCCTTCCCCTCCATGAACATCCATCTTGCTGGGTGGAGTCTCAAAAACACTCCCCTGCTTCCCAGATGCTTGCCCTCCACGGCCTTTTCCAGTGCAAGCTCCTTCGCTTCGTTCACCTTGAAGCGATGCCGCACATCGTCCACCGTGAAGCGGTGCCACATCAGACGCTGGCGATTGTTCTGGCAACCCCTTTGGTCTGGAAGCCTTGAGGACTATTTCATTTTGGGTTTTCTCCGAATAAAACGGATTCCCCATCCCAGCAGTAGATCCCTTTGGGGGTTCTGAAGTCGCCCTTTCCATTGCGTCAGCACAGAGTAGCCTAGCTTGGGCTCATAACCCTCAAAGCCGTGGGTGACCCTTTTCCCACTCTCGATACAAAATGCCTTTGGAAGTCTCTGTATGAACGGGTATATATATATATATGGCAGTGTGTCGAAACCTTGTACCCCTGTAGTTCACATCAAAATAGCTGGGATTTATGGATGTTAATTCCCCTAAAAATGGTATTTTCATAGGTATTGATCCATAGCCATACAAACTCGTCGGCGATGTCGACATGGCCTCAGCTCTGTGCCCCAGTACAACAAGGGCGGATTGTTGAAGCGTTCACAGGCCTGGGCCAGCTGCAGCTGGTGAGGTGATCCCTTTACTATCATGTTGATCAATGGATTGGTTTAAGGGAAATTTTACAGGAAAGCCCCATGAAAATCGATGGTTTCATGGTTTCATGTAGATTTTCCCTTAACCAATCCATTGAATTGAGAAAAAATGTTACTCTTGGATAGTTGGTATCTTCGCAAAAATTGGATGTTGCTAACTGTAATCATCATGGTGTTAGCATTTGTATCGATCTATGATTCATTTCACAATCACTGGTGTCACTATTGTGATCTACTAGTGTGTATGTATATATATATATTATATTATATTAAATCATATTATACTATATTATATCATATTATATTATATCATCATATTATGTTTATATTATAGTTTATATATATATATTATCATATCATATCATATCATATTATATTATATTATATCATATCATATTATATTATATCATAATACATCAATATATATATATACTGTATATAATATAATATATATATATATATACATTATATATATATATATGTATGTATGTAAGGAGGTTTCCGTTTCGTCATGGGGGTACCCGCAAATGATCCAAGTCAACCACCAAACTGTATTGAAACCCATCCCGGCCTTGCCAATGACGGCCCCAAAGGGGAAGATCTGATATGCCAAGCTGAGTTGCCGTCCTGGCTCTCGGAAAAACATTAAGATGACGTGGCCAACCAGCATAAACTGACCATTGAGGATAAATGGCTCTTACCACACATTTATGATAAGATTACAGATTGGGAATATATATATATATATTATGTATATATGTGTATGTGGATTTACCACATTACTAATTCACAACTTGTTCAAGATCTCCCAAAAAAATGCCGAACTCTGCCGGTCGACACTGCGCCTGACGCTTTCATCAGCTCAAAGTAAGGCACGTGCGCCACGCCACACTCTGGACCTGATGCTTGAGGGCAAGTGGACTATGACTAATCCCATCCCCATCCCATGTGAAATAGCAAGAATAAGGGACACAAAGACGGTGATTCAATGGGATTTCATAGGAAAATCATGGGAATATCATGGTTTAGTACTGATGAATTGCCGGGCATTCACCCAATGCCATAAACCTATCACCTGGGGATGGTGAAAAAAAGCGGCCAATCTATGGTGATTTTTCGGGATGGTTTGTGAAATTGGGTTTACCACATTAGATCCAATACTGAACCGGAAAGGGGGTATTGAGCATTAGGCCAAAGGGATGATGAAGACAAAACCGTTTGAACAGATTGCAGATCCAAAATGTTGCAACCAATCCATCGCCCATGGCCCGGAAATCACCATGACCATCCTGCTATGGTTCCAACTGTCAGTGGGAAGCACAGATGGATCAAGTCATCCAAAGAGTATCTTTAGTGAAGAACTGGGACCCAGAAAGGAGATGCCCGATGTTCCTGGACATGGTTTCTTGATGGTTAAATGCTAAGAAGAGCCAATTGGTGGCTTCCCCTGGTACACCATCGTGGATCGCCGTATACCACGGTTGCCTTACTTGGTGGATGGGGGTATCCATTCCACACTTTGTAGTTGTCATGATCAGCATCTTTTTCTACTGCTTCTTCCACTTCCTCTTCCTTTTCCTCTTCCCTCTTGTTCTTCTTCTTCTTCTTTTTCTTCTTCTTCTTCTTCTTCTTCTTCCTCTTCCTCTTCCTCTTCCTCTTCCTCTTCCTTGTCCAGTCCTTTTAACTGGTATTGTCACAAGTATTGTCACCGCCAACAGGATAACTTTAATAAACGAATTGTATTTATGCCCTCAGTACTGGCGGTGAAAACCTCACTCTCCAGATCACAATGACGTTCACATACCCTATGAATCCCCACAAGTGGTGCTGTCCATTCTCCCTGTCACAACCCCTTGGCCCCTTGGACCCCCCCGCAGATCGTTGGAACCCGTAACTCCTTGACATTTAAGGTGAAATGCGTGAAGCTTGCTGAAACGATGTCCAACACCAGTGCTGTCCCCCAAAAGAACTAGCTGTTTGACAGGCGTTTGCAGTCCGTAGGATAATGTCAATCCAAACTGAGTCTGTTATTGCACATGAAACAACCCTCAACCAACTTTCCCTTTGAGCATCATCCACAATCCATGAAAGCATGCCAACATCTTTCGCTAAGAGTGATTAGAGGTGAAATGCTCCAATCTGACAATTCTATACAATTCTCCATTGAATGAACTTCACAAAATGTGTTTAAAACACTTTTCCTGATGCTAGTGACCTAAAAATGTGCTGTTCCCCCATCTCCTCTGCATAGATCATGGCACGTTCTTTCAGCAGCAGACCCTGCCAAGGCCAAGTTGCTATTGGGCTGTGACCCTGCTGTTTTTTACCGATCTTGAGCCCCAATTTCAACGAACCTTAACCAATGGCTCATTGGCGTTTTGATATATATCATGAATTAGAATTTAGAGGTCCCCCCACACCCTTTAGAAGGCTATGTTCATGGGTCAAAATCCTATTTTAACGTGGGTCAAGTCCATACTTTGACAAGGGTTAATTCCATTGTGTGTGGGTTAAACGCCCCATTCTTGTGGTTTAAACGCCTATGGTCTTTATAAACCCTCATTCAAACTTATCTTTACGATTGAGAAGCATTATTCCACAATATTGACATGGGTAAATCAAAAATGACCATTTGAACTTTCATTGTCAATTGTCAATTGATGTCAATGGTCAAAATTCCGTTCTTTCATAAAATTACAGTCTCTTATTCAATGGATTGTACGGAATCTTTTAGAGGAAACCCCCTATTTCCGACAACGCCAAGCCATTGACTTATGCTTTGGCTTTCGGTCTCGACAGGTCTCGGTGGCCCGAAAAACATCGGCATTTCGGCCTTGACGTTCCAACCATCGATCCAGATACCCAGCGTGGTCGGGATCATGCTGAAGACTCAGCGTGCCACGATAGCTGCTAGGTAGACCCTATTTGTCTCTATTTGTTCAGGATTAATCCACTTAAAACCAAAAAAAATAACGGGTATAACACCATTAAAAATTGGAATTCAGACAGTAAGATTTGGATGTTATCGTATTTAATCCGCAGAAATGTTGCTTTTACTGTTTTACCTATCAAGGAAAAGAAAAGTAACCCCGTCAATATACCCTGGTTTTGATTTTGGGGTACTCTATTTTCAACGGGAAAGAAAGATGGAGAAAAAATAATGCATTCTAGTCATGAAAGCCATTCAAAATCATATTGATGTTCAGGTTCCCACTTAGTGCCTACAATTCAAGTGCGAGAACCCAACAAAGAAGCTGATATCAGTCGTGTGGGTCGCGGTGAGGGGTTCCATTGGATATCACCACCCAAGGTGGATAACTGGCATGTCCCTCATGTCCCCTCCTCACCACATGGCATATTGTCAAAGAACGGGAAATTCCCCACACCATGGGTCAATTACATAATTTCCCAACATTAAAATGTCCAGAAAAAGCTTTGGTATACCCCTGTTCAGAGACGCCAAAATAATGTATATCATATATATACATACATATATATGTATGTATATATATATGTATGGTTTTATATCCCATGATATCCCCCATTAATGTAGCATAATGCACCATTCAATCTCCATGTTTCAAGTATTTTATCGCTCAACCCCATGGGCAAACACCAGACCTGGGCTGCCGCGCACTGCCCCGTGCGGATGATGCTGCCGCCCTCCAACCTATGGATTCTCTAGGGAAACGATCTAGATTCATGGTGGCTCAGGAGGGTAATAACCTGTAATAACTACCAGATTAATCCATTTCGTGTACCCCAGTGAGATATTTTTGGAATATCCCCAGTAAAAAAAGGGGTTTTACATGGCTTATAAAATCTCAAGACACCATTATGCCATTTGCCACACCTTTCACAAGGCAGACATGGCCAGCTGAGGCTCGAACTTGGTATCAGGATCCAACTTGCTGAGGTCCATATCAATCTGCTTGCCTCATCCCAGAAAGTTCATCTGAATCCACAAATATGGTCCCAAATATCTGGAAATCCTATTGAATCACCTGTTCAACCATGGTTTCTGGGGCTGCTCTCTGGAGAGGTTTTGTTTCGGCCTTGCAGATCTCGCCTGCGGAAAAAAAAATCTGCCAGGGCAGATCCAAAACCCAGGGGACCCGGGCCGAAGTCTTTCACGATGTACTCCTGTCCCATGAAATGCCCATTGGCACAAAGGAAGGTGATGATCAGGGTGATCGCAGCCTAGCCAGAAATGCGATGTTGGTCGTTGGGCCCAAAAACGTGTTTCCAACATGGGGATGGGTCAAAACCCTGGTACCTAGTGAACCCCAAAATAGCCGGGATTTATGGATGTTCATCCCACTAAAAATGTATCTATAGGTACCAGTATTGACCCATCCCCACATGCTTTTCCAGGATGTCTTTTGGAGTTTTGGGGATGAGATGCCTTTTCTTATGTACCATGTTTCCCAAAAGTATGAAATTCCGGATGATCGAGTTGCGTCCTACCTAGTTTTGAGATGTTTTGAGGTTGCTGAAAATCAGACAATTTCAACAAGCCTGAAACCAGGGACAGTTTTGGGATTTTTCCGGTGAAGTTGGCGAGGTTAGCCAAGGTTTCTTTGCCCAAAAATCATCAGCTGAAAAGCCAGAACTGATGTAAGTTTCCGGAGATTTTTTCACTGGAAACATCAACCATGGGGGTCAATCCCTCTTCTTCCAAGATAAAATCATTTTTTATTTCCGAAATCTTGGCGAGGTCACTTTAAAGCCATTTTGGATTCAGAAACCCAACCCGGTTCCCACGATTTTATGGGGGGCAATAGCCCGCGCCCACGTCTTGGAAGCTCTGGTTAGAAATCTTCGGGCCCCGCCATGGCAGAAAGGAAGATGCGGCCGGTGAGCACCGAGATGTAGTCATCCTGTGGAGGTAGTCCGATTGAGATCAGTTGGGGTCAAAAGATCATCACCGGACAGTCTTGGAAATTCCATGTTTGTATAATATATATATATATACAATATACATATATAGAATTATGTATGTATATTTATATATATATATGTATATATTATATATATGTATATATTATATATATATATGTATATATTATATATATGAGCCACAAAAAGTATATACATCGCGTAAATCCACAGGGTGTTCCTACCTTGCTCTTCATTCCTTTGAGTTTTTAGGGTGCCTGAGTTTTCCAACGCCGCATTTGCTTATTTTGATGGCTAAATGCTACACATGAAATGCCAATCTCGTTCTGGGGGTGTTCCTACCTCGTTTTGCAACCCAAACATGGTGTTTTGGACAAACCGACGTACGCCCCAAATAGCAGCCGTCGCTCATAAAATGTCAGCGACTCAGTCGTGACACCGTCACTGAGCTTCCGGCTTTGTACGGGCACGTCCAGCCTTTGCTTTCCTTCACGTCCAGCGCGGAGCGACTTTTTTTTTTAAGCACTGCAGGGGTCCCATGAAGCGACTGAGACAGCCACTGGCCATGCCTTTCCAAGTCCCTCAAGCAACCTATAGAAGTCCCCCAATGACGAGGTAAAGCATCAAAAAAGTTACCACGGCCCTCAGGTTTTTCATCTCCAAAACCCCCTTCGGACCCAGTCACTCACCTTGAAGGGGTCCATTTCCACCAAACTCAGTGCTCTGGTGCATACCAGCATCATACCTCAGATTTGTTGGGTGAAGTTGGATCTATATATGCCATGGTCAAAACAGCAATCGTTTATGGGCCATTGGTCATCCCACCAAATGGTGGTGTTGTATGAGCATCACCCAATATGGGTAAATAATCCAACTCCTGACTCGACTCGACACCATGTCACCCTTGCTTTAGATCGCTTTAGTAGTTCCCCATCCCAAAAGAGATTTTACTCTGCCACATGCCAAAAGAACTTCAAGAAGGCACCCACACAAATCTCAAGCTACCACCGAGGCTTGAGCACTGCATGCCGATGAAGAACACACTCTGCACCTGCCATCCATCACCATGTGGTGCCAACGCATTGTAGGACCGCTTCATCTTTCACTAGACGGTTTTAACACTGCTGATTCTAATACCCCTACGTCTAGAGTGATGCTGATTCCATTCTTGGTTGCTATCTCTCCACGTGTTGTAGGATTTATGTGAACATAGGGTAGCCCAAAATCCCATTCTTTATCATCATGTTTCGAATCAAAATAGCTAATATAGTCTATGGGTATTCCATGTTCAGACATGGGTCATTAAATGTCCCCATTGAACATCACCCAACCATTAGGTATATGGTCTATAATGGCTACTATAAGGTGATGTCCAATATACTCAAAATGGGACAGTTACTAACCCCTGTCAGACAGTTCCATTATATCAGCTGATGAAATCCCTAGTCTTGATTCTAAAATCGCTCATTGGCTCATCTTTCGCACTTCCTGGTGCTGAGGGAAGGAGGGAATCATCCATAATCAAAAAAAAATATCTATAGATAAATATAATCTAAATAATCGTCCCATTCCCCATTCCCATTCCCTACGTTTTTTGGACCAGTAAATTTCCTCCGTCCCACCAACGCATGGCGGCGCGGCAGCGGTGGTGGTACCCACTGCCTGAAGCGATTTAGGTGAAATCACTTCGTCGATAATGTCAACCCCGGATTAATAAACCATGGTTCTGGGTAAATTATAATATTTCACTAACCTGAATTAAGGCCATTTGGGGATGATTCCCCTTACTAACCATGATTTCCAGTGAGGTCGCAGTGAGGTCGTTATAATTTACCCAGATTAATAAACCATGGTTTATTAATTAGGGGGGTATCTCCCCAATGACACTATTTCAGAGGGGTAGAAAAAAACCACCAACCAGTTAGATATGAAAACTAATCAATGGGAGATCTTCAGGATCCAATTGATGGAGGTACGTTAGTACCATATGTTTGGCCATATTTTATGGGGATATTCCCTGAAATTTAGGCCTGAAAAATAGGCCTTATAAATGGTAGGTACCTCCAATTTAGGTTCCTGAAATGGCCATTGAACGATAACAATGGCAACTGCCATAATCAGAGGTTTAATGTTTAACATTAAGTCTAATGGGAAGCATTAATGGGAACAATGTAGATTGGTCCCTGATAATAACAATCTTCTGTTTCAGTTTAATCTACCGAACATTTACCATAATCTACCTGAAAAATGCTCTAATAGACTCAAATAGCAATTGTCTGTGTCGGTTAATGGACCCAACTTAGGGTTTTTGTTCTTGAACATTGCAAAAGAAAACGTCTCAGTTTTTCCAGAAAGCACTTCGGTTGAGGGAATGCGTCAGGATTTTGCAAAATGGCAGCTTCATCGACCCCCAAAAACTAAATTGAATCCGTAGTGATACTGCCTGTTCACCTATAACCATTTTGGGGGATGGTGGTGACCCCACTACCTGCATACGGTGTTTCCTCTCCATTTAGTTTATGGATTTCCATGGGATTTACTTCCATTTACCCGGCCTGGTAAACATACAAAAAACTATGGAAAATCACCATTTTTAATGGGTAAATCAGCTATTTAACGATGGCCATTTTCCAGTTCGCAAACTGTAAACGTTTACCAGAGGCTACATGGGATTTCCCATATTTTCCCATGACTCTCCCATTTTTCAACCCACCATTTTTTCCATGGGGATTATTCCATCGGCCCATCGCGCCATGGTCTTCTGAAAGGTGGGCCGCGTCTTCTGCGCGCTGTACTTGGCAGCCTGGCTAATTTTACAAGGCGGTGCCGAAGCGGCATCGCTTCGGTGGGTTGATGATTATTACAACATATTGTATATAATAAATATATTGTGTATATATATATATTATATAATAGTAATAAGAATACGAAGAAGAAGAAGAAGAAGAAATAATAATAATAAGTTATAATAATAATAATAATTGATAATAATAGTAATAGTAATAGTAATAATAATAATAACAATAATAATAATATATATATATAACTCTAGTTAGCTGGATTTATTGAACTGACTGAGCTAACTTAGAACTATAGGTAACTAGGTTATAACTAGCTATGATGATTACTCTTCGGAGGGTTAACAGTAAATCAGGGGGCACCGGACAGATTCCAACTGCAACTGAGGCCACAAACCGTCAGAAGGCCGAAGTAGTCGTAATTCAGCCATCGCACCCTCGGCTTTGCTGAAATCACCATTGTTGATGGTTAAAATCCCCATGTTTGATGGTGAAATCCCCATGTTTGATGGTGAAATCCCCATGTTTGATGGTGAAATCCCCATGTTTGATGGTGAAATCCCCATGTTTGATGGTGAAATCCCCATGTTTGATGGTGAAATCCCCATGTTTGATGGTGAAATCCCCATGTTTGATGGTGAAATCCCCATGTTTGATGGTGAAATCCCCATGTTTGATGGTGAAATCCCCATGTTTGATGGTGAAATCCCCATGTTTGATGGTGAAATCCCCATGTTTGATGGTGAAATCCCCATGTTTGATGGTGAAATCCCCATGTTTGATGGCGAAATCCCCATGTTTGATGGTGAAATCCCCATGTTTGATGGTGAAATCCCCATGTTTGATGGTGAAATCCCCATGTTTGATGGTGAAATCCCCATGTTTGATGGTGAAATCCCCATGTTTGATGGTGAAATCCCCATGTTTGATGGTGAAATCCCCATGTTTGATGGTGAAATCCCCATGTTTGATGGTGAAATCCCCATGTTTGATGGTGAAATCCCCATGTTTGATGGTGAAATCCCCATGTTTGATGGTGAAATCCCCATGTTTGATGGTGAAATCCACATGTCTTGCGCCATGATCCACCATGGAAATTGCTCTCAGGGCCCCGCATCAGAAGTGCAATGACCTGAGCCAAGGGAGAGGGGAGAAACGTGGCTGACCTCAGCGGACCTTTCATAGGCACCCTGAAACACATGGCACAGCTGCTGTGTTGAACAACAGATTATGGCTATGGTTGCCGTAACCGAACCGACCAGCCACAAAAACCAAGGTTTGCGCAGATATGTCTTACCATGTGTTCTTCATTATACATCCCGTTATATCCGATTATATCCCATAATATCCCATTATATCCCATTGTATCCCATTATATATATATAATATTATATAATTATATCATATTATATCCCCATATATCCCCATATATCCCTATAGTAACCCCAATGGGGAGCAGGTCACTGTCACCACCCACAGACTTTGGCCCCAAAAAATTGTCCACATGACACCCCGGGATGTCTGAAAATAGGGTGGAACTTACCCCTATTTACCCTCTGGTTATGACTAACATAGCCATGGAAAATGGCCCATTTATAGATGGTTTACCTATTAAAAATGGTGATTTTCCATGGCTATTATAAATAACCAGAGTGTATTTTCCGACAGAGAGCCACATCTTTAGCCTCTCACCAGGGTAACATTCTCATCCCATCCCCTTCCACTGGCTTCACCAAGGACTCGGCAATCAGGAAACAAGACGACAGAATCACCACCGGTCCTGCGTGGCCAGGCTGAGGAATCCCCATATGGTTGGAATATCAGGGTCACTGTCAATGCGATCGTCACATCAATGACTGGTCAGCTTCTGGTTGGGGTTGAACACCCAATTACCCTCTGGTAAACTAACATAGCTATTGAAAATGGCCATAGAAATAGTGGATTTTCCCATTAAAAATGGTGATTTTCCATAGCTATGTTAAATTACCAGAGGGTACCCGCTTGCAACCTTCAAGAATGGACGTGGCTGGCATGACCCCACTTCTTGGTGCGCCAACGGCCAAGCCCCAAGCCATGTCTGTCCTTCACATCGGGGAGCGCCCACAAACATCGCCGACAGCACGGCCAAATAGAAGCGCTCAGCCACCCTCAGGCACATTCCACTGGAAAATCGCTCAGCTTGCCACTTTTGATCCATCTTGTTTGCACATGAACATCACCAACGATTTTCCCATTCTAATATCATTGAAATCCCAATTCTTCATAAGATCCCCATAGCTGCACCAAGCTACCATGCTTTTGACCACCAAACCCCTTGTGAAATCTTCACCAAGGATCGAAGCCACATCATAGAGAACCTGCACCCTGAGCGACGCGGTCGGGTCCCGTTTTCTCTGAAAAGGGTGCTACCTCTAATTCCAAAAGGTCCATAAAATCTAAGTGATCTATATATAATTATATACATATACATATATGTATATATATATATATATCACTTCATGACCCTGTTGGAGCCAGGTACCATCGAACTTTTTCGGAAAGTTCGGAATGTGGAACATCTGCCAAAATCCCAGAGAAAACGTGAGAAAACATGAGAAAACCAAATCATATACCCTCTGGTGAACTAACATAGCTATTGAAAATCACCATTTTTAATGGGAAAACTCACTATAAATGGCCATTTTCAATAGCTATGTTAAATTACCAGAGGGTACATCATCCACACTCCTGCCACATCAGCCATTTTGGGAAAACTCCTCCAGTTTCTTCCAATTCAGCCAAAAAACAGGCCAGAGACGTCGATGGTGGGTGGGTTGGGCACCTGGCGTGAGTCGGCTATGTCAGTGGGAAGTCAGGGTATCATGGATGACAACGTCCCTCTTTAAATGGAAGCATGATTTACCCTCTGGCACACTGACATTCACCATCTTTAGTGGCTAAATCAACTATTGAACGATGGCCATGACTTCCAGTGCGCAAACTGTAAACGTTTACCAGAGGGTACATGGGACTTCCCATATTTTCCCATGATTCTCACATTAAAACCCACCATGTTGATGGTTTTTCAAGGTGATGGGAACCATTCGCAAGCATTTTTCGGTCCTTGATGATGATCTCGAAGGCCGAAAGTCTCAAATCCACAGCCTCGGCTGCTTTCGGGGGCTTCCAGGCTATCGCAATAGCAATGGGTTTTATATTGGTAATAATGGAAAATCCTTCGATAAATGGAATGATTTAGGGGTAATTTGAGGGAACTTCCATTTTGACAGGAAGATGTCTATATCTGTCCCTTGACTTTTTTGGATCGTTTTGGAGGTGAGATCATTCCCAAAGTTCCCTGAAATTGGTTTGATTTTGAACTGTCAAGCTTGAGTCAAGCCTTTCCAAATGTCCTTGATGTTTGACAATGCAATCAACTTCCATGAACAGGAGGGACGAAGCAGGGAGTTATCAAGCAAACTATAACACAGACGCGACTTGATAGGTGGCTCCTGGCTTCTGCTATTCCGCTATTGGGATGCATCCCAGCTAGACCCAGGTCCTGTGGTATCTCGGTGTCATTTTAGGACCAATTTACCCTTTGTCAGTGTAGCACCATATACCCATGATCATTTTTAGAATGACTTACTGCTATGGTCAGATCATCATGTTTTGATTGTGATGCTTATTACAAATGTGGTAGACCCAATCATAACCATCCCCATTTTCAGGAGAAATGGGTGGTATAAACCCTCCAACATTTGCGTTTACCACATTACTCACCCATTCACCTGACATTCAACCGCATCTACCACTTGTTCAAAAACATTTCAATACCCCCATCTACCACTTGTTCAACTCCTCCCCCAGCGCCCCAGCGCCCCACCCGCCGTTCAAAACGGCGCCGGGCACCCCAGCTCCAATACTTACGAAGGCAAACCTCCAGATCCATCGCCAGGTGATTTGATGGGGAACAAAAAACATGGCTTTCCTGTAGATTTTCCCAACAAAACATACCCTCTGGTAAACATACAAAAAGCTATTGAACATGGCCATTTATAGTTGATTTACCCATTGAAAATGGTGAATTTCCATAGTTTTTTGTATGTTTACCAGAGGGTAACAAAACCAACCCATGGATTTCCAATGTCGGATTGCAAGCGATTGAGCTGCGATGAAGGATCCATTGAGGAAGGTGATAGTCTCAGTACTTACCCGAGCACTTATACCGCATAGCAGCCACTTACTAAGGGGATCTAAGCAGTATATTTTTCAAACAACAATTAGCCTAAAGTACACTTAAAAAAAAAAAAACGCACATGCTGCATTGGGATATCACCCCTCCATCAAAGGGTAAGGATTGCCCTGTACAGTATCTAAGTATGTGAATCTTGCACTGGTTCTGTACCAAGCGGAGCCAAAACGTCTTCTAGAACTTGCCCAAAAGAAGAACATCTGAATGGCCATATCATGACATATCAGTATCCCCCTATGTTGTCTACGGTCTACGCAAAAAAAAAAATCTGCATAACTGTAAAAAAAACTGTTCCATGCTTCACATCCCATCTTTCACTGGGTTGGTTTAAGGGAAAATTTTAACCGGAAAACCCCATTAATTTAATGGTAAAAACCCATGGGTTTCCTGTAGATTTTCCCTTAAACCAACCCAGTGAATCTTTCATGTGGCTTTTGTCTGAAAATATGGTACCAAAACATCCAAATCTGGGCATCAACAGTTGTCTCTTTGGGGCAGACCCATATCCATCCATGATTCATTGGTCAAATATGGTCGAATCATTATATAACCCCTATGTTTGATAGAAAAATTACAAATTATATATATATATATGTATATTAGTTGATGCTGATTCAATACATAATACCCAGTGTAACATTGTTGCTTGCCAAATTGCCCATAAATTTTCATGAAAGTATCCCCAAAAATCGTCCATTTCTGAAGTTGAATCCCCATGAATTGTTTAAGGTTTACCCTCCAGCAATCAAGTGCCGCAAGGGGTTTTATCACCCCTTTGAACCGTCCGTTTCCAGCGGTTTTTTTTCAGCCACATGTGATGACACCCGAGAATCAACATCCAACTATATCATTGGTTATATATATATATATACATATATGTATGTATATAGGTATATATATATATACATATGTATATATATATATATGTATTGTGAATGTACAACATCATTGCATTTCCTGTCATACAATCCAAACAAGGGATAAACCACCAGAGTTCACAACCATAGCACATGCATGGCTCAGGAGTGCCCATAGGGTAAGGTGAGGGAGGGTTCATTTGCATCCGTGTGTTTTAGCCATAGGCTTGGTGCGAGGTCGCACATACTGCTTGGACCAGGGGTCCCAAAATCCATAGGAGCATTTGCATCCAGCCTTTGCCTTGAGTTGGATAACTCTTGCTGCCACGGGGACCATCCCCGATTTGCACCGTGATCAGACTTGTGGCCTGGAAGGGAAAACAATCTGAGAGCGCCTTGGTGGATTGGGAGGAGGACATCCGTTGCCAGTGTTGCCAATCACACTGGTAGCGGAGCTCTCGCTGAGGATCCAGGGAGGAGGACATGCCTGAGACAAGTGATGGCTCAGATGGGGCTGGAACGTCCAACCTAGTTCCGAACCAGCTGGCCAATCTTGTCCCAACCTTTGACCCATCGAAGGATGAGATCGTAGACTACACCAAGAAAGTTCAACTGCTGATGAACATGTGGCCTGAAGGTAAGTGGACCGAGCTTGCCACCCGTCTCATTTTGGGATGTACAGGAACTGCATTTCAGAAGCTGCAATTGCACAGTACCGAATTGACCGACAATGACAAGAAATCAATTCAACGCCTGATCGAACTCCTCGGAGGCCAATGGGGCCAAATCCCCTTAGAACGTAAGTATGAAGCTGCAGAAAAAGCCTTGTATCGCCTGTCACAAAAGAGTGACGAAACCAATGACAGCTACCTGGCCAGGGCAGATGTAGCCTGGCAAGAACTCAAGAACAAGGAGATCAAGCTGGAAGATATTGCAAGCTTACATAACCTTGCGTGGATCAGGCCTCAGTGGAGAGGACAAGAAACGAGTTGTGATCGACAGTGAAGCCAGTGAAGATGGTAGACTCACCATGAAGCGTGTTTCAGCTGCAATTCGTATGCTTGGTGCGGGGTTTTTCCAAGAGGTGACATCTGGAAAGAAGCTCAACCGACTCAAGACCTACGATGCTGCCATGATCATATCCGACAGTCCTGAACAGGAGGACTTGTCAAACACCTTACATGCAGAAACAGGTGATGAAATGTGTGATGACGACCTTGTTGAGGCCCTTTTCCAAGAAGGTGACGAGGACGCCATCCTCATTGCGGACTTCGAGAATGCTGCCGCCGACGTCATCCAGCAGGATGAGGATCTTGCCTCGGCATTTAATGCATATACCGAGGCTCGAAAACGTCTTAGCGACAAAGTGAAGTCCCGGGGTTTCTGGCCGTTGTCAAAAGGGAAATATAAGGGGTCCCAAAAGGGGGTCAAGGGAAAGTTCCAGAAGGGACACCAGTCCAACAGAAAGTCCTTGCAGCAGAGGATTCTGACCTCAGCATGTAGGCTGTGTGGGAAGATCGGCCACTGGCGCGCTGAGTGCCCCAACCGAGCTGATGCATCCGGAGCCAGCAGACCTCAAGCTCCAACGTCTTTTGTCCAGGTTCAAGGTGGTCCAGAAAGTCTGCCGTTAGAGTTCCTGCAATTGCCGTCGATGGAAAGCACTGTGGATGAGCCTCACACTCATGAGAGTATGTGTTTTACATGTTCGCATGGCAAACCTTTTCATGAAACCTCCAAAGATAGGCTGAAAAGATCACTGTCTTCATGGAAACAATCATGCATGCGAACCAACCGTCTTCGTGCCATCAGGAATGAGCCGAGATCGCATCGCATGCACGTCCAAGAGCCCAGAGATCGAAGCCCTGGTGAAACTGAGAGCGCAGATCATTTGACCTTGTTTGCAACGCACAGCAGCTTGGGAGTAGTTGATTTGGGTGCCACTAAAACCGTCATAGGAAGTCAGCTTGTGCCAGGTTTACTCAAGGGCTTAAGTCCTGAAGCACGTCAAACTGTACGCCGATGTCCATGTAAGTTGACGTTCCGGTTTGGTAACCAAGGGGTGTTGCAAAGTGAACAAGCCCTTGTGATTCCCATTCATGGTTTGTTGCTTAAGGTGGCCGTAGTACCCGGATCTACTCCCTTCCTTTTGTCAAACACCCTTTTGAGAGCGATTGGGGCAGTGATTGATACGAGCCATCAAGTCATTCATGCAACAAAGATCTCCAAGACCATACCCATTCAGCTCACCGAGAAGGGTTTGTTTCTTTTGGATCTCAATGACCTGATGGACGCGACCGGGTCCATGCAGGTAGCCGAGACACATCAGGTATCAACCATGCCAAAAGAGTGTACAGAGCCTGCTGCAACTGTTGCATCCATCAACATGGAGATGAATACACATGATCAGTTTGCCAGCCACAAACCCATGCCATTTCAGAGTCCACACAACATGCCTCCACTCAATAACTTTACCAATTTAACCTTCAGTGAGAAGAATAAAGATACCTCATGTAACACAACCAAGCCAAATACATGCCAAGACCATGACCAAAGCCATGACCAAGAGGTCGAACGTGCCAAAATCTGTACAGAGGTGCTGCATCCGATAGATCCCAGAAGCTCAAAGCACACCCGTTTTGCCCAGAGTTTCCAAGTTCCTAAGCGTGATCGTCATGTCCAGTCTCAGCCATCGACTGAAAGCCCTGCAGATCCCCAGTGCTCCCGAGAAGTACAACTTCGACCACCTCAGCCTGAAGGATCTCGAGGAGTCGACAATCGACTTCGGGCAGACTCATCGGGGCAAGACCTATCTGGAGATGTGGAATCGACACCAGGACTGGATTGGATGGTTCGTGAACCATTACGAGAAGTCAGGCAAAGAGAACCACCAGAAAGTGATCCACTTCATCCAAATGAAGATCGAGCGAGCGGAACTCACAGGGGAAGGGATTCCACAGCATGCCGGACCGAAGATGAGCCACATGAAGCCCAAGATGAAGGCCAAGGCGGCCTGCCGCAAGCAACAGATGCCTGCGGAGATTCCAATTCCCGAGATGGAGGAGGAAGGAGATCTCTTCGAGTTTCTGCCGGAAGCCGAGATGGACGCCCAGAGTGTGGCACTCATGGAGAATGTGCAGCCCCTCGAGAACCGTGTGGACCAGATGGAAGCTGTTCTGAGCCGCATCCTTGCTCACCTGGAGCACAATCTGGAATCTCAGTAGATGCCTGTCCATGCTGGGCCTACGGTCTCCATGCCGGAGACATCGATGAGTCAGGAACATCCCAGGGAACACTGACACATGAGACCAACGTGGAAAGGAAACAGTTTCAAAAGTTTGTTGATCTCATTTCCCATGAACTTGAAGCTTGTCAAGGAAGGGTTGAATGTTCCGGTTCCAGAATCGATGTTTTAGAGGTGTTTTGTGGACCACAAAGCCAACTGACCCATCAGTGCCAGCAGCTGGGACATCGAGCCGTCAGATTTGGTCTTGCTGAAGGGGACCTTCAAACAGAAGAGGGTCGCAACCGGTTATTTGAAGTTTTGATCAAGCACCGCCCAAAGCATGTATGGTTTAGCCCAAAGTGCGGTCCATGGAGTGGTTGGTCAAATCTCAATGGAAGCAGGTCTATCCAATCATGGGATGCCCTTCAACAGAGCCGGTTACAACATCTTGATCAGATTGCTTTGGGAATTGTACTCTTGAGATATCAACGCAGTCAGGGAAATCATTTTCATTGGGAACAACCACAGAATTCCCAAATGTTGAGGTTGCCATATCTACAGGAGGTCCGTCAGCATTTGATTGCACTGGAGATCGGTTTGTGCACGGCAGGTGATTTGATCGATCCTGACACCAAGTTGCATATGCGGAAAGCCCTCACAATCATGACGTCGTCAAAGAGCCTTTTACATGACATGTGTGGCTTGAAATGTTCCGGAAAACATGAACATCAACAGATTGAGGGATCATGCCATGTCAATGGAAAGACCATGAATCGTTCCAGTTTCTCCGAAAACTATCCCAGAAAGTTTGCAAGAAGGGTTGCCAAGTGTTTATGCAAAGTGAGAATTCCAAAAGAATCACCATACCGGTGGCAGGAAGAGCAGGAGCTTTGGTCTTGGACACTTGCAGGTGCCGATGTGACCCAGGAGCGCAATGCCAAACGTCCCAAAGTGGGGCTCCAAGCAAGACTGAATAAGAGTCGAGCACGGCCCATAGCAGACATACCATGGGGAAAACGTACCAAAATCACTGGGAAGGCTACCACACTAGATGCTCAACAGAAATGGAAAGATGTCTTTGACAAAATTCTGAAGGAAGTTCCCAGGGTTGGTAAGATAGCAATCAATGATCCGACTATACTTCATGAGTTAGCTGAACTCATACAAGACAAAAGGGTCATTCAGGTAGTGGCATGTCGAGGAACAGACCGCACGATTGCACCAATCCAACCACTTCAGAAGGGTGAAGCACCTTTTCGTCGTAGCATCTTCATTGAACGGTCATCAGGGGAGTTGAAGGCTGACGAAGAATGGGAAGCCTGGGAAGATTTAGCAAAGCGTCAACTGATTCGACCTGGCCATTCGTGTCGATTGAATATAACAGTCTTTGCTTGCAATCTCTCCCGAGAACCTGCGGCAGCAGCATCTCGGACAGATGTACAGCAGCCGCCACATAATTCAGATGTGCCCACCGTGATCGAGGCACCAAACCCCGAAGGGCCCACAAGTCTCAATCCCACCAGTGACATGACGGAATCCCAAGAAGCCGACCTGAAGTCAGATCAACAAACACCGCATTTCCGAAGTTTGCCAAAAGGGGAACAACAAGCTCTAATCCGAGCCCACAAGAATTTGGGACACCCTCATCCTGAAAAGTTCAGCAGCATTATCCGCCAACAGGGTTTCCGTCCTGAGGTAGCTCGTGCAGCTCTAGAAATGCGATGCTCGGTGTGCCAATCCCAGACTCGTCCCAAAGGGGCAACACCTGGAAAATTGCGGGATCATCTTGATTTCAATGATCGCATCAGTGCCGATGGTTTTACTTGGTCAAATGGAAGAGGTCAGGGTTTCCATGTCTATCACTATGTTGATTGGTCTACAAGTTTCCAGGTAGCAAACATCGCTCCCTCGAGGGCGTCAGAAGCAGCGATTGACAGTTTTGCACAGTCGTGGCTCATGTGGGCCGGAGCACCAAGTGAATTGATCATTGACCCCGGAACCGAGTTCAACTCCGAACCATTCACAAACTTCATTCAAGCAAACAACATTCGCATGACAACCACCAGTGTGGAAGCCCACTTCCAAAATGGCAAAGCCGAAAAACATGGCGACATATTGCAAAACATGTTGACCAAGTATGACAAAGAACATCCAATCAACACTTACTCGGATTTGAAACATGGTCTATGGTGGTGTGTTCAAGCAAAGAACGCATACAGCATTCGCAAGGGGTATGCTCCAGAGGTGCTAGTTCTGGGTAAACACACCAGATTACCAGGCTCCGTATGCAGCGATGAGCTACTTCCAGCACATATGCTGGCCGATGCAGACACTGCTCAGGGAGTGCAATTTCGTTTGCAGTTGGCTCGCCGAGAAAGTGCCCGACGCGCGTTTGTGCAATCGGACAACGATGCCGCTCTTCGAAAAGCCATCCTCCGTAAATCAAGGGGTACCCCAAAACACTATGCACCAGGTGAATGGATAATGGCCTGGAGGGAAGGTAAAGGGGCAAATCCTAGTCAATGGGTTGGGCCTATGAAAGTCGTAGTCCATGAGAATGCACAGACCATATGGGTCACGATGGCAAGCAAATTGCACCGAGCAGCACCCGAACATGTCAGGCCAGTTTCCGCCATGGAAGCCAAAGACATAGTGATTTTTCCGAATGAACCATCAGTTTCCACCATTGCCCAACAGATACCACGAACCCGCATGCCACAGTCAAACCATACATCCATGCCTGACATGTCACTGCCAGAGTCCTCTGAAGTAACCCCATCACCCCATAACCTCAATAATACCAATAACCCTAATCTATCAGAGAATCATCATTCAAATAATCCCGATGATGCATCCGAACAACAGCCTGATGCGGAACCCGGCGAAGCCAGTAACAATCCCTCACCAACGGGCAGCCAACATGGTACCATGCCAGAGCTAGACCCTGTACGGGATCGCGAACAAAGAGAGATAGCCCAGAATACTCCCCTACCGGATGACACTGAGGAAGACGACCTGATATGTGAAGGTCTCCACTGCATAGACCAAGAACCTGAATCCTTTGAACTCCACACCGACCAAGCATGGCGGTGCGAGGTCCTGCTCACAGAAAACGACATCCAGGACTGGAGGAGAGAGGAAAATCCTTTCGAATGTTCGTTTCTTGCCACTGCGGCGAAGCGCCAGAGATCGGAAGTGAAACTCTCGACATTGGATCAAGGGGAAAAGGCAGAGTTTCAACGGGCTAAAGAACAAGAAATACAGAACTGGTTGAAAACAGGCACCATATCAAAAATACTCCGACATCAAGTACCACAAGATCAAGTCCTTAGATGCAGATGGATTCTCACATGGAAGCCAATTGATGATGAAGAGAAGGAAAAACTCAAATTGACCAAAAATGTCAAGGCAAAAGCCAGACTGGTCATTTTAGGATACCTTGATCCCAAAATTGATGAAGTACCACGGGATTCACCCACTCTTGGAAGACACTCCAAAATGCTTCTACTTCAGTTAATCGCATCAAAAGGGTGGTCACTTAGATCTTTTGATATTAAAGCCGCGTTTTTGCAGGGGAAAAACCAAAAGGACCGAATCCTTGCTATTGAACCGGTACCTGAAATTATCAAAATGATGGGACTGTCACCCCAAGAAATTTGCAAACTGGAAAAAGGGGCATATGGTTTGGTGGACGCACCATTTATGTGGTTCCAGGCAATCCTTGAAGAACTTTTGGGCTTAGGGTTTCAACAATCACCATTTGATCCATGTTTGTTCATCCTCAGAGATCCCAAGAGTGGACAACCGGATGGTATCTTAGGACTTCATGTGGACGACGGTTTGTGTGCCGGAAACGAAAGGTTTCTCAAAGTACTGGACCAGCTGGAAAAGAAGTATCCGTTCGGATCAAAAAGGGTTTCCGAATTCACTTTCACAGGAATTGACATGTCCCAGACAACAAATGGCAATATTCATTTATCTCATTCCAAGTATGTAACTGCAATTGACCCTATTAAAATTTCACTTGACCGCAGAAAACAACGAAGAGAAAATCACTGAAGAAGAAAGACAGCAACTCCGGGCGTTGATCGGCAGCCTCCAGTACGCATCCGTGCACACGCGTCCTGACTTGTCCAGCAGACTCAGTTACTTGCAATCATCTATCAACAGTGCCACCGTGGAGACACTTATCAAAGCTAATCACACCCTACATGAAGCCAAGAAACACCATGATGTCACCATCAAAATACAAAGTATCCCCATTCCTGATGTAAGATTTCTTGCTTTCTCAGACGCATCCTTTGCTTCTAAGGGGAACCCCAATTCCCAAACAGGTACCCTCATAATGGCGACTCATAAAGACATTGGTCATAATACTACATGTCCTGTGAGCCCTATTTCATGGGGAAGCAAAAAGATTCAAAGGGTGGTCACGAGTACACTTGCAGCTGAAACGACATCGCTGGGGACCGTGCTGGATCAATTGTCATGGATCCGTTTGTGCTGGGCTTGGATGTTGGATCCCAAAGTGCCTTGGAAAAACCCGAAACAAGCCTTCAAAGACTTACCTGAAACGTACACCACTGCAACTCTCAAAGCCCAACAACTTCCAGAAAGTTTTGCGGCAACTGACTGCAAAAGCCTGTTCGATCTCATCACCAAGACAGCCACACCGAGCTGTGCGGAGTTCAGAACCCAATTAACTGCGCGGGCCATGAAGATCTCATTGCTGAAGGAGTGTCATTAAGATGGGTCCATTCAGGAGCACAACTTGCTGATGCATTGACGAAAATCATGGAAACGAATTTCCTTAGGGAAACTCTGAAATGGGGCCACTATAAATTACACGATGAGCTTGAGGTCTTGAAAAATCGAGCAACCGCTCGAAATCGGCTGCGTTGGTTGAAAGGAGATTCCGATGGCCATGCCTCTGGTCCGTGCAATGATGCTTGTTTTCTTGAAAGTTTTGACTTTTTGGGAGTGTGAATGTACAACATCATTGCATTTCCTGTCATACAATCCAAACAAGGGATAAACCGCCAGAGTTCACAACCATAGCACATGCATGGCTCAGGAGTGCCCATAGGGTAAGGTGAGGGAGGGTTCATTTGCATCCGTGTGTTTTAGCCATAGGCTTGGTGCGAGGTCGCACATACTGCTTGGACCAGGGGTCCCAAAATCCATAGGAGCATTTGCATCCAGCCTTTGCCTTGAGTTGGATAACTCTTGCTGCCACGGGGACCATCCCCGATTTGCACCGTGATCAGACTTGTGGCCTGGAAGGGAAAACAATCTGAGAGCGCCTTGGTGGATTGGGAGGAGGACATCCGTTGCCAGTGTTGCCAATCACAATGTATATATATATATATATACCTATATATAATGTACACATTACATCCCCATTGTATCACTATTCTGGATGGTGAAAGCCCCCTTCTGAAAGATCCGTTTTTTTTCCACGGTGTAACTTCACCCTCCGTGGCCTAATCAAAATGATGTCGAACATGGCCTGTATGAGTTCCTGCAGCCCCTGCACCTGGGTGGCAGCATCGACCATGGAACCATGGCATCAAAATCGGGATTTTTGGGGGGATTTACGATGTTTTCGGGAGTTTATAAAGTTAACAGACATGAATCATGAAAAGTCAAATGAATCATGGGATATAAATATGACTAAATCTCTATATTATATATATATATGATATAGACTTAGTTCATAACTCACAATTGGACACCGACATGGCAAAACCAATTGGATCCAATTGCTGGGTATCCTAGTTTCAGGCAACCCCAAATGACATTCGTCCCAGCCACCACCGTCTGCACGATGGCGAAGACGATGTTGGCGATGTTGGGCGGTTTGATCCTCGGTTTCTCCGCCGGAAAAAATGCGGGAAATCCCATGGTGATTTATCAGAATTTGTGTGGCCAAATCTGTGATTTATGGAGCAAAAATAGGAGTTCAACCAGCAACAATGCTGGATTATGCGGAAAAAGGTAAAGACTTAACCAGCATTTTTTTTGCTGTTCACAAAATGAACTTGCCATTTTGAAGGGTATACCCATTTTTGGGGGGAAAAAAAACACAATTATTACATGGTTCAATCAAACCCCCCTTTTGAAAAACTGAAAGAAACCCCCAAGTCCCAAGATATTGTCAGTAGGTAAACTTGTCCGGTTCATTAATATCATTCATGTAGTTCAAACGCCAAGAATCATAGTCCATTAAAGTTTCATATCGGAAACGTGTTGGTAAGCAATCAATATACTGTATTGGGTGTGTCTGAAAATCTGAACCCCCAAATCCATTGGTAAATCATCATTCTGCCTATGAAAATAACCCGGTTGGGGGGTATACCCCATTTTCAGGCACAGCCATGAAATTTACATCCATTATACAACATAAAAATGATATCAGATCAGCTACTCTCCATGTACCCAGATGTTTTCATCCTAATCCTAATCCCATCAAATCCGAAATGTTCATGGTAGAATGCTCACAATTCCCGAGATGTTGTAATTGTTGATTATAAATCTCTGTGTATATTTGTCCTAAAATGGGAGTGTTTCCCCTCAATCATCCATTTTAATAGGACTTTCCATTAAAAAAAAAAAACATCCATGTTGAGGATCCCCCAGTTGGTTTATAGTTTATAGTGGTTCAAATCCCATCATTTTTATGGATGATTTGAGGGTACCCAAAAACGGCTTTTAAGATGTCAATTGAATACTTGATCCCCCAGTTTAGGAAAAAACCCATGTTGACATCTTATGTGACCATGTTACCATGTCAATATGTCACCCATTGTCATTAAAACAGTTTAGGAAAACCCCATGTCACCATTCATCCCCTGTTTTTTGCCTCGCCAAGCTGCGCCAAAGATTGACTCTCCGGATCCCCCAGGGGCAAACCCAGCACCACCGCCATTCGCTTCCTGCATTGCTCGGCGGGGATCTGTGCATCTCAAAGATGATATAGACATCAACTTTATATATCAATGCATATGTGTGTATAATATATATATATAACCCCCCCACCACCAGGGCCTACCTTGAGCTTTTTTTGGTGGTATACTATGTATATATATATTATATATATATCACATCTATATCTACATCTATATCTATATCTATATCTGGGTCTATATCTATATCTATTTATATACATAAATGTAATCGTACATATATATATACGTATATGTATTAGAGATAGGTAATACAATGATCATTTTGGGATGATTCCCCTTACATTTAGCATCAGAAAACAGCGACGTCGTGATGTGGTCGTTGCTATTTACCCAAATAAATTATCTAAGTGAGTTGTAAAAAAAAAAACGTTATAGGGGAACTCATGCATGATGATGATAAGAATTTCGTCTGCCAATTTTATTGGACGTTTGCCCTGCAAAAACATCAAAAAAAACTTGGGATCTAATCTGCGACCAGGATGCGGAGTGGACCCAACAAACAGGCAGAAAAAAATTGAGAAGACCAAACAAACAATGACTCGCGTTATCCCTGCATTAATTGTGGATTATCACAATTCTATGGTGAATAATGAATATTTTTTTCTTTCAGGGGTGTATGGTTCATCCCTTACTGAGTTAGAGCCTAGTTGGCATCGTGTGGTCGAAAAAGAATTCATGTTTCAACGACTCTCCAACAGAAACTGGGCCCCCAAAAAAACGTGGATCCAGTGGTTAACAAAGTTACCCCAAAATCCAGTGGTGGTTTGTAGCCCACCACTCTTGGGCAAACCTAATTGTCCCCCCTTCCAAAAACTCCATGTGCACCGTGCGCCTCTGTGCAGGGTTCTTGGGATTGTAGCGCCTCACTGATTGGTTCATGTCAGTGTCCAAAAATGGGACTAGATTGGACTAGCTGTAGCTTAGCCGAAACAATTGGACGGTGCTTTGAAGTTGAGGAAATCCAGAAGTGGCAAGTGGAGACCTCCCCATCTTTGGTGCATTGGAGGTAGGATCTCTCCTGAAATTTGGATGAGATGCTTTCACCAGGATCGAAGCTCGTCCCCACCAAAGTTCAGACCTGAAAAAATGCCCTGAAAATGTGAAGAGATTCATTGATGGAAAACTGTACGGCCCAACCTTCGATTGGTTTCAGGGAAATGGTACAGGAAAGCCCCATGATCTTCATGGGAAAATCGATTGGTTTCCGCTTGAGATGTTCCCGATAAAACCAATCGAAACCTGGAAGAGATTCATTGATGGAAAACTTTACGAATAATAAATGCTGTTAACCCCCTAATAGATACATAATGATACATCTAGATACGAATATATACTAGATTGAAGTTCACCCAACCTCCGCTTGGGAAACTCCGGAGCTTGGCATCTCACGACTTGGACCATCGGATGAAGAAACTGCACGCCAAGACCAGCCTGCACGGCACAAGGGGCGGTCGGCCTTAGGCCCATCGATGTCTGGAAAAAATGATATACTTGGGGGTATCAGCCATTAGTATGGGGATTTAAGCAACAATTTTTTATGGATATGAACTGATATATTGACCACTGTGAATGTTGATTCAAACACCAGAATCATGATTTCCTGCATGATTTCCTTGCCATTTGCTCGCTCCGTCCTAGTGAGGTCCTAATTAGTCAAAGTCAAAGGGATTACCACCCCCATCAACCATTCACCCAAAGTTGTATCGCAATGAAATATGTCTTAAAATTCTGAAAACTGTCTGGCATTTGGTGGCCGGGAAATTGCACTTTTCTTGCTAGTAGCTCCAGCTTCCATGAAATACGTGTTGCAAACATTCGCACACGAAGTGTGTTCGGTGTCAAGGGACCACTTCCAGAATGGAAAGCCATTTTCTCTGTATCATATGTTGTAACTCCAGTGCAACATGAGCATCATATTCATAGCCGAAGGTTTATCCCAAAATAATAAGAATAATAATCATCATAATAACAATAATCATCATCATAATAATCAGAATAATAATAAGATGTACAGATATATTGTACACGTACAATTTCTCATAACGGCCATGGCAGTTTTTCTACATCCCAATAGGCACCAAAAAACATCTCCCACCTCGTAAGAACCTCCGACATCAAGTACGACAGCACCTTGGTATCAGCACGGGAAAATCCATAGCAAAACCCTAGGAAGTGACTGTTGTACTATTCATCACCACCACCACCACCACCATCATCATCATCATCATCAGCAGCAGCACCATCATCACCATCATCATCATCATCATCATCATCATAATCGTCGACTGCTACATGAGTTCTATCAGTTCTGTCCCAATTTGCAGGATTGCTCCCACCAAAAAAATATGGTAGTGCTTATGGTACCAGTAGTGATATGGTGGTGCTTATGGTGGTGCTTATGCTCATCCCACCAAAATATATCAGTGGCCTGAGGAGATATCCCACCTGGACGGGACTTCGAAAAACATCCCATGGGTGAGGCACGGCCCAGATCAGCATGGAACCAATGAGGAAGCCCAGCAACAGCAGCAGAAGCCTCCAGCGATCTCCGTTACGTTCTCCGGAGGTGAAAACTGACGTGAACAAATAGGGATTGAAGCCACCAGAAAATTTTGAGAAATCTGGATTTCGCCAGAAAATGGGAAAAATACAGAGTTCACTCCATTGAAAAAAAATCTGGAGGCCCTATCCCTTGATTTTTTTTTGCTATGTAAGTTCTGTTACGGACTTAAGGTCCCATCACCTGGCTGCTCATCCACGCTAACAACCAACCCTCCAAGTTTGGTCCAAGGAAGTATCGAAGTCCTGGTGGTTACCCTCCAGCAACATACCATAGATATCCATAGATATGAAAAATCGATGATTTTGCAAGGAAAATTCTTCCAGTGGGGACAAGCCATACCGGGCATCACCCATATCTGCCATATCTGCCATATTTTTTTATTCACCAACCTGCAATTTGGATGTTCAATTTTAAATGTTGAAGCCAGGTTGATATGTTGAATTTCACCGATTCACCAACCTGCAATAAGACTTTTTGGGGATGGTTGCCCCTACTCAACATCCAATTAGTATCCCATCATATCCCCCAAAAAATCAATGATGTTTATAGATCCCCATATTTTCATGAATGGAACCCCTAATCAATGATGGTTTATGTGTATATAATATATATATAGCTATTTCAAATTATTTAGTTGATTGAATCCGCCTCCTAGTGATAATTTAACATATCTATTGAAGCCACGGCACATAGAAATAGATGTTAACTACCCATTAATAGCATGGCGATTTTCCATATCTATGTTGGCTATATTCCCCACTTGTCCATTTTACATATCCTAAAATGTGGGTACCCCCAAATCATCAATTTTTATAGGATGTTCCATCAGAAACCATCCAGCTATTGGTGTACCCGCCAAATTTATCCAGATACATCCAACTAGTATCCCATCATTGATGGTTTATATATCCCCTCTGGTAATTTAACATAGCTATTGAAAATGGCACATTTATAGTTGAATTACCATTAATAGCATGGTGATTTTCCATAGCTATGTTCTCTGGTAAAAATTCCCCCTGTTTCTCTGTCGTTCTCGCCTCTTCAAGACCAAGGTCCACCAGCGATCCAACAAGCTGTGTCGTACCAGCTGATACCTGCAGAACGATCCCCACTGGAAAAAACGGCTCGAAAACAACGGAGGCTTTTCGGGCAGGTTGGAACAAAAAGTGGAAGAACTATGGAATAACTATGATATATTTACAGAAATGGTTTAAGGGATTAATTGGAAAAATTACATGAACTCGATATAGTTCAAGGGAGATTACCCAAGGGAAACCTAGTCTCAAAATCACTGATCAACTAGTGGGAACAGCACCCATGGCCCCATTTACGCCAGTACCGTTACAGCATACAGAATACCATAGGACAATACCATGAAAATCCATGAAACATCAAGGTTAGAGCTTGGGTTCCAATAATTTCTATGCATCAAAGCCCTGGCATCCTTCTCTTTACCCAAAAATTGAAAACCAACCAAAACGTGGCATTGTCATTTAGTCAATTTCGTGCTGTTTCTATACCAACTCAAGGTGCAGGGAGACTAGCAACCGATCAAACAAACTCCCAAGTTAAGGAGTCAGGGAAAATTATCCCCAAAATAACGATGATAATCTCCAATAATCCCACCCCTCCTGATATTAAACATCCCCCAGAAACCATGGTTTAGTACGGAATCACGCATCGTGGGGACATTTCGGAACCATACAACGGGTGTGTTTTTGTTGGGGGATGATTTTGGCGGAACTCATCATCAAAACCAAAGTTTTATCTAAAGTTACCCCCTGGTAAACATAGAAAATTCATCAAAATTCATGGAAAATCACCATGCAAAAATGTTCACGGCCAGTTCTCATCTGCCATGGCTTAGCAAACGGCTCCAGGTTTCCCCCGAGCTCCAGGGTTCCCCAGCAGAAGCGTGGGGATCAGACCCCCTCCTTGGAGCCACCTGGCCGAACTTGGAGGTTGAAACTGGGAATGGGAAGTTTAGGAGCCACCATTCCCATGACGGATCCATGTGTGCTATATACCATCTGGTTATTTAACATAGCCATGGAAAATCCCTCATCAATGGAGGTTTTAATGGGAAAACCATCTATAAATGGGCCATTTTCCATGGCTATGTTAAATAACCAGAGGGTATATGGCAACATGGATCCCATCAATATACCCCTTAAATGTGAGCATATATATACCAGCACCATGGATCCGTCATGGGATTGATTTACCCACATGAAAAATATGGTGTTTTTCATGGTTACCACATTGAAAAAATGAATGAATGGCATGGATTTACCACATTGATCCCCCAGTGGTAAACCACATTGAAACTTGGATGTTAAAAATGGTGACTGGGGGATGGTGCCAATGGCATTGTTTTACCCACATTTTAAAAAAATGATCATCAAATCTTGGCGTAAAATATTGAAACTGAGAGATGTCAAGTGAAAGGTTGTGAAATTCTTTCAGCCTGGAATCCTCATGGTTCTTATGTGAGTTGCACATGCTGCATGTCCCCGTGCCGGGTGCCGGGTGCCCCCCCATTTTTTCGATGCAAAAAACCGCCCCGTTTTCGCCTGTGGGTGGGTCCACAGAGGCGATACCACATCCTCACGGCCATGGCACATCATCAAAAATGGTGAACATAGCTGGGAACATCAACAATACCCTCTGGTTATGACTAACAGTTGGCCATGGAAAATACATGGCCCATAGAAATAGATGGTTTACCTATGAAGAATGGTGGATCTTTCCATGGCTATGTTAGTCATAACCAGATGGTAAATGGAATATGTGTCAGTGCCCCGTTTGCCGTTTGGGGATCCGAAGGGTAGATCGGAAGTATGCTATTGTCATATCGCCTATCTACAGATATACTACTGTATGATATACTGCTACATCCAATACAACTCCCAGTTCCAAGTTCCAAAATGGATCAAAAAGCTGAAGAACTTCTAAATTATGAAGGCGAGATCATCCAGGATCCAATCCCTGAACTAATGAAATTGGCATCCACCAGGATCCAATCCCTCGAAAAACCAGTTTCAGCATGTTGGTGAACCAATTTGGTGAACATGCCCTCCACCCAAATCCCTGCTCAAATCCCATCTTTTGAGTGCTTCCCTATATTGTTCATGGATGTTCATGGCTAAACCCCAAGTTCTGGCCAAATCATATTTCATAAATCTTTTGATGCTTTGTTCACATGTGGTTTTATGGCTCAGAAAATCAAAAATTCCCCATCCTCTCAGCACAGCTGGTCGTGCCATCTCCACGCGACGGAGGTTTCGGAATCTCAGTTGGCCAACTCACCATGATGGCATCAGAATGGTTGGCTAGGCTATCACCATGGCAACAAAGAGGGTATAAACATTGAACAAAGGATCTGTTTGATGCATGTAGAATACCATATCAAAAACAGACGTGAACAGGTATCAAGATGGTTGGGGGTGTTTTATATGGTTGGAAGCAACAAGATCGAGAATTTCAGTGGATTGGTTTGCAGGAAGAATCTTCCAAAAAGCGGGTGCCCCAAAAATTGGGAACGACCTCCACTGAAGCCAATATGCAAGCCCCCTCTTTTAAAGCCCAACAAAGATGATAGCCATGCATAGGTTTAGGATGGGGCTGCCCTCCTGAGGCTTTGACCATGTAGATGATCAGGAAGACCAATGCAAAGATCACTCCGATGAAAGGCAAGACCGTCCTGTCAGCCACTGGATCCAGTTCTCCAGCTGTGGATGATGCGGAAGGAGAAACCGGAAAGCAATGGCTGAACTTTGGGTAAACCCCACTTAGGTCCTCACAGCTAGTCACTGTCATATCATATATCATAATCATATATCATATATCATATACCATATATATATACATATACATATCATATATAAATCATATATCATATATATATACATATCATGTATATATATATATACATATCATATATAAATCATATATCATATATATAAATATATATACATATCATAGATATATATCATATATATATACATATCATAGATATAAATCATATATATACATATCATAGATATAAATCATATGTATATACATATCATAGATATAAATCATATATATATATATACATATCATAGATATAAATCATATATATATATACATATCATAGATATAAATCATATATATATATATACATATCATAGATATAAATCATATATATATGCCAACTTGATATTCCATTTATAGGTGTTACATCCCACTTTCTGGCTGGTGTTACTTTACCCAGCGAACATTGGGAGCTCCACAGGACTTGGGGACCCCCACGCGGATTGGATGATGATCATCTCAAAACCTGGACTCCGCTGTTTCACCACATCTTTTTGCAAAATCTGCGTGGTGACAATGGTCAATTGTTTGGGTTGTTATATTGGGGAGTTACTTCATGGTTTACAATATGTTCATGGTTTACAGTCACCCAAAATGCGAAGCAAAAACTCTTGGTTTACAGTAACCCAATATTCATGCTTTACAAAATTCATGGTTTAAATTGATGTCTTACCAATCAGAAAATTCCAACAGCCCCAAACGCCCCACCTACCGGAGCTTCGCCCATCAGCTCCGCCGCAATCTTCGCGTCCAGGATCTCGTCCTCAAAGACCTGAGGAAAACGCAAAAAAATCCATGGGATCCTACCATCAACAGGGACAAAATGTGAAAACATCGGACATGTTTTCGGGATTTCATGGCTGATCACCTATCAATTTTACTATAAATATCTATTACTATGGGATACAGTCAGAGAGGAATATGACGGCAATATGTTTGAGTAACATTATCCTATGATATTTAGATATCCTAAAAATAATTTATATAGGATATTCCAGTAGCTCATACCCTCGGGTGTCATCCCTGGAAAATCACGGGTGACGGTTCCCAGGGAAAATCAGCGAACAACAACTGGTGGGAGGTGAAATTTCTTGCCACGTTTTGACTGGCGGCGGTAAACATAGTCAACTAATGGGATAATGGGAATCTTATGGAAATGTTTATAGGATTTAAGTGACCATTAGTGTTGACCATGGGATAATGGGAACTTATTGGATAATGGGAATGTTTATGGGATTTAAATGGAAAAGTTCAAGAATCCAAGTGTTGATCTTGATTTGAAGATGATTCGAGAAAGACAAATGTATCAAATGGTGTTTCTCAAAAAAAATCGAAAGATTCGGAAAAAGTGGGATCCGCACCTCGGTGTTGAGATTGAAGGCGCAGCAACATCTGGAAGTGCTTCCGGCCTTGGTCGTCGGGTCATCAATACCATTGGATACCCCAAGTCGCAGGTGGTGAGACCTCGGAGTGGTTGAAAAAATTAGGCGAGTTTTTGAGAACATGAGGTTTTTGTTCCGTTACCCTCTGGTAAACATACAAAAAGCTATTGAAAATGACCATAGAAATAGTGGATTTTCCCATGAAAAATGGTGATTTTCCAGTTCGCTTTTTGTATGTTTACCAGGCCGGGTCATCATCATTCATCCATTGGTTGTTGGACCATGTTGGACCAAGTGGCAATCGGACAGCAGTTTCCCACATAGCCAGCCTGGCCAGTCGCTACATCCGCTACATGTCACCGACCATACCGAACCCGGCGCCCGACCCGGCGCCCCGTCGACGACGGCAGGCCTTGGCACACTCCGGGTGCTTCTCACAGAAAGGATCCGCCAGCAACTTCACCGAGCCCGGATTGGGAATCTCGCAGACCTCGGGATTCACAGGGCCCCAAGGACACCCCCAAGGATCCAAACTTTGGAACCCCAAAATGCATCATTTGATGCGTTTCAACACATGCCACCAGGGATTTCTTTGGAAAGGATTGCATCTCGAAGCCAATAACTTGTTCCTGGGGCGGCTAAGCTCTGGAAATCTAAGCCTGAAAACAGGAAATCAACCTAACAAGTTTCCAGGCGAAACACTTTTTCCCATTCGAAGCAACCACATCCAAAATAAGCTTAACCCTCCAAAACTAATCATCCCAACCATCCAGCCAACCGAGAAAAAAGATACCTAATGACGTTTCCCCACCTACAAAATCATCGTCCGCATTAGAGGATATCTTTAGAATGGAAGCATATTCGTCACTTATTCATCATTATTCATCATAGTATATCAGTATCTCCACATGATACTGCTGATACTTCATGATACTTCCAGAAACCCTTCCCCGTCCAAAATTAGCTCATACCCCTCCAAAACATCATCATCCCAACCCCACAAAGCCAAAAAAAAGGCCGAAAATGTTCCCCCATCTCCAAAGTATTAAGATGTATTAAGAGGTATTAAGATGTATTAAGAGGTATTAAGTATCCAAAGAACTGACTCATCTCCCAAACAACTCCCAAGGCACGTCGCTCTGCCTCCGGCTCCGCGTGGTGATGGCCGGTGCCGACACCACTCCGCTGCTCAAGCCGCTGAGCGCCGCCTGCGCCTGCTCGGCCGAGAGCTCGGGACAGGGCGCCACGCGGCCATAGAGGCCCTCGATGCTGAAGACCTCCCCGGTGTCCGAGACGTGGCGCCAGGAGGCATGGGCCCAGTGGGTGCCGTTCCTGGGGCGAAATGGCAATGGGGGATGTGGGACATGGGAAAAGATGGGAAAATAGGGGAAAAAACTGGAGGGGGATGGGGGATGGGATGGGATGGCAGTTGGTGAAATGCGACTTGCCGGGTGTGCAAGTGGTTTCGAAAAAACGGTTGCTGATGGGTCGAAATACCAAACGGAACCACAAATTTCTGGACAAGTAGGCTTCGATACGCCATACCCACCGCTGTTGTCGCCCGAATTCAACATGTCAAAGATTATTCATTTATATTCATTTAATCCAAAATGGATGTTGATGGACACCCCATTTGAATGGCGAAAATGACTTTCCAAACCATCCAATGTTGTTTTTGTTCCCCTGATTATTCCACAAGTTGAATCCCTATGGTTCATACATCTTCGTACCAATCTTCCATGATTTAACCATTCTGAAGAGCTCCCCCATCCCCGATCTCCCATCCCCCATCCCCCATCCACATTAATAAGCCATGATGTAACTATTAAGCATTACCATTACATCTCATTAGATTCCAGGGATAATCCTCTAAGTACCCTCTGGTAAACATTCACAGTTTGCGAACTTGAAAATGGCCATAGAAATAGTGGATTTTTCCCATGAATAGCATGGTGATTTTCCATCGTTTTTTTGTATGTTTGCCAGAGGGTATATCCCCAAAATATGCCAAGACATCTGGTATCCATTCCAAGCATCCAACGGTCCAGGGTCACACTCTCGGCAGGGTCGCAGCAGTCGCTGCTGGGATTGCGCGACTGCATCAGCTTCATACAGCGCACCATCACCGGCAGCCCATCGAACCTGAAAGTGGGTTGTGGGTGAACTGGGTAAAGAACCATGGGAAATAGTCCCCCTCTGTCTCTCTATATCTATATCTATATCTATCTATATATATATAATATATATATATACATATACCTATATCTATATCTATCTATCTTTATATATATATATACAGTTATTTGAATGGGAATCCCTTATATAAATTATTATTTTAAATGAGAACATTGAACTAAATGGGATGGTTTTTCTCGGTGAATCTTGGGAGAATGATCAAACATCATGGTTTATTTGCATCGCACAAGCCGCAGCTGAGTGCAGAATCCAGGAGTTAGTTATCTGCTTCGCAGAATGCAGCTAAACAGACCTGAACCTTGCAGCACCATTACAGTTTGCTATGGATAGATGGTCCATTTTTATCTATCGATGGTTTATGATGATTTACATGTTTTTCGAAATGATTATTTTCCACAGCAAACTGTTGACCTACCAGAGGCTAGAGGTGAAACTCATGGTCAGAATGGTTAAAACATGGACAAATCTTGGAAGGTCATTCTATAGTCAGTAAAAAAGTGAGTTCTGCAATAAGTTGCAAGGTGGGTAAGCATGAGTATGAGTCACCCTACATGTTTGGGGAACCATCAAGTACTGGCAAAGAAACGGCAAAGTTATGCCTAAATAATGCCGACAGTATTTTTCAATGGCACCGATGTTTCGAAAAGTCACACCAGAGTCATCCCTACCACCACAATGTGTGTGGGTGTGTCCTTATGTATCTGTATACTTGCGAGATCTTGCGAGTAGTCTTGGCCATGATGCTCTGGTTTACGTGTTTAAGCAATGTGTAAGCAGCCGAAATTGGCTGGTCCCAGTCTTGGCAAAGTTCTTTGTGAGTCTGGCTAGAACCTCAAAGTTTGTCATATGCCTCCGGTTCAAAACTCTGGCACCCTGCTGAACCAAGTTTTTCATCATGCAGGTATTATAGCTGGTACAAGGGCCTTTAACCCGTGCATTCTGATTCTGGTCCTAAAATCCAAAATCACCATTCTTGACACATCCGTATCCATCTCCATCTTCACGATCTTCAGATTCCCACTAAAAGGCCAAGCAACATGGTGCTGAAGTCCAGTCCAACCCACTCCATGCCTTCTCTGCAGTCTGCCTCCTACCAAAACAAGTTTCCCAAGATCCTGGACAAGAATCATCACGAATCATCATAAATCAATCTACATCATATTTCTCCCAGCCAATCTTCCAAATATTCATAACCTCAGAAGAAAAAAAAACATCCCCACCATCCCCACCATCCCCACCATCCCCACCACCCCCACCATCCCCTGACCTCATTGGCCCTTGATCCAGCGCCACACTGCGCCGTCCACGTGGTGCCCACGAGCCCGTCGAAGGCCAGGTGCGGCCCCGTGCCGCTCAGCGGCGCGATGCCGGCCTCGCGCGTGCCGCTGGCCACCACGTCCACGCCCTCCGCGGGGCCCGGGAGCTTCACCGAACAGGCGTCGTCGCCCTGGGCGACAGTGACGAAGTGATTCATCATCATGTTTACATATATATCTATATTATATATATATATCCATAATAATATATATATAATAATGGTATATATATATAATAATGTATATATATATATTATACATATACTTGATATAGTAAGCATGTTTTTACCCAGTTATACGTATACATATATCACGAGGTGCATGGATATACCCAGATATGTCTGGAATTTTATCCGGTGGCGGGCGGTGGCGGGCTGGGATTGATGGACTTGCCAGGTGTCGGTCCCAGTACAGAATCAATAAGCGTGAGTTAATCAAGATCAGAATGGCTTAAACACATAGTACAGAGGGCACCACACATCATTCACCATGCTTGAAGTACGACCTTTGCCGAGTCTGCGTGTGACCCATCAGTTTGAGCCGCCACCATGGTGGCGGGTCAAACACAACTGGACCCACAAAAGCACCCAAAAATCCAGCATCCTCATGCCCACCTGGGTCAAATCCCAAACTCCATCTAGTTTCGTCCCAAAAAAAAACGACATCTCTTTAAACTAACATAACTATGGAAAATCACCATCTTTAATGGGAAAACTCACTATAAATGGCCATTTTCAATAGCTATGTTAGTTTACCAGAGGGTAAGCTCCATACTTCGTTGGAAAGGCCCCAATAGGGCCACCCTTTTCTGCCAAAGGTGCATAGAATTCCACCTCTGAGACTCCCCAGGATCGATGCCATCCACGTTCCTCCATTCCCAAGCACACGGTGCTGGACCGCTGTCCATACGCCACACGCCACATGGTGTCCGGCGGCATGGGGCGGCGGTTCCACGTGTCGCCGCCTGCAGGATGGGGTCCATGCTTGGTGCTTCATCCCACTTGGTATCTGGGAACCCCCCAGTTATGTTTGTTGGCTTATAAACCCCATGAAAACGATAGTTATAGGTATCATGAACCATAGTTATTGAAGTTATGTTCGCCAACTTAGCTACCGTTTGGGGGCTTCACATTGTAGTATTTGGGAACCCCAGTTTTTGCTGCTATAAGTGGATGATAATATAAGTAGTAAGTATCTCAGAGCCCTAGTTTTGAGATATTATAAGAGGATTAACCCTACGTATCCCACTTATAATTAGGGATATAACCTGTGATTCGTGGCCACCAAGTAGGGACAAGGTTCCATCCAAGGGCCACCATTAAACTGCCAGATATGTTCATGGGATTACAAGTATACTTTCTGGTTATTTAACTGTTTGCGAACCGAAAAATCACATTTTCTCATCATGTTTATCATCTATTTCTAGGGGCCATGGCGGGCCGCGAACTGCGAAAGCACCAGAGGTCACCGAGGGTTGCTGGAGTTGATTCAGCACAAGCGGCTTGTGAACTCATCAATATATCGCTCTGAAAAGATCGACATCCTCTAAATCCAGTTGTACCCAACCTGGTTATGACATTCACAGTTCGCCATGGAAAATAGATGGCCCTAATCGAAATAGATGGTTTATGTTACCAATTTATATTATAGATGGTTTTCCTATTAATGTGATTTTCCAGGAATTATAGATGGTTTACCTATATTTATATTATAGATGGTGATTTTCCATGTGAATTTCCAGGATCTTTCAGGACCTCCCATGGTCCCATGGTCGCTCCCGGCACCTAGGCCGTTGAACTCGTTCTGCATCTCGAAGGCGCCGCCCGTCCAGGCCGCCAGAGCGACCGAGGTCACCTGTTTTTTGGTCACCAAAAGGATGCCAGCGGAGACATGACTGACATGACTTGTCGAAACGTCTTATGGGATATACCCTCTGGTATATTAACATAGACCCTGGCAGATAGGGCTTGAAAGACTAGTTTCCACTATAAATTGGTCATTTTCAGGGTCTGTGTTAATTTACCAGAGGGTATCGAACTTATGAACTTTTTTTAGTGATGAACAGGAAAATGGGATATTAAATGGGAATGGGATATTATGAGATATTATGAGATATTATGAGATATTATTACTAAGACCAATTGGGATTTGTCATAAGTCACGTCAAAATGGTCTCAGTATGTCTTTGATATGTTTCCCTTGTATGTCAAAATGCTGACAATTTAAACAGAAAAATTGGATATTATTTATTTATATATATATATATGATCATAAATATCAATCTTTCTTTTCTTTGGTATGTTAAGAGTCAGATTGGATTATTCCGAAGTCGAGCCTCCAATGTCTAATCCTGTCTTAGGGCTTCCCAGCGTTCGACAAAATGGACAGCTCCCAGCGCTCCCAGTCTCCCGCTTTGAAATCACTTCAAAACCCCATCAACATATCCGGCAAAGGCAATCTGCCAGTCATTTAGATCGGCAAACCCCCACTTGGTGGATGTGTTGAACAAAATATAACATCTCACAATCCCATCAAAATATATGTTCCTGCAAATCATAAAAATATCAGAATCTCATATATTTCAAATCACAGAATTTCACCTCATATCATTCAATTTAGATCCCAACATCTCAAAGTTTCAGCTCCACCGTGCTCCAACCCCCTCTAAAAAAGCCTGTTGTAGCCGGAGACCGCTCTGCATGATGCGAATGCATTGGATCTTGCGCCCAACGCCATTCAGGTCCAAGCCCAGCCAAGCTTCACCGCTGCCGCACACGGGGCCAGTGGGGCCCACACGGCAATGGGCTTCCCAGAAGGACAGAGTGTCCTGGGATGGGAAGTTCACAAAGAAGACACAACGATAATCCTGGTTCCCAGTGAATAGACTTAATCTCATCACCAGGTAGGACAAGTTTAAAACCATTCTTCATTGCTGCAGATTTAAATCACCAAAAATAGTTTGTTTGACATTGTTTTGTTTCCCACTCGTTTTGGCACCATTCTCCGTCCCCCCACAGGAACCCCCCAGGTATGTTTGGTGGTTTTTGATCCGGACAGAAAACTACTGGTATCCTTTTGCTTATAAATCCTTTGCCTAGTAGAAACGCCAAAACAAGGAATACAATGATGTTATGAAGGAAAATTCATTACAGTCTCTAACCACATGTCTATCAGGGGCATAATCCCCTATTAATCTTTACCAATCCCCTAATCCCCTATGAAATTCCCTTTCACATCATCCCAACAAAAATCATCCCCAAACCTTTCACATCATCCCAAAAAAATCATCCCAAAAAAAATCCACCATCCATCTTCCCCATCTTCACCAAGTGACGCCATCGAAGGCTTTCAGCGGGTTTTTGTGGCCACTGAACTGATCCCCCAGTGCTGCATCCTCCGCGCTGCTGATCGCCTCGCCCTGGACGGCGTCGCCACGACAGGCCAGGTCCGTGTAGAAGGCCAACTCGAAGACCTCGCGATGTTTTTTGAAGGGCTGGGCATGTTACATGGGCATACATCCTATATGTATGTATGATTCATTATAATTATATATTGTGTATAATTTATATGTATATTCATATCTATATCTTCACCTTCATCTAAATTGTTATCTATGAGTTCGTATGTTTATTTTCTCTCTACATGCTTTATATGTGTACTTGCGTTGATATGTTATTGTATATTCATGATAGTGTATATCATTCGGTTCGATTTTGTTGTAAATGTAAAAATGAACTTTGTTGTAAAAGTAAAAATGAACTAAGATGCATCATACACGTAATATTTACAGTATTGATATATATATATACATATATATATTATCTATATATATATTATATATATATACATACATACATACATACATACATACATACATACACATATATATATATATTCATACGTAGTAGTAATAGTAGCACAGTAATAGCAGGATTCAGACATAGTTCCTACAGGACCTGGCCCAAGGAGCCGATATCCCAAGGATTTCTTGGGCACTGAGAAAAGTTCCATGGCTGGGAAATGCCCATCAAAAATAAAAGACTCAATGGGAAAATCATGGGAAAATCACGGGAAAACGTGAGAAACAATGGGAAAAACTATAGAACTTGCTAGCTGGAAAAATCATCGAACTATGGCTGAGGGATTCCAACAAGCCATGGAGCTGATTACTGGGAGGCTTTTTGTGGGGATGGGTTGAAAGCCTGCAGCCGTAACATCAAAACGGGACTTTTTGGATGTGAATCTCCAACAGTTGTATTTATATAAGGCATATACGTACTGATCCATGGCGGTATGTGCTTTTGCCATCCGAAGATCAGCTTTTCCTTACATGCTATGACGAGAAAAAACGATGATATCGTGGGTCGGGTCAGTTGACGGGAAAATAGATTGCAAGGAACCCAGAGTTGCCAAAATGCCTGTACAATCCACCTCAACATAAAGCAATTCTGGGCACAAAAGTCGGTGGAGAGGGTTAAAATGTTGAGTGTATCCATTTCTTCGGAGGTCTCTCTATCCCCAAAACCAATCCCGACGCCACGCCTTCCACCCTGGGATCGGCGGCACATTCTGCACCTTCCAAATGGAGTTCGGCGGCGCAGGGCGCCTCTGAAAGCCCTGCCCTCCTAAGGCCGGCAGCGGCAACAGTAGTACCGAGTCCATGTTGAAAATGTTCAGGGACCGCGTATTCATCGCCCTGGCCCGGAGAGGATGGTGGAAAAAAAAAACGCAATTTATGAGCTGGAAAACGGACCCGGGATAGGTGGGATAGGTGGATAGTTAAGAGATGTTAAGAGTGCTAGCTTTTCCCAGTTTGCCCCAATAAAACAATCAAAAAGCTGGGAGACAAAAAAAAAAACACCAAAAAAAAAACAACGGATCCTCCACACCTTCCGGCTTCGTCAACCCCAAGCGTCCCAACCGTCCCAAGCGACCCAGCCCCAGGCCTCCACGTGTTCCCATTCCAGCCCTGCAGTTCTCCACTGTTGGGTTGCAGGGATCGGATGCCGGGGAAGGCGACGCGAATGCACTGTACATCAGAGACCTGGTCGGATGTGGCCGCGGCACAATGCTAGGGAGGCGGGATATCCCTCGTTTTTCACCAGCCAACATGGGAACAATGCTAGTTTCATGGGATCGTAATTTGGATTCCAACTGGGATTTTACCGTCCAAAGTAGAGATTGGAATAGAGACCATGGGGACAAATCATCTATAAATGGGATTATAGCTATAATGGGATTCTAGCCAGCAAAACATTGGGAAAATTGGGTATAATGGGAGTTTTTTCTGGGATTTTACCATGAAGAATTTGTTCATCCTAGTTTGTAAATAGGGATTATCCCTGGTTTTGTTACTGGGATTTTTGCAGGGCTAGCCGGGTTAACCCACTAATGACTGGGGTGAATTTAAACTACTTGCGATTTGTGGGACGAACCACCAAGTGGTGAAAAATTGATTAGTGGAAAGTCACCCTTGACCACTAAACCAGGTAGTATTTCACCCCATGGTTCATCACAGTCTATGGCTTAACCCATATCTGCGGCTAAATATCGCTTTGGTGATTAAGACATTATATAGTAATAATATTATATTTATATATATATATATACATAGATCACAATAGTTCATACTTATATATACCCATCAACCACCAGTTCAGCCACCACTTCCGGAATTCTTTGAAGGCAAAATGTGCAGGAAACCCAGGGGCAAAATGAATTGTTTCCTACATGTTTCACCTGGTAAATCCTTTTTGTTCGTTGACCCGCCCTATCCTTTCATAGTTACAATATGTTACAATTAAACCACAGGTGTTCATACTTGCAGCCATCATCAGTCACCATTATCCCAGTAGTTTACCATGTTTACCCTCCGGTCTTTGAAAAAACGTGGCATAACGTGGCTTGCTGGAAAATCCGCGAACGAAATTCAGTGAATCATCGAACTAAATTAGGGGGATGTTCATTGCCAGAAGGTTTCCTGCGATTTTCCCATGGAATTTCCCTGATTGTCCAATCCATTGAATGGTGAACATAATATTAGTTATCCCATTTGTTATTGTTACGTCATTCATTGTTCATTCCTATGTTCTTAGTGATTCCATTATAACATTCCCAATAAAATTCACACAAATGCTCAACCTGATTATGGGAATGCTACAATGGAATGACTCAGAAATTCCCATGAAATTCCATGGAATCACATTCCCACAATGGTTTTAAAGTCCCAAACAACACGATGTTTAAACACCCCCCAGCCGCCCCAGCCCGGCAACCTGAGACGAGAAGTCCAGGCCCAGCCAGGCGCGTTCTCCGGCCACGTCCGCCCAGAAGGTATGCAGCTCGCCGTCGAAGGCGCGCATGGGGTCCGCTGTGGCGAGCTCACCCATCCTGGAGCGTCAAGAGATGAAAACAAAGAAATGTAGATACTAACAATAATGATGATAATAATAGATCATCATCATCATCATCATCATCACCATGATCATCATCATCATCATCATCATATTCATATTCATATTCATATTCATATTCATATGGGGCCCAAAACTACAGGATATCGGGGGACAACGAGCCCCTCGGTCCGGCCGGTTTTCTTCGGTCCTGGAATAGTGATTCGTGTAGCCGGTCTTGTCCCCGATCTCGCGGCTGGTTGCATAGCCCGAACAGATAGGCATGATGTTGGGAATCGAGGCATGGATGAGATCGGTGCAATCGGGATTTCCTGGGCTTTCTTGGCCGGAGCCGACAAGGCGGGGGTGGTGGAACCAAGCATCTGGAAATTGGGGGAAGTCATTGGATTGAAATTCCTTTAGGGAAAATGTGGCACCTTGAAATGATCCAAATTGTGAGGAAATTCCCGCAGAGAAGCGTTCTGGGCAACGAACAACATGTTTCAGCCATATCAGAACCGGAAGATTGGAGTCAAGCCGTTGAGGACCCCAGAGCATACATCTACTCCTCAACCCTTACAGTAACCCATCCCCCACCACCCTTCCCACCTCATCTTTGTATCATCTTTCTGTTATTCTCAACTAGTAACCGCCCCAACCCGGCAATCCCCGTCCCCATCCTCATACCACTTGCCCCCATCTCCAAACATCCCCCACACATCCATCCCACCCCCTTTGTCCCGCCCTCCAGTTGTTGCACAAAAGATCAAAGCATCGAACTCCCAGATTCCGTATCAACATGTATCAAGCATATCATTTCACCATTCCCATCCCCCCCATCCCCCCATCCCCCCGATCCCCCCGATCCCCTCCAAGCCCCAAGCCCTCCCCATTTTCGCCCCAAGCATCGGTAGAACGTGATCTCCGAGATACCCACGCCGTGGCCGCCGGGGGCCGGATCTGCCAGCACGCGCCACATCGAGGCGCGCAGCCCGGGCAGCACCTGCCAGGCGCCACCGCCCAGCTCGGTGAAGATGGGGTGGTCCTGGGGGCCCGGGGATGGAGAGAAAACGGCGGAAAACAAGGGAAAAACGCTGGAACAGCTGGAGAATATGATGGAGAATCTTGGAAAAGAAAGATTACGTGAAGGGAGATGAAGTAAAGTTGAAATTGGAAAAAGGACAGCTACAATGTTACATGCGATTTTTGGAGTATCTAGACTGCCAAGTGACCCCATCCCCATCCCCCCGCATCCCCCCATCCCCCAATGATCCTTGGAGGCAGTCCACACCAGGCCGTCCCACACCTGAAGCACCGCAGTGGAGGCCTGTTTCAGCCGTTCCCGCGTCTGATAGAGCCGCATGCACGAGACCTTAAAGGAGTCCTTCTTCTGCAGACCCAACCAGGCGCTGTTGGCCATGCACCCCTGGTGCCCTGGGCAAAAAAGAAAAGTGGGAAAGGGTGGAGCTACACATGCATATATATATATATACAAATAATACAAATATTATATATAATACTGTATATGATTCTGTCATGCTTTTGGCTTGGAAGAGCTTAGGTGTTTTACGAGAGAAGCTTCAAAGGGAAGATGTGTGTTTGTTTTGAGCCACGTTTTCTGCTTGTTGGAGGCTAGGTTTGAAGCTCTGAAATTCAAGCCTTCAACCACACCCACGCACCCCAGTCCCCCAGTCCCCCAGTCGAAGTGCCTGTGAAGGCTGGAGTGCATGAAGTGATCCACTGAGTTTCAATGTGATCGTCAAACGCATCCTGCGCAGGGACTCCGGGCACCCGTTGCAGATGGAAAAAATTGGGCAGCAAGGCGATCACCAAGCCGCTGGAGGAATTAAAAAATGTGCGGGGAAGACATGTCCAAAGGTTGGAGATGTTTGGTATCAGATCATCTGCAATGATTTGCAAAAGGCATGCATTGTCAATGATTTTCGTTGTCCAAATAAATATGTACGTACTTTGGGTATAGTCACGTGTCCAAAATTTTGGCATGTAAGGCTGTTTCTGGACACAGGACAGCGTGGACAGGCAATCCCACAACCAAGAACGCCTCACTGCGATTTTCCCTTGTAGATAGTCTCAATCAAACAAAACATGCCAAGGAAAAATCTCCATGTTTTCCCTCCGCTAATCAAACAGGGCAATGGAAAATCCACCATTTATAGATGATTTTCCCATTAAACCCTCCATTTATAGGGGATTTCCCATTTCCAGGTTTGATTGCCGGAGGGCAATCAGAACAAAACATCATCGATAAAATCCGGTATGGCCAATGCTAGCTTCGACAGGTTAGAATATAGAAGAGCATAACCGACAGGTTGGTCGGTAAAACATATCCAATTTTGTTGGTTCCCACCTCTCAATAGATTACAGCTCGGAATCTCTTGCTGATCATATTCCCATGACTTGCTGTTTATCACACGACTCTGAACCTGCCTCTCCATTTCCTGTGGTTATATCATGTTATATCCACATGTGGGTTGCGCTTGGTAAAATCATGCAAGAAACATCATCTTTTTACTTGGATCATCGCTGTTTGTTGGTTGGGCAATGGTTTCCCCACCAGTCACGATAATTTGAGATCCCGTTCAGAAACACCGATATCTATAAAGATGTTTTGATATCCCTATCCCCATGATTGACAGTCAATTTAACCATTACATGTAGATATTCTATCCCAATATATATATATATATATGGTATGTATATCAATGTACATATTATCCAATTTAGATTTTTTTTGTACATCTCACTCTGTGCTTCAAAATGCTGTGAACCTCTCCCAGCCAATCCAGGGATGCTCCGTTTGGGGCACAACCAACACGACCAGTCCTCTGCGCGGTAGAGTTTCTCATTGCCATTGGTGATGGGGCTCCCATAGATTGGAATGTTGCACACCTTGGCCATTGGATGCTTGGCCACATCTCAAGATTTTGGGGATGATTCGCTTCAGATTGGTTCACCGGAGTGATATTTCTATATATTTCTGTCACTCAGCAAAGAGACAATCGTGTTTCTTGGTGCAAACGTCATAAGCAAATCGATTCATGTTACTCAAAAACATACTAAGATGGAAGTTCCTGCCCAAAAAATGCGCCATATCTTCACTTTTGGATCTGTGCCTACACTCTCCCAAGGGATCCGAATTCCGGCACCTCATCTGCATAGAAGGCCAAGCCGGTCACTGTCCAAGGCCTTTCGGTATCCACGATGTTCAGCAAGCGCCACATAGTGGACACACCACTAGGACGTCGGTTCCAAGTTCCTCCCCGATCACACAGGCGCCAGCAGGGATACAATGGGATTTCATCCAAAAACTTGGGATTCAATGGGGATATCACTGATCATTTGGCTTCGGATCATCCTCTCAAATTGCCATTGAATTGGTTAGCTGGGAAAACCCATCTGCCAGTGATCTCTTCCACGATACATTTGCCAGATGCATGTTGCGTAATTCAAAAAAAAATGTCGGTTTCCACCACATAGTTTTGGGCAAGAAAAACACATCAATCATCAAACAACCACCCGCCCACCACTTGGACACATTAAATGAAAACACTTTGGTGGTTTTTTTCATGTTTCCACTATTGCTGGGCGGGTGGAACTTTAATCATCATCATGGCTCGGCCACCCCACAAAACAACAAACGCTGGTTGGGATATACATAGATATGTGTATATATATAATATTCCCGTTCAGTGATATATTAGCCATAAATCTACTACGATATATTGGCCATAAATCTATTACAAGTAATTATATATGTATGTATGTATGTATGTATGTATGTATGTATGTATGTATGTATGTATGTATGTATGTATGTATGTATGTATGTATGTATGTATGTATGTATGTAATACATGTATGTATGTATGTATGTATGTATGTATGTATGTATGTATGTATGTATGTATGTATGTATGTATGTATGTATGTATGTATGTATGTATGTATGTATGTAGTATGTATGTATGTATGTATGTATGTATGTATGTATGTATGTATGTATGTATGTATGTATGTATGTATGTATGTATGTATGTATGTATGTATGTATGTATGTATGTATGTATGTATGTATGTATGTATGTATGTATGTGTGAGTGTGTGAGTGTGTTACCATTCAATAGTTGGAAAAATACCCTCTTTTCAACGGTGGATGATCAAATCGACCCATCAGTCACTTGACCCATCCGTCACTTCGCCGCACCTCCTCCCACGCCAGACTCGAAGCGGCGGGTTTCCCAATGATCGCCCATCCACTCGGCCAGTTCCAAGGCATCCGTGCGGTGCCTGGGGTGTGGATGGTTGCCTAGCTATGCCATGCTATGCCATGAAGCAAAGATAGGGAATTCCCAAAGAAAGATGCAAAAAAACCCGTGTACATGAAGGTTTTTTTCCATGGAAAATAATCTATAAATGGTGGATTTTCCAGCAAACAATGTTTGATTACCGGAAGGCATCATTGTTCTAGGATTGGACCTCACTGTTTCATGTTTTTTTGGTGGGGTTGCGACACTGTGCAAATGTTGACGTTCTGAAACAACGTTGGTGGGGATAATCAGCACGAACAATGATGATGTGTTCACCAAGAAGAAAGGAGAGAGAACGGACAAATGGATACGAAATATGAAAATCATGAACACGCACGCAGATTTTATATATATGTCTATGTATTTGTTTATTGATTTATTTAGTTATTGATTTATCTATATATACGTCATCCAAGACATATATGTATAAACATTTAGCACAGATATATACATAATAAAATAAAACATGCTGTGTATGTATGTTATTATATATACATTTCTTCCACACAGAGCGCTGCTCCACACAGTTTAGTTTTTTCCATCCACTGCTCCACAGCGACATCTTCTGTCTCTGGCCCAAATTAAAACATTGTTGGAAGTGCACAACAGTTCACCACTCTTTGTCATAGGTGGCTTTTGCGATGACCTTTTGTGCTTCCAGGTCATAGATTTGCTTGTCTGCTGTTTTGTATCAAAGATGCGTTGTGCCTGCATAGCCAGTGTCCTGGTGTGTTGTGAGAATGTGCATCGAAGTAATGAGGGCCATATTTATGACCAGGTCTGTTTTGCCAAGGTAGTTTGTGATCACCAAGTTTGTGCCATCCTCCTTTCCAGTGTTGTGTTTTGTTTCCACCAATTTGTGATCACCAATTTATGGAGAAGGTTGTGCAAACTTCTCAAATCGCTGGCCTCTGGGTCTGTGAAAATTAAAATTGTCGCCGGCTGCGGTATAGCATCCATGTTCCTGGTTTTGTGTTGTCTTGGACCTGCGCTTTGTATAGGAGCCTATATTATCATCATCTGTCTGCTCCCTTTCTGCTCTCTTTCAAGCACAAGCTCGTGTGTGAAATTTTGCGCTGCTCTTGTGTCATCTATTTCATCTTCATGGCGTCTGGCCACATCTGAAATGTTGCTGATTTGTTGTGACAGTGCATCTTGTTGGGTGAGAACCTGGTCCGCAGAGCTGGCTCCTGTTGATTGAAGTTGCTCAAGGTCGTGTTTCATTTGTGCTTAAATGCTTCATCTGTTTTAGGAGTTCTCGTGCTTCTTTGTCAACATTGTGCTTGGACGTCCGTTCTGCTGGCTTGCACTGTTCTTCTGAGCCTTTTTCCAGTCGATGTAGTGTAGCTGCGATTTCATACAAAGCCTTCGATGTTGTAGATCCTTTCTTGCCCCATATTCTCCTTGAACTGGGAGGTCTTGCCTCTGACGGCTCTTGTGCCACAGTTTCTTCTGCATCTTCGTCAGCTCCATCAAAAGCAATCTGTGTTTGTGTCCTCTTTCTTTCCCCTGCTCTTTGTCTTTTACTTTCTTCTGGTCTCTATCTGATTCTTTCTTTTTCAAGTAAGGCTTTCTCACTGCCATGGCATAGTGGCGTGTCACCCGCATGACTATCTTCTCGCTCCTCTGTCGAGCCCAAGGGTCTGTCTATCAATTTGTAATATATATATATATAGATATAGATATAGATATAGATATATATAGATATATAGAGAGATAGAGATAGATAGATAGTGATCTTCCACTACACCGAGTATAATAACTGGGGTATAATTTATGGTAGTTGTTACCAAACAAGAGGAAGTGGCAGCCAGCTGATGTCCAAGTTGCTTCACATCTTCACTCTGCAGCAGCCTGAAGCACTTCACCTCAGTAGCCTGCGCAAAGCGCAGCCCGACCCAGGCGCCACGTTGGTCGCAGGGGCTGCAGGAGGATTCCCAGCCCGTCTCGATCTTTTGATCGAAGACGTTATCCGCGCAGCTGCCCAGGTCTGTCCAACAAGCCGCTTGCTGGGCCTGGGGAAACATGAAGAATGGGAAAGTCTGGAATGGTGGGTGGAAATGTTGAAAGTTGTGAGAAGTCTTGGACAAATGGAGGATATGTTTGGAGAATTGAGGAAAAATGGAGAGGGTGTTCTTTTTTGAACAAACCAATGTTTCGGGGAGGTGAAATCCCGACCCAGAGATGGCCCTTCGTGCCGCACCTGCGACAACAGAGCTGGATTGGAGTTCACGGATTCACCCCTGATCTTCGTGCCGGCGCACTCCTGCACCGGATGGATTTCTGATCCAAAACAGTGGGCATTGGAGTGGGCATTGAAGCCAAGAGTGGAGATATGTAGAGAATTTCTATAGTTTAGATTGGGGTGTTAAAAAACATCGGTGAGCAAGTCCTTAACGAATGATGAAGGGTATCCGCATGAAGGGTAGAAACAAAAAAAGGAAGAACCGTCAGCGTCAGTATTGGCTGATGCTCAATTGACGAATGAGTCCCCAATACCAGTTCACCTATCATCTGCTGGAATCTCCACTCAAGTTCGTTCATGGATTTACAATGATGTACATGCTTAGTTCGTACTGGGGGGCCCAACCCAATATCTCTTTATCTGAAGATAGGGTACGCCAAAATCTCACGGTTGATCATCATTTTTTCCCGCAAATGGCCATCAATCTGAGGCCTATCGTCCTATCCACCATTTTCAGACAAGCCCATGTTAGTTAATCCCAGTGATATGCTTGTACTGTTTTACTGTTGTTCCACCCCATTTTTGTTAAACTCCGCAGCATCCTCGTTGTCATAGAATTCCAACTCGTAGACCCTCCAGGACAGCAGGATCCGATCGAAGTTGGCAATTCGCCAACTGGTCCGCTCTAAAGGCATGGTGTCATTCCAGCCGCCCTGAGAAAATGACGGAGTGGACGCCCTATGGAAAGCCCAAAAAAAATGTGATTTATCAACAAAAATAGTGGTTTATTGGAATCTAATGGGGATATAAGGGGGATAACTATCAACCCAACTACAAGGTGGTGCCACAGTTCGTTAGGTTGCTCAAAATAACTACATAGATAGTTGGTCTGGAGCAATTTTCTTTTCCGGAAACGTGGGAAACAATTTGTTTTCATGCCCAAATACTGTACATTCTTGGGTAACAGATTTCCATTCAACAAATCCTTGGACTGTGAGTATGGCTGGAAACTACCACCAGAAATGGATGGATTGACACTGCGAATCGCCAACTCTGTGGGTCCCTTGAACCCCAATTTTGACCCCGTACACATGCTTCAACTATTAGAATGTGGAAACAAACCTTATACAACTACCCTCTGGTAAACATAGCTATGGAAAATCACCATGTTTGAGTTCGGTAACTCAACTATTTCAATGTGCCATACGCCTGTCCCAGGCCGCTGAAGACGTTGCGGTCTTCCCATTTGAAGCCATCCCAACTTTGCAACAGAATCCTCGAGGTGAAATGAGGCACACCCCATCCTGCTGTGGCTGCTGTGGCTCATTTGGCAAGAAAGATGTGAAATCATATGTCAATGGATTGGTTTAAGGGAAAATTTACAGGAAAACCCCATATTTAATGGGACAATCTATGGTTTCCTGTAGATTTTCCCTCAAACCAATCCATTGAATATGGGAGTTAGCTCCAAGATATGGGGATTTAATATGATTTAATAGGTTAATGGGGGAAGGGGACAAGTTTTTGTTGTTGAAATGGTGAAGAGAGACTTGAGATGAGACTTGCTGAATCAGTTTCAGCATTGGGGAATGAGACTTGACTCCATTCCTCCGTTAGGTGTCTGCATCTGCTTAAACCTGGAAGTAGAGAATCCACCATTTCGAGATTCTTTTCCTCTCAAAAATGAATCAGAACATAAGTTCTGAAACCACTTCCAGCTCACAACCCCAGCTTTTCCACTTCCAGACTGTGGCAAACTCCATATTTTTCTGGCGCTCCACCCCATCCCATCCCATCCCATCAACGGTCCTTCGTCAAAGCCTTCGTGCACCGGTTGGTTGATCCGAATGCAGCGCACGGTCTTCGGCAGCACATCAAAATCCAGGCCGATCCACACCTGTTTCGCGGCGCAGCCGGCCCAGAACTCACAGTTGGCGATGAATTTCCCCTCGAGGCGAGGCCTGAGTTTTGTTTTGGCTGCAGATTTCTAGGAGGATGTTTTTTTTGAGCTGTTTAACAGCTGTTTAAGGTCATCACCAAATACCAAGAGCTTTTGTTTGTATGCATCACTTCGAACTACAGGTATATAATCCATATACGATGTTGTATAATTGGATAGTTGTTGTAAGTGGATAATCATCTGGATATAAATTAATCATAACTTATATAAGTATATATTCCACGTGTATGTATATATATATATAATACTTGGAGGTGGAGAAAGTCACCATGCGCCCAGTGATGGATGTCATCCTGGGCACCATGATTAGGGAAATGGTGAAGCAGTGGTTTTTAAGGCCCCATTTTCAGACGGCTTGAATTTATTTGTTGCTCCAAATTTCAGAACTTTAGATCTCCAGATCTCTATCTTCATTTTTAGATCTCCGTTTTTATATCTCAGATATCTCCATTTTTAGATCTCCATAAATTTAGATCTCTATCTCCATTTGGTCCATGCGAATCACCATTCTTTACACAAAAACACCGTACGTTTAGCATCGCTCCGAGGCACAGGATATAGCCTGGCATCTTGATGCCATCGAAGGCCTTGCTGGCGGTATACTGATCGCAGGTGCGCTCCGTAATGCAGGTCTCCTGGTCATGGGATGATGTGAAAATTGATGTGAAATCCCTCTGGTAATGACTAACATAGCTATTAAAAATGGCCATAGAAATAGTGGATTTTCCCATGAAAAATGGTGATTTTCCATAGTTATGTTAATTTACCAGAGGGTATCCCACTCAAAATGGAAGAAATACCTGGGAATGACATGGAAAATAAGTTGATCCCATCCAACCATAGAGGTGAGTCAATATCATGGTTATCCTCTGGTAGACGTTTGCAGTTTGCGAACTGGAAAATCACCTTGCTATGAAGTTCGGTAAATCAACTATTTCAATATGCCATGGCTTCCATAGCTATGCGAAATTACCAGAGGGTATCCCATTAAAAATGGAAGAAATAGGGAGATCCAACAGAACATGAAGATTGCGAGTTATCAACTGCAGTTACTGGGATGTCTTCAAGTTCCAAAGACCAGCCGGCGGCACAGGCGTTCGCTGGCCCATCGTAGGGGGATGAAACATGAGACTCTTCAGCAATCCCCCAGTGAAACGAACCAATGCGTCAGTGGCCCAAACAAAAAAGTGCTTCCAGAAACAAAAAAGAAACTTATAAGCTCCCACCCATAAAAACGGTGATTCTGCGGCTGCTTTATGGCATTGGGTTTACCACAGATGATATCTGACACATCAAAAATCAGTCGCTGTGGACGTCGGGGCTAGGGCTCGATGTGTCCTCATGGATCATGGTGGATTAACCAAGGGTTTAAAATGCTGAGCCCTGAAGGCATCTGGAGGCTGACAAAATTCTACACAGATGTTGTTCGGCTGTTCGGCTGTTTGTTTTGGATAGTTTTTTCTCTTTTGGGGAGGCTGTGTCTCAGAATGTGAGGAAGGAAAAAGCATTCCCGTCCTCGAAGTAGGCACCATTCGAGATGGGGGTTCCAATCGCTTGCTTGTTTTCTTCGCAGAACAGATCCTTGGCTGCTTGCCAACATACACTATCTATCGATCGATCTATCGATCGATCTATCTATCTATCGATCTATCTATCGATCTATCTATCTATCTATCGATCTATCTATCGATCGATCTATCTATCGATCTATCTATCGATCTATCTATCGATCGATCTGTCGATCTATCTATCTATCGATCTATCCATCCATCCATATATCCATCCATCCATGCATTTATCTATCGATCTATCTATCTATCGATCGATCTATCGATCTATCTATCTATCGATCTATCCATCGATCCATCTATCCATCCATCTATCGATCTATCTATCTATCGATCTTTCTATCCAACCATACATCCATCCATCCATCCATCCATCCATCCATCTATCCATCCATCCATCTATCTACATTCAATTCATTATAACGTATGTAATATTGTATAATTCGCATTGTATTCAACCTCGTTTATTGCAAAATGTCTTCTTTAGAGATCGCTGCAGTATATATATATATATCACCGATAGATTCACTCGAGGAGGTCAACCAGCACCAAGGTTCGACATTGCATTCCACTATGGTCTTAGGTCTTGGGACAATTCATGCAAAAAGTTTGGGGTTAACATGTGTGTGTATGTGTGATTGTATCCCTTTTCAAATGAGTTTGCAAAAGCACCTGCCTGATTAATGAGCACGTTGTCATGTTTCAATGAAATGTGTTCAGTCCATGTTGTTATTGTCATTCATGATTTTGCTTTCATGGCCTTTACCACGGGCAAGAATAACAAACATTAATTCAACAGCAGAAAAATCACCAAAGTTTGTGGGCGATTTTGGTTTGTCCATAGATAGGCTGCCCCAAAAATTCAATGGTTTAGCATCACTTTCCCGAGCAGTAATAACATGTAATAACCATTCCATTGCTATAACAGTATAACACCAGTATAACACCATCACACACCCAAATCATGGTTTTCCCAGCATGTTCTTTCCCATTTGTTGGTAAATTTCCCTCGAAAATCCCATACAAACCTACATACCCTCTGGTAAACTAACATACGGAAAATCTCCATGTTCAAGTTCGGTAAATCAACTATAAGATTGCCATTATCTCCATTTAAAATAGGTAAATTGCCATTTTCAATGTCGCAAACCGTTAGTCATTACCAGAGGCTATGGGTCACCAACCATCGGGATTTCTCCCATGACATCCGCAAGGCTCCGTGAAGAACATCACTTCCGCCACCTGGATATCCCGCCCAGGGCCTTGTTGTTACTGGAAGATCACCATTGAATAATGATATCCCCAGTAAGTTGTTGTTACTTCATGTTATTTGATTGTGAATACCGTAAATACCACCCTTTTTCTGACGCTGAAAAACATATATGATTCTTATTGGTTAAAGCCTAATTGTCGTTGTCGTTGCCTAAAACATGATTCTCATTATTGGTTAAATCATCCTCTTTGATTCTCATCTCCCCATTTTCGTGGCTTCTCCACATCTCTTGGGCAGCTCTGTTCAATGAGGCTAAGCTCGCAATCTATTACTCAACCCACCAGTGGAAAAAAACAATATCGATAGTGTTGGTGATATATCCCATTCTATCCCCAATATATTCAAAATACATACAGAAAATATATCCCATTCTATCCCCAATATATCCCCAATATATCCCCAAAAATACTAGAAATGCATACAGTGAATTTTTTCGTCATTGACGAACCTGAATCACTCGGCCACTCGACTTTCGAGTTCCAGTGGCGTGGCCGTGAGGTCGTTAGAATATGATCTATATATAATATTAAGCAACCCCCAAGAGATGTTGAAAAGTTGAATACCTAAATATGGGATGTTCCAAACATCATCTGTATTATATATATATTATATTATATATATATAGATATGTTGAAGAACTAGCAACCTGGAAGTAATTTTCAGCATCTAAACCATAAAAAATACTATCCCATCTCACTATACTAGTTGGTTCAAAGCGCGTTCCCTTATATGGCTCATATATCATAATCCCCAATCAATGAGCTTTTGTTTAACTCCTTAGAATGACCAATCAACAGTTACCGTACTGGTTACTGTACTATCAACTATGATCAACCAATTTGTTACTGATGTTACTGTACTATCAACTATGAACCAATTAACATTCATCAATTCTATCCCTATGTCTTTGATACTTAACCGACTTAACCCATCAACCCATCCCCTGGCTTCACCGCACCTGCCAGGGCCTGGGCATCGGATCCAAGTTCCAGATGCGCCAGAGCGACTCCTCGCGCGCGGGCCGCGTGTGCCAGGCGCCGCCCGCCAGGTCACCGTAGGAGTAGATGATGTGCCAACTACTCAAGCTCTCCTGGGAAATTGGATTCAATGGATTGGTTTAAGGGAAAATTTGCAGGAAAACACCATATTTGATGGGAAAATCCATGGTTTCCTGTAGATTTTCCCTTAAACCAATCCATTGATGGATGGGAAGATGATCAAAATATGGGACTTGATGGGCTTGATGGACTTGAGGTGTTTGGTCCAAAAAAAAGAATCCTGGGATAGACTTGGGGATGGGGATTTTGGAAGATTTTGGGAAGATCTAACTTGGAAAATCTTAGGAAGATTTGGAAGGTCCTAACTTGGATGATTTTGGGGGGGTCCTTTGTTGGGGGTTGAACAAGCAAGGGCTCTCCAAGGAAGATGAGGAACATGATGTGGATGGACGGTTTTTGATGGTTTTTGTGACGAAAAATCTATGGTCCTAATTTGGAGCCTGGGAGCCTGGGATGGTCTTGGATGGGATTGGGGATTTGGAACATGATCAAATGGGATGGAAGATGGAAAATGCCAGGAGATCTTTTGCATTTCTTGATTGAAACCCTAGCAGTTGCATTTCTTGATTGAAACCCTCCCCAGAATAAACAGAATGATCTGTCTTCGTGGGTTCTTCAACCCAATTTGGGTTTATTTGGTACATACCCTGTTTGGACCCGGTTTCAGGCAACAGAACTGATGGAAGATGTAGGCCGAATTCTATTTGGAGGAACCAAAAAATGCAGGGTTGACCAAGCAAGAGGCAGCAAATTCATCTTGCATCATTCGAAAGAACGTGTGATCAACCAAAACACAGGTTTCTCCAACCAAACGTGGTGAGTGGACCAATCAAAAGCAGAGGTTTGACCAACAACGAAAGCAAATTTCACCACCAGCGGAGTGGGAAGAATGCCTACCTGAAAGGCCAAAATCCAACCCGCTTTCATGGTTGGTGAATGGAAAGTGTTCATCCTCCCGCACGATAGATAACCCACAAATGCCAATGATGCTCGGGGGCTAAGGGGGGTTGCTTTTGCTGTGCTATTTGTCCGGCCAATCTCAAACATCAAACCATTCCAATTTCACAGGGTGGTAAAATGTCCCATGTGAACAGCACCCAACCATTGGAGTAATCATCTGTAAAAAGCAGATATGTGTTCTGGATAGTTTTGGCATTTGACGATCTTCAAAATGTCCAATGGGAAATTACCAGTCCTTTTTTCAGCATCCCCTATTTCTGTCCAAATAACCCTTGATCTCCTATAGCTGGGCCAACTATTGAATTCATGGTGGATGTACCATGATATATCGAACTAGTTCGATGCTGTAAACATAAACCAACAAACATACTATCTGGTAACCTAACATAGCTATAGCAGCTATAGAAAACCACTTTTTGAAAGGTAAATCATCTGTAAATGGACCATGTTCCATTTCCACGCTTCCGCCAGGTGTCATTCTCCATTGTGATGATGCTCACCGAGGACGACTGTCGCGTGGCATTGGGTGACTGATACATCCGCATGCATCTCACCTGGGCAAATTTCTCCACAGGTTCCTTGTTCAGCGGAATCGAGTCACCGATGTTTTTGCCTCGGAAAGAGGCAAGAAAAAAATTCTGGCTGAGTCGGGTTTCCCGGAATCGCAAAATATGTATACCGGTTGGTGGTATACCTACCCCTCTGAAAAATGATGGAGTGAGTAACAGTTGGGATGATTATATATTCCCAATAGTAATGGAAAAATAATCCAAATGTTCCAAACCACCAAGCAGTTCCATTTACATCCTTTGAACATAGTTATCCAGAAATAAAGTTTCAGCATTTCTTTGGTGATAAAGTGCCAGCTACTGGCCATATAAAACCCTCTACCTATCGGATCGGCGAAGCATCAGCTTTGGAAGTCTGCTTCACTGACCATTGAATACTATTGGTTTTGAATACCTTAGGTAATTTGAATACTATAACCAATAGTTAGATTTGAATACTCAATACTATTGCTTTGGAGTACTATAACCACTGGTAATTTGATCAGCTTTGGTCAGCTCTGGAACGATCCATCAAACTTGGAACTCGAACAGCTATGGTCCTTTGCCAGTTATAAGCACTAACAAAACCCCATTTATGGAACCTATATATAAATATAATTATACATATATATATAATTATATATATATAATCCCTTAGAAATAGCCAATTATAAATTATAACCAAGAAATGGCAATAACCCATGGTCAATGGCTTGGCTCTTCAAAAACCACCCTTCTTCAACCGACCAAAGTCACCACGACCGAGTCACCCACCCACTGCGTCCGAGGGCTGCAGCCTCCCAGAATCCGGTTGCAATCGGCGGACCACTTCCTTTGGCGAAGCCGGCGCTGATGGTGATGATACCCTCTGGTTATGACTAACATAGCCATGGTATAGATGGCCCATAGAAATAGATGGTTTACCTATTAATAGCATGGTGATTTTCAATAGCTATGTTAAATAACCAGATGGTAGTGTTTTTGTGAAATATTGATAATAATGATAATGGTAACAATAGTGATAATAAGAGTGGTAATAATAAAATCTCGTTGAGAGTAGACATAAAGGATACTAGTAGTGATCATTATAAATAAATAGATATGTATAATTAAAAAAGACGGGAGTGATGATAATACACATAGTGACAACTGTAAGAACAATGATAATAGTAATAGTAATAGTGATAATGATGATAATGAAAATGCCAAAATGATCATGATAAAGTTCAAATAATGGCAATAAAGACGATACACATATTCACAAAAGCAACCCAATGAGATATCAATGACCAATGGGGTGCCCACCATATGGAATATGTCCCAGGTCCTAGGATTCCCACACCACCAATGGTATGTTCCCTCCCCCCAAACCGAAGCTCTTTGCAAGCTATTTGCAGCTTTTTGGAACCATTTGTACGTTATTTGCAGGATAATGGTCAAAATCATGTAAACATAATTCCACATATATATATATATATCATATCTATATATATATCATATATCTATATATATATATCATATCTATATATATATATCATATATCTATATATATATCATATCTATATATATATACATATCATCATATAACTCCAATAGTTAGTTTATTCCATCACGCCAGGCGTCGTCAGCAGGTTCTTGTCCCAGGCCAAGTCCTCGTCGTTGCCGTTGATGCGCGACGACGCGATGGGCAGACCCTGCGGGAATGGCAGGCTGCACTGGCCTCGGCAGAACGGGCTGCGTCCCCGAAGTCAAATGGATGAGAAAATCATGGGAAAATCATGAGAAAATCATGGGAAAATCATGGGAAAATCATGAGAAAATCATGGGAAAATCTAGGACAATCATGGGAAAATCATGGGAAAATCATGAGAAAATCATGGGAAAATCTAGGACAATCATGGGAAAATCATGGGAAAATCATGAGAAAATCATGGGAAAATCTAGGACAATCCTGGGAAAATCATGGGAAAATCATGAGAAAATCATGGGAAAATCTAGGACAATCATGGGAAAATCATGGGAAAATCATGAGAAAATCATGGGAAAATCATGAGAAAATCATGGGAAAATCATGGGAAAATCATGAGAAAATCATGGGAAAATCTAGGACAATCATGGGAAAATCATGGGAAAATCATGAGAAAATCATGGGAAAATCTAGGACAATCATGGGAAAATCATGGGAAAATCATGAGAAAATCATGGGAAAATCTAGGACAATCATGGGAAAATCCTGGGAAAATCATGAGAAAATCATGGGAAAATCTAGGACAATCATGGGAAAATCATGGGAAAATCATGAGAAAATCATGGGAAAATCTAGGACAATCATGGGAAAATCATGGGAAAATCATGAGAAAATCATGGGAAAATCTAGGACAATCATGGGAAAATCATGGGAAAATCATGAGAAAATCATGGGAAAATCTAGGACAATCATGGGAAAATCATGGGAAACTATGGGAAAACCCACTATGAATGAAGCTTTCGAGCTAGGAAAATCATCGCATAAATGTGGAAATTCCAGCTAGCCATGTCTGACTACCGGAGGGTATCTAGGAAGCAATGAGCAGAAATAGGAAAACCCTAAAAATATGAACAAGACCTACCATTTCAAGAGCATTTTCTTCACAAAACTATGGTTTTTTCCTGATCTATCTCAATTTGCTGACAGGTGTGTATTGCGTTGGAAGCAGTAAAAGACACGACTTGAGAGTGCTTTCGAATTGAGAAAAACACCCGGTGCAGTGGAGTGATGGGAAAAATTAGGGAGACATTTACATGACACAGTTCATGGGATCGCAATCGGAATCGGATGAGATTTGGAATTTTTGAGGAGTGTCAAACATCTCGTTAAACATGACCATCCATCAGATATTAATAGTTGTTGCTTGTTGGTTGTTTCCATTCTAAAACAACCTGTCCCTGTCTATATCTGTGACACCCATTTCTCACATCCAGTGGCTATCCCAATAGAACTCCAATTCGTGCACTTCCCAGAACTCCGGCACGGTGGCGTCGTTGATCAGCGCCCATCTCCTTGGCCCGCCGATATTTTTGGCCAATGGGATGGTAGAATGGGTCTTAGTATATCATAGGTAACCAGGTATGTATATAATATGTATATACATGTAATGTATATATATATGTGTATATGACTATATATAATGTATGTGTATATGACTATATATAATGTATGTGTATATTGTATATATGACTATATATCATGTTTGATGATCCAGCCTTTGATGTTTGATACCTTGCCTGAACCACTAAAAAGCTTGCTAGCCTGATTGCTACGAGCCGTAAAGCCAGGGATACACAACGATTGCCAGGTTGAAAACCGCATCTACAAGAGAGATTGGATAAATGGTTGGCATTTTCTCTTTGGTTATTTAACGTAGCCATGGAAAATCACCATTTTTAATAGGTAAATCATCATAAATCATCTATAAATGGGCCATTTTCCATAGCTATGTCAAATAACCGAAGGGTAATTTGGATTCTGTGTACAGCCAAGGTGCTTGCCGCAGTAGGGGTCCACGGTTTTGTTCTGCTGCGCGCGCTTGAAGCAAATCTCAACTTCAGCCGGTTCAGCCTCCGATCCATCACTAGTCACTCAGTGAAACAGACCAAAAACGGATCATTTCACCCGCAAAGACGGAGAATGTTGCCTGTGAAAATGGATTTTAATGAACTTTGAATGGATCAATGGATTGGTTTTTGTCGGGAGAATCTACAGGAAAGCCTACTCTTCAAATGGAAGTTTCATGAAGTTTCCAGCAAAATCACTTTCCACCTTTTTCGACCCCATGGACGACCCTGTCAAGAACCTACAATGCGTATATACCGGTGATATACCATTCGTATCTACCGGAGTCATGACGAACATGGCTAGCTATGGAGGTTTCAAAAGGTGGCTGAACACAGGAGGAAGCAAAGAAAAACGGCTGTGAGTGACAAGAAATTGGACGTTGTTGCTGGATCACCATAGCGTCTTCTCGAGTTCTTCACTGGAAATGGTAGCAACTGTTCAGGTGGGGTCCTCACTCTTCACTCTTCACAGATCAATGACTTGAACTATCCACTCTGTGTGCGGTACAGTATCTCACTCATCATCTTTCCCTAATGCCCCTAACTGCCTATGCCATGCTTTAATTGGTCTTCAATCATCTGAGTGAAAATAACCCCCCTGTCGTCCCTACCGTGCCTGCAAGGCCTGTGCCTCGTATTCTCGCAAGGCGCAAAGTTCGGAAAGCGAATTCATGTTACAACCAGAAAAAAATGCAACACGATGGACTATATACATATGAAGGCTATGTGGGATACATACCCTCCAGCAAATTAACAGTTCGACCCTGGCAGCTGGGGGTTGGAAGCTTAGTTTCCACTAAACATTGGTTATTTTCAGGGTCTATGTTAATTTACCAGAGGGTTTTTCTAGCACGGAGAAATGGCATTGGCCCCTGATTCGCCAGACCGGTTCCTTCGGCGGTCTCTCTTCACCGATCCAGCAGTTTCAAATTGGGGAGTGAACTGGCTAAATGAAAAGGTAAAAAGATGCTAAAATCACCAAACTTCCCCTCCTCCTTCTGGCTATCATTTCCCTGCGGCTGGAGAAACTCTGAATGACAAGCCCATTTTCTGGCGATCAAAACCCCGGTTCACTGTAGTTCACATGAAAATAAAATAAATGGTGCTCATGGGTCTTCATCCCTCCATTCATACGGTGTTTGAATGTTTTTGACCCATCTTCGCATATAGGGATCACCATTTTGAAACCCTGTCACGATATGCCAAGAAGCGTAGACTTGGGCAGGGATTGCTAGGAAAATCCCAGCCAAAGCTGTGAAAACCAGCGACATCAGGCACTCGAAAGCAATCTCCTGGCACCAAAGGTAGCCAAGAATCAGAGAAGTACTTCTCTATTTCAACAATTGATCATCAACTTTGACCTGTGCTATGACTCTTGGCACTTTTTGTATCTCTTCGCAACACTGATCTGTAAGCCCGAAAAAGAGGCATCCAAAGAGGATTCCTAGCACGTATGTTTCATGCCAACTTCCCATCGACCAGAATGCCGAGAACGGATTTTGTGGCGTGTGAAGTTGGGGATTCCGTTTCTCAATCTAAAGACGATGATGATGATGATGATGATGATGATGGTTATGATTATTATGGTGGTGAAGATGTGATTACAGTAATGTGATTGATGTTATTAATGTGATTAATGTGATTATTGTTTCTATTGTTAGTGTTGTTGTAGTGTTGTATTGTTATTATTTTTGTTCTTATTGTTCTTATTGTTCTTATTGTTCTCGTTGTTCTTATTGTTAGTATTGTTAGTATTGTTAGTATTGTTAGTATTGCTGTTGTTGTTGTTGTTGCTGTTGTTGTCGTTGTCGTTGTTGTTGTTGTTGTTGTTGTTTCATATTACTGCCACGATTGCTATACTTGTTACAATGTCATCTATGTTTGTTGCTATCGTGCATGATGGTGAACAAAACAACTTAGATATCAACTGCCGGCACACTCCTTCTCACCATCGCCGCAACTTCGCCATGACCACCGAGGTTGTGCGAAGGAACGATCGGATACGGCAGATGTTGCAGCTTGGAGAATGTTTGAAAATTGTCATGAAGGTCGACAAATGGTTGGGAAAAATCTCCGAGCTTCAACGAATGGTTCATGACTTGAATGGTTCAATGTGTCAATTGGACCATTGGACCTTTCATAATAAAACTCTTGGCGATATTTATCCTTTGAAGCTCAAGCAAACAATGCACGGATCAAGAAGAACGCAGCACGGTCGCAAGACGGACAAATAAAAGGTCATCATCTAGGGGCCGATGAGAACTGATGGTTTTTGATGGGACAAACCCACTGCGGCTGATCGCACCCTTTTACTCAGCACTCTCCAGCGCGCTTGCAGGTTCCAGGTGGCCCAAACCCCTTCAACTGCTTGGTTGATAGGGGTTCAAATCTTGGATTAAGCTATAGGCCAGGTTTGGCCATCTATTCGTCTGTGCCATCAACCAACCTTCAAATTAAAGTGGTTTAACATAGAATGTGTTTGCATCTAGAATGTGCCATTTTGAAGCATTTTAGATGGTTAACAACCATTATATAGATTAATCTAAATTAGCCACCATCAAATGATCCATTTTGATGATTCATCAAAAATTGATAGTGGATTCATCAAAAATTAATCATCAACCTTAACCTTTCTGGTTTGATACCTTTCTTTTTGCTTTGTGGAAAATCATCGTAGCCAGGCACTCAATTTATTGGCACTCAGAGCCTCGTCCAAGGCCAGGCCCATTCCCAGCTATGCAACCAGCGAGCTCGCCCTGGTTTTATGTGCTGACATAACATCGGCCATAACCGTCTATTAAAAAATATAGATAAGCACATGTGGTTTGTATCAATATGTACATCTATATATATATATGATTATATATATATGATTATATATATATATATGATTATATATGTTTATATATATATATGATTATATATATATGATTATATATATGATTATATATGATTATATATATATATGATTATATATATATATGATTATATATATATATATATGATTATATATATATATATATGATTATATATATATGTGTGTGTTTGCCTTGCAAAACAGGTATTATGCATCTTCTGCAGCATCAGCTAAATATAATATATATATATATATCCCCTTATACAGATCATCATGATAATATTATCACTGGCCGCGGGATATCACCGATGAGAATTGGCATTTTTTGAAAAAGTCATTCCAGGAAATAGACTTTTCTTGCATATTGTTGGATCTTTTGTGAATGCCTTCCTAAACCAGTCCCTGCAAACAAGAGATAGTGAGATAGTCCGATATCCCATCCGATTCTCATCCACATTAAACCACCATATTGGATGGTTTTCCATCACCTTTTCTTCTCTAAAATGGATCTTGGCACAGCGAAGAAATACTCAGCAGAGTTTTGGTGGCCTCTCCTTGCCTCGGAGGCTGCAGCATGGGCAGCATGGGAATTCAGGAAAGCGAAAATATTACCCTCTGGTTATGACTAACAGTTGGCCATGGAAAATAGATGGCCCATAGTTTTATAGATGGTTTACCTATTAATAGCATGGTGATTTTCCATGGCTATGTTAGTCATAACCAGATGGTAATGATTATGTTTCATCCAGTGTTGCATTACCAGCAGATTCCCTTTGTTCCAGGCTTCCAGGATTTGGATGGATTTGGTATTTTCCATTGCCATGACCAGAGAATTCCTTGCAGCCACATTTGGAGCTTGCGACTTATTTTGGTCACCCCCTTGGCCCCCTCTTCAACTAGTTGCGATCATCTGAAGCATCTCTATCACGGTGAGGCTTGTCATTTCGCAAATCAGATTACCAGCGGTTACCATCTGGTTATGACTAACATAGCCATGGAAAATCACCATTTTCAATAGGTAAACCATCTATAAATGGGCCATTTTCCATGGCTATGTTAGTCATAACCAGAGGGTACATGTTGTTGGCATTTTTTCTGAGACGGACAATGTGTAGAAAATGCATCCAATTTCTTCGAATGAATTGGACAATCAGATTCGAACAGCTTCATTGATTCGATAAAAATAAAGATATTCATTTCCGGTCATACCATTTGTCAACAGGGGTTGGGTTATTCTTAGCCATTGTAGACTACCATAAGGCGCCATAAGGTATCTTTATTTTGAAGAGGATATGAGGCCAGTTTAGAGGACCTTAGCCCTTCCTGTGACCAGCACAAGCCCACAATCAGCCACCACCCTGGTTTGAAAATTGGGTACCTCCATCTTGGAATCTTGGATGCTTCATCATCTTCCGGATTCGAATGTTAATTAATTAACGATAATTAATTAATGGCCATCTATTTTCTGGTGCCCCTATCAATGGTGAATCCCCTTCATCCTCAAGGCATAGACATTTTCACTCCCATGCAGAGTCTTCTGAGCTTGAGAAGCTCTTGGCGTTGGTGACCCCGTCCTCCAGCAACAGCCTCCATTCATCGCGACTCGTCAAGTCGTCCAGTTCAACAATGTAAACCGTGGCGAAGGCGTTCAAAACAAAGTCTGTGAGGCCTCCGCGGCACAACCACAAGGGTAAAGTGTAGACAATAATGGCCTGGCCGGTAAAGCCAGGGCCATCCGAGATCGGTGCAGTTTCGAGATCGTACCAGTTACAATCATTTTCCTATTATTTCGTATTGGTTTTTCCTATTGGTTTCTCAGAAGTCTAACCTTTTCTTAGGCTACCATTGCTGCGTTGAACTCTGGGCCTTGTACAACCCATTGGAGATGTAGGACATGGCGAAACGACATGTGATTTCCAGCCAGGACCACTGTACTTCTGCAGCGCCATCTTCGCGAGAGATGCGCAGCCGATGCTGGCGGGCGAACATCAGCAGGCACCAAATCTTCGTGTTCAAAGGTGTCACCATGCAGCATGCCCACCTCCAAAGCCGGGACGCTGTGACACAGATATGACACCCCCAAAGCTTGGGATGGCCCCAAGCTAAACCCAAGCATGAACTAGACGACGGATGGCCCGAGAGCGTAGAGGAGCAGAGTCTTCTGTTGTTAGTATGGAGACACTATATTAAAGATGTATTATAGGCAGACGAGAAGAATTGTATCAAGACAATATATGACTATATAGTACAAGACAATAGTTTGCATCGTATTTTTGTAAAGTTTTTCATACACAGAACTTTTTACAGACAGACGCTTTTGCACACAGAGACTTTTACACACAGAGACTTTTACACACAGAGACTTTTACACACAGACGCTTTTACACACAGACGATTTTGCACACAAATACTTTTACGCACAAACACTTTTACACACAGAGACTTTTACACACACAGACGCTTTTACACACAGAAGCTTTTACACACAGAAGCTTTTACACACAGACGCTTTTACACACAGACGCTTTTACACACAGACGCTTGTTACACATAGGCTCTTTTACACACAGACACTTTTACACACAGACGCTTTTACACACAGAGCCTTTTACACACAGACGCTTTTACACACAGACGCTTTTGCACACAGAGACTTTTACACACAGAGACTTTTACACACAGAGATTTTTACACACAGACGCTTTTACACACAGACGATTTTGCACACAAACACTTTTACACAAACACTTTTACACACAGACACTTTTACACACAGACGCTTTTACACACAGAAGCTTTTACACACAGAAGCTTTTACACACAGACGCTTTTACACACAGACGCTTTTACACACAGACGCTTGTTACACATAGGCTCTTTTACACACAGACACTTTTACACATAGGCTCTTTTACACACAGACGCTTTTACACACAGACGCTTTTACACACAGAGCCTTTTACACACAGACGCTTTTACACACAGACGCTTTTCCACACAGAAGCTTTTACACACAGACACTTTTACACACAGACGCTTTTACACACAGACGCTTTTACACACAGACGCTTTTACACACAGACGCTTTTACACACAGACGCTTTTACACACAGACGCTTTTACACACAGACGATTTTACACACAGACGCTTTTACACACAGACGCTTTTACACACAGAGACTTTTACACACACAGACGCTTTTACACACAGAAGCTTTTACACACAGACGCTTTTACACACAAACACTTTTACACAAACACTTTTACACACAGACGCTTTTACACACAGACGCTTTTACACACAGACGCTTTTTACACACAGGCTCTTTCACACACAGAGACTTTTACACACAGAGGCTTTTACCCGCAGAGACTTTTACACACAGACGCGTTTACACACAGACGCTTTTACACACAGACGCTTTTACACACAAACACTTTTACACACAGACTCTTTTACACACAGGCGCTTTGACACACAAACACTTTTACACACAGAGGCTTTTACACACAGACGCTTTTACACACAGACGCTTTTACTTTACGCGCAGACGCTTTTACACACAGACGCTTTTACACACAGACGCTTTTACACACAGAGGCTTTTACACACAAACACTTTTACACACAAACACTTTTACACACAGACGCTTTTACACACAGACGCTTTTCCACACAGAAGCTTTTACACACAGACGCTTTTACACACAGACGCTTTTGCACACAGTCTTTTACACACAGACGCTTTTACACACAGACGCTTTTACACACAGACGCTTTGACACACAGACGCTTTTACACACAGAGGCTTTTACACACAAACACTTGTACACACAAACACTTTTACACACAGACGCTTTTACACACAGACGCTTTTACACACAGACGCTTTTACACACAGACGCTTTTACACACAGAAGCTTTTACACACAAGTAAAATCGCAATTTTTCCGCAGTTTTTGACGATCGACCTTCATTTCGCGCGAAAGGGTTGCTCCGGCACAAGTAAAATCGCAATTTTTTTTTCAGTTTTTGACGATCGACCCTCATTTCGTGCGAAAGGGTTGCTCCGGCACAAGTAAAATCGCAATTTTTCGTCAGTTTTAGACGATCGACCCTCATTTCGTGCGAAAATGTTGCTCGGGGGCAAGTAAAATCGCAATTTTTCGTCAGTTTTTGACGATCGACCCTCATTTCGTGCGAAAGGGTTGCTCCGGCACAAGTAAAATCGCAATTTTTCCTCAGTGTTTGACGATCGACCTTCATTTCGTGCGAAAGGGTTGCTCCGGCACAAGTAAAATCGCATTTTTTCCTCAGTTTTTGACGATCGACCCTCATTTCGTGCGAAAGGGTTGCTCGGGGGCAAGTAAAATCGCAATTTTTCGTCAGTTTTTGACGATCGACCCTCATTTCGTGCGAAAGGGTTGCTCCGGCACAAGTAAAATCGCAATTTTTCGTCAGTTTTTGACGATCGACCCTCATTTCGTGCGAAAGGGTTGACGTTTCGTGACTCACCGCCGGTACCACCCTCGGCCTAAAGAGAGAAAGATAAAGAAGGCGAGAGAGAGAAAAAGGAGAGAGAAAGGAGAGAGAATGAGAGAGAGAGAAGATGTGAAGATGAGAAGGTGTGAGAGAAGGTGTGAAGATGAGAAGGGTGTGAGAGAAGATGTGAAGATGAGAAGGTGTGAAGATGAGAAGGTGTGAGAGAAGATGTGAAGATGAGAAGGTGTGAGAGAAGATGTGAAGATGAGAAGGTGTGAGAGAAGGGTGTGAAGATGAGAAGGTGTGAGAGAAGATGAGAAGGTGTGAGAGAAGATGTGAAGATGAGAAGGTGTGAGAGAAGATGTGAAGATGAGAAGGTGTGAGAGAAGATGTGAAGATGAGAAGGTGTGAGAGAAGATGTGAAGATGAGAAGGTGGGAGAGAAGATGTGAAGATGAGAAGGTGGGAGAGAAGATGTGAAGATGAGAAGATGTGAAGATGAGAAGGTGGGAGAGAAGATGTGAAGATGAGAAGGTGTGAGAGAAGATGTGAAGATGAGAAGGTGTGAGAGAAGATGTGAAGATGAGAAGGTGGGAGAGAAGATGTGAAGATGAGAAGGTGTGAGAGAAGATGGGAAGATGAGAAGGTGTGAAGATGAGAAGATGAGATACAGACCCCCACTATTGGAAGAACCCTGCGCTCAGACGCTCTCGGGAAAAAGATATTCAAGGAAGAATCTCCAGAAAAACGTGGATGTGGATATCAACAAAGAATTGTGTTCTTGGAAGTTTGTTGATCCTCAGAGTTGAAATTCTAGTGGATTATAAGTTTTAAGTGTGTGGCCCAGATATATTCCATCCAACTACATTTTGGTGACTTTCACAGAACAAACCCACCTGTGCCAGTGATGCATCACATGCCGAACAGCTTGATAACGATCTTCCACATTGCTCTCTTCCAACACATCGGCCTTAAATGCGACTTGCAGATCCTGCTGCGCTCGAGGGGACAGAGCATCCTCTAGGGTGATCTTGATCTGAACCAATAGCGAGCCGCACCACAGACCCATTTTCCAGGGATCCATTTCCATTGGCCGAAGCACTATCTGCAAGTAGATAATCATCAGAAGGGTCATGAGCCCAAAGACACAAATGCAACCAATCAAGTGGCACGTCGGATCTTGATACCTGTCCTCTGGGACGGCAGCAGCTGGGTATTCTTCTTCATCCTCTGCAGCGCGTCGAGCAGCTGCGTAATCGGGAAGTCCAAACAAGAGCACCAAGAGAATGCAGAAGCAGCAAATTGAATGCACCGTTGCAGGCAGAGGATTCCACTTGCTGACTGAAGGGATTTCAAACGGACTGACGTGTTTCTCCCAGACAATCGTAAACTCTGGTGGGAGGTTCAGAAATGCCGCGTTAAGTGTGAGAAGCCACAATACCCGTAGAAACATTTCAGCACCTAGAAAAGTACACCTGCACCGCGCCAAAACTGGAAGCCAAGAAAGCAATCTGTCCAGCTTGCTTCGATTGAACAACATGTTGCACAGGAATAGAGAAAGATCGAAAAGCCAACCGCAAATAAAGAAGAAAGCTCCAATGTAGGCCAGTGAAGTGACATGAAGAGCCAGGAAAATACAAACACTTGAGAACTGCTCCGAAGCCATTTTTCCCACTATGAAAAAGTTGAAGGCATCGCTTCCCCAGTCATGCCACATCTCCACTGTGGCTTCCTGCAGAAACTTCACATGTTCCTTGTTCAAAGCCCGAGCTGCCAGCATTTCGGCATTCCAACCATCCGGATCCACAGTGGTTATAGGTGCTTGCAGCACCCGGTGCAGACGAATCAGTTCGGGAAAATTGATGAAGGCTTCCTCGGCACATGCAGGGGCCATGTCTGCTGACGGGATGCGTCGAAAAAAATAAAAGGCTGCAAGACAAAAAAACATCAAAAAACTCTCTTAGAGTCTGGCTCAACACTAAGATACACTAAGTTTCATCGTGGTTGGTACCATCCTGTGCTGCCTCCATAAGTACTGTTTTTTGACTCAGCAATCCCAGTAGCGTAAAAGCACCCGATGCCTCCCCCATGATCCAGACCACACCGTCCATGCCAACACCAGCGCAATGGTTTTGCAGGAATTTGATGCCTGTTTCGACCCACGGGCATCCGCAATGCCATAATCAAAATGTTGCTGGGACTGTTTAGTAACATATCGTAAGTGCAAGAAATCCATTTGGTCGAGTCATCGAGCCCTTTGTAGTAATAAGCATCACCATGACGATCATTTCATGATACGGTAAAAACAAATGTGCATGAAACACTATATGAAATCAGTACCCAAGCTGCGGCTGCGGTTCAGGTGTATCATGTCTCGCACCGAATCATGCAAGATGGCCCGTGCAAACGCCTGCCGCACGATGCTGCGGTAGCCATTCTCCTTGGGGACCACTTTGCAAATCAGGTCGCCACTTCCCCACAAGAAGCCCTTTTCCAACAAGAGTCGAATGATATCGATGCGTTCTTCAACGCGTTCACCTTGGTTCCCAATATCCAACTCATTCATTTCCATGGCCTTGGTCAAAGCCCTTTCGCTGGCACCTCTGGTCATATGTAGAGCGAGTTCGAGAACGGTCATGTAGGAGACATTTGAATAATGGGATTTATAGTAATCGTCAAAAACCGACTCTTCACATTTCACCTGATGCGTAGCCAAAAAGTCCAGATCGCTGCATTCAATCTGAAAATAGTCGTTCTTAGTGGACAAATTCTGCAAATTGTGAACGTACCTGCCCTTCACACTCCACTTGTCTAGCAAGAGATTCACACCTGAGAAATCTCCTTGAACAACGAGTCGTCTCAACGACTCCAGTTGCTTCTCCAACTTCACAACATCTCTATGATGATGACACTTCTCATTCAAACCTGAGATGTTCGATTTGGGAGACAATAATATTAGGTATATAATATTTTATAATGTATATTTACATATATATATATATAATTTATATATAATATATATATATATATGTAATAGATATGTAATATATACCCCGTAGATTCCCCACTTCTCTTTGATTAACCTATGGGAAAATGAACCGGAAAAAAATTGACTCAGCGAATCCAATAAACTGCCTTCACCTTTAATATCTCAGGATGAAGCTAACCTTCGGATTGGAGCATCCATAGACTCCGTGTCCGTTTCCTGGTAGCTCAAGGCTTCCAAGACTCTGCCGGTGTTCTGAAGCGCTTTGTCCTCCCATTTTACAACGGCCCAAAGGATAGCGATGGAGAGCGCCAAAAACCGACGCATCTGAAACGTGCGACACATCTGGATGACTCCCTGATGTCCATCCAAGGCCTAGGCCGCCAATAAATAAAAACTTGGGCCAAAACCAACAGCGTTTTCTTGCATCGGTGGAGTTTGGCTATGAACAGGTTCTGGAATGAACATATTTGGACATGGTGTTGGATGTGTTACCCTGTAGTTCGCATCTTGCTGATTCTCGTGGTCAGAATTCCTGACCACTGGATGGTCGGAGAGTCTCTCAAAAGCAAAGCTGTCGCCAATCAAAGACCTTCTTAGATGCGCATCCCCTCGGTTAGTGGGCAATTTTTCCCGCCAAAACCATATTACAACCCAGTGATATGTGGGATATGCCTCTGATATTCCCCAATAATACATGGGTGTTTAACCATTTATCTAATCAGACAGCAACGGCCGTCTCATCCCCAACCATGTGAACGGCCAATCTGAGCGATGACAAGCATCCACTCGAAGGACGGCATGTTCGGAGATTTTAGGGCCTGGTTCTACTTACCTTATTATATCCCATAGGATCCATGTATGCTATATATGGTAACATTTGCCATCAATATACCCCAAATGTTAGCATATATATACCAGCACCATGGATCCTATGGGATATAATATTATATATCTTTCCGCTTGTTCTTTCGGACAAGAAAGAATTGCAAGACCACGCACTTCACCCTGTCCTTTACTACTCCGCGTTGCCATCTTAAATTGACAGCGTTACAAGCTGGAATTGTCCAGGTTGGCTTTAGTTTCTTGTATGGAATAAACTTGGGCTACGTGGCAAGATACACAGACGCACGTGAAGACCCATACCTACATCCACTGCTATGGATATTCCTAACTTACCAGTAGCCACAGTAATTTGATAGGATTTCGCCTTGATTTTCGCAATGACTCGGTTTTGAGCTGTTCCACTTTCTGAAAATCCACCGACATCCACCGAGATCCAAACCATCACATGCTTCGCTCGCGGCTTCAGGCTCGAATCACAATGTGTTGGAGTTGATCTCTGCAGTGGGAGACTCGGGAACATCCCGAGGGATCGGGATGTTCCCATTTCCCCCTTGTAGATATCAGCTCCAACACATTGTGAACAGACCAAGTTCTTCGTGGTACCTCAGAACGGCAGGTCCAGCACCCCCAGATGACGTGCCATGTGCCAGATTTGTCAGTTCCAGTGGTGTTGCCCACTTCAACAGTGCCACAGCCTGAAAGGGACATGTTCACACACGAACTGTTGGATCTGTTGGTGTTTCGAAGGTCCTGACATCATGAAAACAAGTTGATGGATCCAAATGTCTGACCCAAAAGCTCGGCCAAGACCTGACATGATGGGTCTTCCATCTTGATCCATCCCTGACGTCAATATGTTTGGTCCCTCTGCGGCCCGCACTTGGCACTTTGGTCAACTGGCTAGCCTCTCACCATGTTTTCAAGAGATTCTCAACAAAACAGTTCTATTGAAATTTGCTCCAAGACCTATTTCATCCTGATGCCTAAATGACTCCCGTCTTTCATCGTCTTTCGACATACATACAAGTCTCATCTACACGCTCCAAACTGAACTTCTTGGCCGAAGCGAATCTAGTCATCTAGAGTTCTGCAGCCTTTTGAAGGAAAAGATGGAAAAGGAGTACCTCTGCAGGGACAACAGAATTTCCTATCAGGATAATGGCACCGGTGTGCCTCATGTCGTTCGCAAGGGTGCGTTCACACCTCATCCCGAACCCAAGCTGCATGGACAGGGCTGCACAACGTGGAAAGGACAATGAAACAACCAAATCGCTGCCCATTGCACATGGTGCCATGGACAATGGAAAGAATTTCAGACTTTCGACTTAATCTTATGTGGAAGTTTTGAGCCATAGAGAATGTTGGAGAGCGATGAGCCACAAGTTGTCCAAGGCATGTCTCTCTGGAACCAAGTCCCAATGTGTGTTAAAAAAAACAAACAATAAACGTGGAACCGTTTGGAAACCAGTCAAATTGCGGCCCGCCTTTCCATCGATCCAATTACATTTTTGGACCAAATGCCCGGCCTCAAGACTGCCACTTTCTACCCTCAACTTCATGTGCCAGTGTCAGGACCTGTCTCGCTTGTTGATGCAAGAGGGTCTCACACATTTTCATTGGCGCCTTGATACTCTTTCCGCAATGACTCGGTTTTGAGCTGTTCCACTTTCTGAAAATCCACCGACATCCACCGAGATCCAAACCATCACATGCTTCGCTCGCGGCTTCAGGCTCGAATCACAATGTGTTGGAGTTGATCTCTGCAGTGGGAGACTCGGGAACATCCCGAGGGATCGGGATGTTCCCATTTCCCCCTTGTAGATATCAGCTCCAACACATTGTGAACAGACCAAGTTCTTCGTGGTACCTCAGAACGGCAGGTCCAGCACCCCCAGATGACGTGCCATGTGCCAGATTTGTCAGTTCCAGTGGTGTTGCCCACTTCAACAGTGCCACAGCCTGAAAGGGACATGTTCACACACGAACTGTTGGATCTGTTGGTGTTTCGAAGGTCCTGACATCATGAAAACAAGTTGATGGATCCAAATGTCTGACCCAAAAGCTCGGCCAAGACCTGACATGATGGGTCTTCCATCTTGATCCATCCCTGACGTCAATATGTTTGGTCCCTCTGCGGCCCGCACTTGGCACTTTGGTCAACTGGCTAGCCTCTCACCATGTTTTCAAGAGATTCTCAACAAAACAGTTCTATTGAAATTTGCTCCAAGACCTATTTCATCCTGATGCCTAAATGACTTCCGTCTTTCGACATACAAACAAGTCTCATCTACACGCTCCAAACTGAACTTCTTGGCCGAAGCGAATCTAGTCATCTAGAGTTCTGCAGCCTTTTGAAGGAAAAGATGGAAAAGGAGTACCTCTGCAGGGACAACAGAATTTCCTATCAGGATAATGGCACCGGTGTGCCTCATGTCGTTCGCAAGGGTGCGTTCACACCTCATCCCGAACCCAAGCTGCATGGACAGGGCTGCACAACGTGGAAAGGACAATGAAACAACCAAATCGCTGCCCATTGCACATGGTGCCATGGACAATGGAAAGAATTTCAGACTTTCGACTTAATCTTATGTGGAAGTTTTGAGCCATAGAGAATGTTGGAGAGCGATGAGCCACAAGTTGTCCAAGGCATGTCTCTCTGGAACCAAGTCCCAATGTGTGTTAAAAAAAACAAACAATAAACGTGGAACCGTTTGGAAACCAGTCAAATTGCGGCCCGCCTTTCCATCGATCCAATTACATTTTTGGACCAAATGCCCGGCCTCAAGACTGCCACTTTCTACCCTCAACTTCATGTGCAAGTGTCAGGACCTGTCTCGCTTGTTGATGCAAGAGGGTCTCACACATTTTCATTGGCGCCTTGATACTCTTTCCGCAATGACTCGGTTTTGAGCTGTTCCACTTTCTGAAAATCCACCGACATCCACCGAGATCCAAACCATCACATGCTTCGCTCGCGGCTTCAGGCTCGAATCACAATGTGTTGGAGTTGATCTCTGCAGTGGGAGACTCGGGAACATCCCGAGGGATCGGGATGTTCCCATTTCCCCCTTGTAGATATCAGCTCCAACACATTGTGAACAGACCAAGTTCTTCGTGGTACCTCAGAACGGCAGGTCCAGCACCCCCAGATGACGTGCCATGTGCCAGATTTGTCAGTTCCAGTGGTGTTGCCCACTTCAACAGTGCCACAGCCTGAAAGGGACATGTTCACACACGAACTGTTGGATCTGTTGGTGTTTCGAAGGTCCTGACATCATGAAAACAAGTTGATGGATCCAAATGTCTGACCCAAAAGCTCGGCCAAGACCTGACACGATGAGTCTTCCATCTTGATCCATCCCTGACGTCAATATGTTTGGTCCCTCTGCGGCCCGCACTTGGCACTTTGGTCAACTGGGTAGCCTCGCGCATCAGTAAAAATCACCATGTTTTCAAGAGATTCTCAACAAAACAGTTCTATTGAAATTTGCTCCAAGACCTATTTCATCCTGATGCCTAAATGACTCCCGTCTTTCGACATACATACAAGTCTCATCTAAGATGAATCTACACGCTCCAAACTGAACTTCTTGGCCGAAACGAATCTAGTCATCTAGAGTTCTGCAGCCTTTTGAAGGAAAAGATGGAAAAGGAGTACCTCTGCAGGGACAACAGAATTTCCTATCAGGATAATGGCACCGGTGTGCCTCATGTCGTTCGCAAGGGTGCGTTCACACCTCATCCCGAACCCAAGCTGCATGGACAGGGCTGCACAACGTGGAAAGGACAATGAAACAACCAAATCG